TTTTTTATTTAGGGCTTTAAACAAAAATATTTATATAAGAAAATAATATTATCTTTTACTTAATAATAAACCTCGCTAAGTAACCTCTTTATATTATTACTTATAAGGCCTTTCTTAAAGTAGTATTATTATAATAAAAGAGATCTCTTTAAAGTAAAAAAAGCTTTTTAAAGCTTTAAAATTTTACTTAATTTTTAATATCCTTTTAGTATTTCTATAAAGATATCCTTATTTAATAAGATATATATAAAGGTATTAATTATATTAAAATATCTTATAATTAAAATAATTAATAATATTTATTAAGGTCTAAAATAGTATATTTATAAGCATAATAATATATATATCTTAGTTATTTTTTATTTATTAATATTTGTAGACTATAAGGTATACCTTAATCTTAATAAACTTATTATATATTTCTTTAGCTTATTAGTATATACTTAATAATACCTTAAGACTTTATAACCTTTTATTATTAGCCTTAAGACTTTTATTTATAAGCTTAGTTACTTATAGTTTTAAAGATATATCTCCTTAGTAATATAAATTATATCTTAATATAAATAATTATTTATATTTATATAAGAAATAAGAAATTATTCTAATAGCATCTAATATAAATTAATATTAAGCTACTTTTTATTACTAATTATAAGACCTCTTATATTAATCCTTTAGGGCTCTTTATATATTTATATTTAAAGAATAAATTATATTTTTTCTTAACAATAATATATTAGGGCTAACTAGGCCTATAAGTATTTTTTAACAAATATTTTTATAATCCTTTAAGAATTAAAAAAATCCCTAAGAAAAATATAATATTAAAAGGGAGCTTTATATATATTTTATTAAGAATATTTTTACCCTTTTTTTTATTAATCCTCTTTATTTTACCCTTTTATATCTAAGATAATAGCCTAGGTATAGATAAATACTATTAATAGGGACTTAAGTAATATAAAAAAGACTTTAAATTTAGCTAACATATATAAAGGTCTCTTTTCTGATAGTTTTTCTATTAGTTCTAGAGAGTATTATTAAGGCGCTTTTTTTTATTTATTATATTTTACCTTATTAATTTTATTTAACTTTTTATCTAGGGCTTATTTAGCCTATTAATTAGGCGCTTATTACTTTATAATAAGCTCTTAAATTCTTTTCTAAGTTTCCTTAAGGTTTTCCTTAAGGAAATTATCTCTTAAAGACTTAATTTAATTATTAAAGAATTACTTTTAATCAAATATAATATCTTAAGTTATAATTATTTCTTTATAAAATAGGCTTTATATATAATATAAATTACTTAAGGTATAGCTAATAAGGAACCTTATTTAGCCCTACGGAGCTTATTTTTAAAGTTAATTCTTTTTTAATTAGGTATTTATTATAAAGATATATATTTTATAGCTAAAGGCTTATAGATAAGAGAGGTCTAATTTTGTAGTATTCATAGAGTATTAAGTAATATAAAAGATCTTATAAAGTCATTTTTTCTTTCTTTAAATTAAAGGTATATAATTATATAAATATATGATTACTTTATTATCTTAGGCTGTAAGCATTTAAGGAATTTAGGTCTTATTTATAATATTTTTTCCTTCTAAATAATAATTACCTTAATATTATTAATTTATATTTATATATTTAAAATAAATAATTCATATTTAAATAACTTCGGGGTAAAGTTTTATATTATATTTAAAGATTTTTACGTTAAGAGTATATTATACCCCTAAGAGCTTTAAGAACTTTTTTATTACTAAGAAAATAATATTTATATAATAATTAGAGGTATAATAATTCTATAAATAGCTTATCATATAGTATATAAAGATCTAAATAAAGATATAGCCTTTATAGCCTTATATTATTAAATAAAAGTCCAATATTATATATCCTCTTAGGCTAGCTATTTTTATAAATTCCTATAAGGCTTTTTAAATAAGCTTTTAAGCCTTTATTATATTATAAATATTATAAGTATTATAACTTATTATAATAACTCTCTCTAGGCCTTGAGGCTTATTAAGTCTTAGCTTTATACCCCTTAAGGTAATTGTTAAATATCAGAGGATGTTTAGCCCTTGGTATCCTAAGTAATAATATTATATAAAAGAGTCTCTTAAGTAATTCTTATTTAGGCTTATATCTTATTAAAAGCTTTTTTTTCTTAGCTTTAAGAAAGATTTTAAAATTTTATAATAAGCTTAATATATAAGACTATATCTTAGAGCTTTAGCATTTTTATTAAACCCTTAACTCCTTAATAATTATATCTTTATAGCTATTTATTAATGTTTAGCCTATTTTTAATTAAAAGAAGTCTCTAGCTAAAATAACTTAAAGGCTCTTAAGCTTTAAGGTATCCCTAAAGATATATAAGGTTACTTTAGAGTTAATATATTATCCCTTGATAGATAATATTGATTAATTATACGGGCTACCTCTTAATTATAAGAATTAATAATTTATAATTAAATTAATTTCTTTAGCTTAATCTTTTATATCCAGGGTTGTGAGTTAGTCACCTTAGTCTTAGTCAAGGGCTGACTTTAGTCAGCCTATTTTAGTCTTAGTCAGACTAAGACTAAGACTAAGACTTAGTCAGACTAAAAAGTCAAGCTTTTAGTCACTTATATAATAAGAAAAATTACTAAGAATAGCTATAAAAGGCTATTAAGGGAATATTACGTAATATAAAAATCATTATAAGTATTATTATATAGGCCTCTAGTTATAATATATTTTATTTTAATTTTAACTAATTTATTTAAGCTATAATTAATTAAATTAGCTTATTATTCTTAAAGAGCTCTAAATAAGCTTCTTAAAAATACCTAACTAATTGAAATATTTAATTAAGTTAAAATTATAATATATAACATGAATTTCTATTAATTAATATATTAAGCCTAAGGTTTTATAATTAGATGTAGAATTAAAATATAGAATTAATTTATAATTAAATAAAAGAATTTAAAATAAGTTTAAAAAAATAATGACTATAAGAATATTAATAAATTAAAATTGTAATAATTAATAATAATAATAATAAAAATATATCTTTTAATATTAATTTTAAATATCAGTTATTATTATACCGATAAGTTTTAATATAGTTAAGCCTAAAAGATTAAAATTATTATATGTAGGGTATCTACTTGAGTCTACCTGGCTGACACAGCAACGACTCCTAGCCGTCCGCTTATATATGAAACCCTTCCTTCTCCCATCTAAGTACCTGCTCTAAACCCGTCAATACTATTTTCTCAAAAGTCCTTCCGGCCTAACGGAGGTTCTCAACATAGCCAATATTAAGGAGCTTAAGGAACTCCTGCGGTTTCCCCGCCAGGGGCCTCTATTCCTTCTTCTTAATATGAAGAGGAAACTTTTCCTTAGCAATAAAGGTGTCCTCTTCCTTAATAGTCCCCTTCGACCTAACAATAATGAATGGCAATAACCTATTATCCTCGGGACCATATATTAAGTTCCACATCCGTCCTTCCTCCAAATGGGCCTTTAGATGATCCATCTCCATCCCTAGCTGCTAAGCGAGTTACTCGTTGTCCTCTTTGCCTCGTCGTATACTACAACGAGTCTCCATTCGCATATCAAGTTTTCGAGCGACGCAGGCTTAAGCATGGCGATATAGGAAATCAGTGAGAGATAACTTCCTAACAAGATCGACTAAACGTTTACTATGCCGCGGCACTATATATCCTATACCACTTAAAAGAAACACATCTCTATCGCGATATCTCTATTCCCCCACCAGGTAAATAAATTACTTTATTACTAGTGAACTTTAAACTAAAGCTACGGCCTTAAAGATATCTTCTAGCAGAGCTAGATCTAGATCCCTATATATCTAAGGAATACGGCAGTTAGGATCCCACTTCCTGATCTTTTCCTCTAGTGCATTTAACTCCCTTTTGGCCGCTGTGTATGCACGTGTTCCCCTATCTGAGGTCTGGGTTCCCTAGTGATCGGTCCTAGACCTTTTGCTAAGAGGTGTCGGGAGAGGCGTTTAAGCTTCCGACTCCAGACCCACCGCCCGAGCAGTGGATGGTAGAGGCGTTCGAATTAACTTGGGTGGCGGGACGCGAGTGACGGTAATCATCTAGTACGCCACACTTGACGCACTGGCGCAGCGCTGTGGATTTAAGGCGATCTCCATGCTGTAAGTGGTTTATGGACATGGCGATATTGAAGCCCATATTGACGACTATATGAAGCTAGCCGTACGCAGGGAGCATAAGGTCGCCAGGCCCTTGAACCTCGATAACGAGGTCAATACCTTGTCTCTCAAGCATCAAAGGGGATATCAACAGAGACTGATGTCCGACGCGTTAGCTACACCCATTGCAGTCCTAGTTCTTAGCGACAAAGGCCTCAATTTTTCTTATATGATGCATCTTAATTCTAGTCCAGAGTTTAACTCCCTCTAGCACCAGGTTAGCAGAACGTAGGCCGCAGAATAATTCATAATCAGAGCAATTATAGTCTTCGATATAGAACCGGTTCGCGGATTTATCTCCGCTAATATGCCAATATAGACGGTTCAAGTCGAGGAGTTTCAGGTTCTCCAGTATCGCTGCTCCTGGATTAAGTAGTTCCTCGTACGGGAGATCCAGATGGCCGGTAAAGTATGGAATAATGCCCTTTGGAGGGTTATCGAAGTAGTCGTTAAGCCACTTCCTGGCCTCCTCCTTAGTCGGTGTCACTACCTCGTCTAGAAAGTCCGGGAATGCGAAGTAGGATTAATGTTTCGAGATATAGGTATACACGTAGCCCTTGTCTTTTGGCCCGGGCATGAATCTATTGGCGGTGAATTGCTAGTTGGGTTTTGGCGCACTTAACCTGGCTTTTATTGTGCCTTGATTAAATCTAGGTCGATGGGCAGGTTGGGAACTGATATCTTGTGCATAGAATCGTCCCGTTTGATACTCCTCCCGAGCGTTTCGACCAGTCTTTCTCCCATATCGGCTTCCGATAAAGTCGATTGGGGCGGCGAGTCTGGCACCGAGGTGCCTGGCGATGTGAGGTGCGTATCTGGGGTGGTGGCGCGGGATGTATCCTCGGTCATGTCGCTGCCTTGAGGTGTCGTGTCGTGAGATCTGTCTTGTATATTGAGATGCGCGTCACCATCTTGGCTTGATGGGTTTAGCGTAGCTGGCGGTTGCGCGGTTCGATCTTGAAGTGTAGTGATGCTGGATAAAGACGGTGTGCTGATCTGTGCGCTGGCTGAGTCCTCACGGTGGGAGGAAGCGCCTCGGCTGGCCGGATTTGTGATTGGGAGCGGCGTGGCCGTGTCCCCAACGGGGGTAGATATGCTAGCCAGCCGACTCGTGCTGTCCTCTGGGCCGGGGGATTCTGCTGGTTGGTCATTGGCAACGACAGGTTTGGGGCCACCTTCACTCTCGTGAGCCTGCGGCGGCGTGATCGCTGTAGCCTCGGGTAGGTCTTGTCGGCCACACGTCGGTTGCTCGACGCCGGTCATGAGCGCGTCTGGATCATAGCCTTCCGGTTCGGGTTCTTGCTTGATTAGCGGGTCCGGTCGTGAGTCGGCCGCGGCCGCCTGCCTGGTAGAGCCTGCAAGGGGAGTAGTAGTCGGGGAGTCCTCTGCCTCTCGCATAGGTATGTCTTCGTCAGAGCCGTCGCTTGATGGATCTCTGCTGGCCTCAATATCGGTGGTCGAGTTGTCGCTGTGAGTGTTTGCTGGGACCTGGTTCTCTGGCTCTGCCTCGCGGTGTTGATGAGTTGAGGAGTCCTGCGCGGCTGCGTTGCCGACTTGTTTTGCCTGTTTTGCCGTGCCGCTATCCTGGGGTAGTAGAGATCCCGGGCTGTCCTCGCCGTGACCATCGGCTGGGTGAACTTGTGGTTGCTGGGTCGCGTCGCTGATAGCCTCTGGGCTGGCGGTTGCGTTGATCTGTGGGCTCCGGTCGGATGCAGCGTGACTCTCGGTGCAGGCTGGAACTGCCCGCTCATGGGATCCGCCCTCAACAGTATCAGCTGGCGTCCCGCCTCACCGTACTTCTTCTCGCCCTGAGTCCCTCTATCCTTGACCCAAGGCATTATGCGCGACTAGACTACCGTCTTGCCTGGTGCGAGGTAGCTCTTATGACGCTCGTGACCAGGTGGTGATGAGGCGGTCCTTAAAAGCCTTAAGTATATCCCTCTCCTCCCCAATATCTTTAACGACAGAGATAATATCAGAGATCCATGGCGGCGATCTATTATTGCCCTTTCTTCGAGCTTTGCCACGAGGGCGTCGTCTATTCGGTTTTGGCTTAACTTTCTGCTCTTAAGTAAATGCCTCAATAACATCAAGCTACTTTTGCATCTCATCGTATCGAGACTTGGTCCACTATTATATTCGACGGGCTTTAGAAAAGAGCGCGGCGAGATCTAGTGCTAGAGTGCCGGGCTCAGTTATATTAGTAGATATGCGAGGTTGCTTCTGGGGGGGCAATAAGTAAACAGGACGCGGCTTCATAGCAGGCTTAAGTATATTACACTTCCGAGACTTTTCCGAGAGCGATACCTTAGTCAATGCACCTGGTCAGCCAGCACCCCGCGATATATACAGCAGGCCCACTCTCGGTCTAGGATTATAAGCGTAATAGTTATGCGCAAGCGCGGCTTTTATCGTTCTCACTATCTTAATAAACACTATTTCCTCTCCTAGATTACTCTGAAACTGCCTATGGTCATTCGTGAGCAGTTCTTATATGCAATCTGAGATTAACTTTTGTTGCAAATATCTTATTGCATGGGTCACCGTCGGTCCGCCAAAGGCACCCGCGCTTCAGGGGGATAATGCCCGCGTTTGTTGAGAGGGAGTAGTCTCGGCACGCTCCAACATCCAGCCGCATTGCTCTGTATGAATGTCAGGTCTCAGCTAGGGAGATACCCGGTCATAACGGCGAAGGACACAGCTTCCAGCGCATATATAGCTTATTCTTTCATCCCGAGGCCTAGTCCAGTGTCTTATATCATAAAAGCTATTTAAAGGGATCCTCGAACAGAAAAGCTAGCTAGTGAACCACATCATTCACATATTAAGAAGATTAATTACCTTTGGTTTTGGTTCAGCTGGTCGCAAAGATCCACTTCCAGGATGCTAAGGCTCACAGGCAGCTCCTTATCACCTATTCTGGCAAGATGCTATGGGGGTTTTAGCTCTAACCTAAAACAAGATACATCTATTCGGAAAAGTGCATCGTTAGTATCAAGATGTCGCCACAGTCAGGATATTCATCTACCTGCAAAGTAAGGTTCGATTAAACCTCTCACCAATTGCCGACTTCCCACCTATATGACAGACCTCTGACACAATTATTAATTAGTAGACGAAGGCAGCCCAAGATGATCTTACCACGCAACTCTCACAAGTAACCTGAATTCACTTAATAGCCAAACCACGACAGTCGAAAGAAAACCCACCCCACTTGCCTCCAGGCAGTTTCGGCCCAGAGGTACCATCGCCTATAATACAGGCCTTGGTTCGCTCCTGGTTAACCCCGCAAGAAGCCAGGGAAATCCACCAACAGTTCCAAAAATCTTACATCAGAAACCAGCAGGTCTTATGGAGCGGCATGACCCGTGAAAAGGCCCAGCGATAGGCAGACAAACACAGCTTGCAGACATTAACGACGGCATTAGGGCCCCTCCTTAGCCCTTCCTATCCTCATTCTTCATTTCACCTAAAACCATCTACTAGGTGGAAGGGATACATTCATAGAGCCTCGGTCATATTTGCCTGGTTTATTTCCCAAGCAGACTCGGTAACGGTCCTATCGCAGCCTCCACCCCAGCGGTTCCATCCCTCCGGACGCACATTCTACCAAACAGTAGAGGAGCCTATTATTCAAGGTAAGATAGAGAATAGACACGTTAAGAAGATCATAGTTATGCATCTAACTATGGGAGGAAAAGCCGAGGACTTTCGATATGAAATATGGCCCAGCGACAAGTCGCCCCTATAGACGAAGATATTTGGTAGAAGGGACACTGGAATATACTGGCGAGCAGTCAAGGGACAAAAAAAGTAACACGCCAGAATTATATGGAAGGTGAACAGTTGATAATGGCAGAACAAGATCTTCATGACCTGATTGACGACTAGCAGACATCAGTAGGACCAAGCACGGTTCCAGTAGCTCGATCACTCGTTTTAAAGACGCATCTCGCTATGCTAAACTCAGGAAGAAAGAAGAAGAAGATAGTTAGCAAAGTTACCAAGTGCAGCAAGGGAAACAATACCATCTCGAGGTGCCCAACCAAGGTGGCTAGGAAACAAATAATAACGGCGGGTATTCAGCAAGCCAGTAAACATAGGAGGAAGAGGAAGAAAAAGAAGAAATAAAAAGATACTAAGGATCTCTAAGATAAGGGCATTATGAGGATATGGGGAAGGGTAAGATAATGCTATCACGGGCCTCAATAGTCCAGGAGGTTAAAAAGTAGCACAAAGTCTTCGCAAGTAGGGAAGGCAGTGACTACACGATGTTTTAGCTATACGACCCGATCTATTAGAAAATTCCTTCTGGTGGGCGGTGTGTAGATAAGTCGAGTCCTCTGATCCTTACTGTCCAAGGTGCTGCTGGTATGCCTATTGGTAGCGCGGTTTAAATGTGCATAAGGCATAAGACTTTCGGCCTACGGAAGTTGATAAAAGGATCAGATAGCTCCATGGTCTATTAATTGTTAGATATAACGATACTTGATAGGAATTTATGACCGAAATTGTGCATAAGACTCTTGAATAAAGCTTAATAGGCTCCTACTCTACCGGTTCATGCCGACCAGATGTAGAAACTCATATCGCGTCTCACTCTTAGTCTCAAAACATCCTAGTATACAGCTTATTAAAGTCGTCGTGCTCGTCTTTTCAATACCGCGTATTACTATGCACAGGTGGCTGGACTCCATGACGACGGCCATACCCTGGGACTATAGTACACCTATGATAGCTTGGGCAACCTCCTTAGTGAGGCGCTCCTGGATCTACAGGCGACGAGAGAATATCTCGGCGATTCGGCAGAGCTTAGAGAGTCCAATGACGGTGTTGGAGGGAATGTAACCAATGTGCATCTATAGGAGAAAGGTTAGCTAGTCTTTTCGAGAACTAGTATGCGGTGCATACGCGAAGAAAGGGAGGTGCCTACCTTTCCAGTAAAAGGTACAAGATAATGCTCATAGAGACTAAAAATCTCAATGTCTTTAATAATGACCATCTCGCTATGGCCCTCGCAGAATAGCGCATTATTGACAGTATCCTCCACGCTCATTTAGTAGCCCTTGGTTAAAAACAGTAGTGCCTCGGCATATCGCAACGGTGTGTCTTACAGGCCCTCCCGATCGACATCCTCACCGATACACTCCAGTAAAGTTCGCACAGCGCTTTGCATCTTCTCTAGGCGCATAACGGCCTGTCCCTCATGTTCTTCTCGGTCTTATCTGGTTTCCAGAACTGCGAGGCTCACGCGTTAACCACTAATACTAACAAAACCTAGTTCAAACTATCAAAGGCCTTTTGGGTGCATATGAGGGAGAGAGATAATAGGAACCTACCTGGTCGACTAGGCCAATCAACACCGATTGCCTAGTTAAGTGGTGAAGTTGCTGTGCCATGTCCAACGATAACATCCTTATTGGCTGTGGGGGCTTCTTCATAGGGGTCTCCAGGGACCTTATTCCCAGATTTTGTTTCACGCTTGCCCCTTTTATATGTTGGAGTGTCGCTAGTTAAGTCAGAGACACTAGCATTACCGCAAGCTCTCTTCTTGGGGAAGGTAGCACTATCCTTAGGAGCTATCATTATCCACGATTAATAAGAAGCCGGTTTGTTATCAGCAATGAGCAGGAAACAGAATGCAAGAAGTTAGAGCTTCAGGGAGGAGGGTTCTGAGAGGTAATCCAGATTGCATACTCGAGTAAGCCGGTACGATTTAGAGAAAGCGAACTTAAAAGCGGGTTCCCTTCTTAGCTTATTTCAACGTTAGGCACCAACAGGCCATACAATCTCATTCCCAGATATACTATCATGCACTATAAACATCGTATAGGGCACAGAGCTAGCTCACACCAAGTTATAGCTATACCAGCCCCATGAGCAAATTAAGTTCTAGGCCGGTCCTAGGATTTCTTACGGATCCAAGCCCGTTCCCTGTCATTCTTCGTTGCTGTGTGGCGAGAATCGCGAATGGTGATATTGAGGCCGCTCCCTTCTTCTGCCGGAGGCCATCCATGTGTCACGCTCGACACTCAGAGCCTGAGAACATTACATAATTACCACACATATCGAACACGCGCCGCTCTACTGCACAAGCATGACAGATTCACATATAATCAAGTATTAGTACATAGTAGCACCTTTATCTTTGCAACGTAGGTCTCATCGCACCTCGTATTTCATACATTCTTCCACTCCTAGTGGAACTAAAGATACCATCTGACTATACTATCACGTTGGGATTATCGTCGTACATAGTTAGTCATGCCGGAGGCCGTCCACAACGAGTTCATTTATGGTAGAAAATCCCGCAAAATACCCATAGATAATATAGAATAAATCCATTGGATACTTCCGAACCCCTTTACCTAATAATATGCTCATAATTTGCGTTCATAGTAGCCAAGATAACACAAGGCGGTTTCAGTAGTCTTTGCATACGACGGAGAATAGGCTCATAACCATCAATCATACGCCCGCTGAACAAGCATAGGAATAAGGAGCTCAGGAATACTTAAGCACCAATACTTCATTAACAAAGCATCTCTAACCGTCAAGTAAAGCCTAGATATGCTATCTTCTATACGTCCATCATTACATTTCCTTCGCCCTACGCCATTCAAGTAGTTAAATAGCCACCACAACTAGACAGGTTCAGGCTCATTCGTTACCTCTCTTTATGTCAGACACACCTACACGCTCATATTGAATTAAGATGGCTACTCTCGACATCCTCAAGCAGAATCTCAGGGAGAAAGCCTTAACGACGTCGTCCCCGGTATAGACGCTATGCGACATACAGTACTGTGCTGGCTTCCAAATTTTGCGGGATGCAGAATGGGAGATATACAAAGACTTTATTATTCCTCAACTATCTTTTCTATTAGCCCCTCTCTTCAACTCACGTACCCATACCTCGGTGCTAGAAATCGGACCGGGGCCGAGAAGTGCACTTAGATATCTGCCTAGCTACCTAAGACGGAAGGTCAGCAGATATGTTGCCTTTGAACCCAATGACATATTCGCGGCGAGGTTGGAAGGGTAGCTTTGCTCCGCCTCGGACACAAAGTCACCTCTGCCCTGCCTAGGAAGCCGACCCGACATTTATCGAAGGCCATTCGTTCTGAATAGTAACATAAAGGATAGCGGGGGTTCAAATGATGGTATTAGCTCATTCGATATCATCCTCTTTTGCCACAGCATATATAGAATGAAGCCTAAACGTAGTTTCATCGAACAGGCGCTGGAAATGCTCGTTAAAGAACCGGAGGACGGAATAGTGGTGGTTTTCCATCGTGCAGGGTCCTTGCACTTCGACGGCTTAGCGGGCCATTAAACGGCTTCCTTCCCTACTAGGGTCATTCGCGTGGCAAACGACAACGACATCCTAGACTGCTTCTCTCCTTTTATCGCAGGTTTTCTCATGAAGGATACGGAGCTGGATAGAGCTGTCCGAGTTAAGTGGCGTGAGATATGCCGCACCTTGGGCCGTTGCGAAGAAACCAGCCCAGACCATCTCCTTTTCAGCTCGCCCAACATCATGGTGGCTTTTACCCGACATGCCACCACATTGGAAGAGCTGACAGCGCATATTCTATTATTAGAAGGGGTCAAGGTGGTTAAAAATCAGCAGGCCCGTCTTTATCATCCGGCCTTGACTCTCAGGCCCTTACAGATCCGGCATATCCAACAGTGTGTCGAGTGGGCTCTGAGACATAAGGTTAAACTGACTGTCATCGGCGGAGGTCACAGTGGCCACTGCCTCTGGCCTAACGTTGTCTCAATCGACATGGGCGCCTTTGACCAGATATACATTCTTGCGGCTGGGGGAGAAGGTGACGAATCAGCTTCTGATTCTGAGCCTCTAGTCGTCACCGAGGCCGGCTGCAAGACAGGAAATGTCGTCCGCGAGACCCTGGCAGCGGGCTTGATGGTACCCCTGGGAGCCCGCCTAAGCGTCGGCGCGGGTTTGTGGCTACAAGGCGGCATCGGGCACCTGTCTAGACGGCATGGGCTTGCGTGCGACGCTATTGTAGGTGCCGTTGTGGTCAGCGTTTACTCTGGCCAGGTCCTCTGCGTTGGTCGTGTACCAAGTCAATACTGGCCGGCTGGTGCCGTGCGCCCAGACAACGAAGCCGATCTGTTGTGGGCGATTAAAGGCGCCGGGCCCAACTTTGGCATCGTGGTCAGCGTTACTTTCAAGGCTTTCGCGGCACCGACCTATTCGGTTCGAAACTAGAGTATCCCGCTGCGCGATGGCCTCGAGGCGCGGCTGAGGCTTAGGGATATTGCTTAACTTATCAGAAACCTCACCCGGAACTATTCGACAGACGCGTATCTGTTTTGGGACAACGAACAGCTGCATCTTGGCGTGACCATGTTCGAATCTGCCGTGACCTAGCTCCCTTTTGGCATACCCACGCCTGCACACACAGTTCTAGGACCAGAAGATAATTCCGAGATCGTCAACGGAGTTGGTCTATTCGAGACTGAAATGTACATTTCCCGGATGCACGGCGGGCATAGTGGCGGCAAGACGTCCTCGTTCAAGCGATGCTTATTTTTGAAGCATATTGAAGCTACGAACGTTACCAAGATCTTGGTAGCAGCTATCGAGACTCGCCCTTCGCAACTCTGCTATCTCTATCTGCTGCCAGGTGGGGGAGCGGTGGGCGACGTACCAAACGACGCCACTGCTTTTGGCTGTCGAGACTAGGACTTTGCCTGCGTGGTGACCGGTGTCTAGCCCCGCAACCGGGATGGAACCGAGACCGCTTAAGCTACCGTGAAGTGGGTTTACAAAGTCGCTGAGGACTTATTGCCCTTGAGCACCGGAGCTTACGGCGCCGACCTCGGGCCGGATCCCAGAGATGCTGCGCTAGCGGCCAAGGCTTTTAGACCAAACCTGCCGCGTCTGGTCCGTCTCAAATCCAACTTGGACCCACGTAATGTGCTAGCTTATGCCTGTCCACTTCCAAAAGCACCAGCAGAACACAAGCTTGTCATTCTTATCACAGGCGAAAGCTGCGCCGGCAAGGATTATTACGCCGACATCTGGGTCTCTATGCTCACCGCACGCGCCCATAAGAGTCTCAAAGCACGTGCAGTCAGTATCAGCGATACGGTCAAACAGGAGTACGCGGCAGCTACCGGCGCTGACCTGCGCCGCCTGCTTTGGGATCGTGCTTACAAGGAGCAACACCGGCCAGAGTTGACCAAGTTCTTCCAAAGCCAAGTACTAAAGCGACCTCAGCTGCCACAGGAGCATTTTCTAAATGCCATATATAGTGCTGCGGGTGTAGATATGCTGCTTATCACCGGGATGAGAGACGAGGCACCGGTCCTAACCTTATCGCATCTGGTGCCAGATTGCAGATTACTCGAGGTACGCGTCAAGGCTACTGAGGAGACGCGTCGGGTTCGCCGAGGATGCCAAGCTAGCAGCGACAATTATGATAACAATGCGGATAACAAGACCAACGGCAAATCGGATCTGGCTGCCTCAGGCCACTGTCCCAGTCTCGTCTTCAACAATGACACAACCGGAAATACTATGGCAAAACAATTTGCCGAAAACTACCTACTTCCCTTCTTCCATGAAGACTTGGACCGTCTTGCCAGTATGGTACGGCCGATATCCGACTTTCCATCCCCAGGCGTCGAGTTCCGCCACGTACTCGGCATCTCCCAGCAGCCAGGTGGGCTAGCCTTGTGCACTTCTCTACTGCAGACTCACTTTACGAGTGACTGGGCCAAAATTAATGCGGTGGTTTGTTGCGAAGCTGGCGGCTTTGTCTATGCCTCGGCGTTGGCCGCACGGGTCGATATACCCTTGGCGCTGATTCGCGAAGCTAGCAAGCTCCCTCCGCCCACTATTTCTGTCATCAAGTCACCGTCGCACATTTCGTCTTCAGCATATAACGATGCCACGAAAAGAATTGAGATGAGCCGGGATCTGATTTCCAGAGGCGCGTCAGTGGTTGTGGTGGACGATGTACTTGCCACGGGGGAGACGCTTTGTGCAGTGCTTCAGCTACTGAGTAAGGTTGGCATTGGTGTTGAAGATACCAGTATCATTGTTGTGGCCGAGTTCCCTGTGTATCGAGGTCGGGAGCTCTTACGCCAGCATGGCTTTGGCGGAATCAAAGTTCAGAGCCTTTTAGTTTTTGGAGGGGCTTAGGGAAGGGTCGGATACTGGAAACCTGTGCGTCTTATGAGAATGTCTTGCGATGATTGCGGTTTAGGTGTCATGGAAATTTTGTCTGTGTGTAATGAGATCCATTCCCTTGTAGCGGCTGTTTTAGTCTTGGGCTTGAATACTTGGCTAAAATTGTCTTTAGAGCCTTGGTGCTTGTGTCGGCGTGATGGGATTGGGAATGGCGGTTGGGATTTCTCACTCCGGGGAGACTGATATCCTGCTACATAGACGACCTTCGGCCTCGCAGTTAGGGGCTCCTCAACACGATCTTTGCTCCTATCACTGCAATGCTGATGGATGACAATAGGACAAAAATGATAGCTAGACAGAAATGGAAACTACGAAGGCTACCCACCAAGTTTTCTCTCCCTTTTTTGCCCGTTATGTGTTTCTCTTTTGTGGCGGGGTACATAATCCTGCCTGATGAATGTCTTTTTGCAAACGTCACACGTCCCACCTATTGAAGGATACTCAGTTTCCTCTGCCCATCTCCTATGGTGCTTCCAAACGTGGCGCCTTTTTTCCTTCTCCTCTGTTGCCTTATCCCAAGTGCAATCTTCCTTGGGACACATCCTGTGTTCTCGCGCGTGTTGGCTGCAAGGAATAAGTGGAAGACTAATTAGTAATTCTGATGATATAAAGGACATGAGAATTCAGGTACAAACACATACATACCATTGAAAATCACTCCCAATACCGGTATGCCTCACATCTTGCCTACTACGTAATTATTACGCTAGTCGTGGAAGCGGGCCACTATCTATCTCACTCAAGATGTCGAGCAAGCCCAATGGAATGGTGATTGCTCGCCGATGACGAGCCAATGCTCTAAGTGGCTGAAGGGTGGTGTCTGCTAGTGTGTCACACGTTGGGGCGGGCAGCTGTCCAATTTCGAGTCCGTCTATCATACTCGATGTCGCTGAATCCGTCCCGACAAGAACACCTCAATCATCTCAACAATACCCCATCTATTTATTAAATCTTTTATCTGTTCCCCAAGGACATGAAAAAAGAAACAGAGCTCAAGACACCTGCGGCCGACGAGTCTGCCTCTGTCACCGGCGGCTTCTCAGGAAGCCATTACCGAGTACATCGACTGTTCAACGACGGTATCCTCTGCCACGATGACGCCCCCAGCGTCCGAGAAATTTCTCGAATCATTAAAAAAGTATATTCGACAGACCCTTTAGACTCTCCTTTCGATTTTTAACTCCGCTAGCAGATATTACAACACGGCCGCTCTTTCTGATGTTTTGGTCGTCTGCGATGATCAAGAGTTCCAAGTTCACAGAGTGATCTTGTCAGCCCACTCAAAGTACTTCACGGCTGAGCTAAATGGCAGCTGGAAGGTATAGTAGATTCCATTAAAAAAGCGACTTATCTACTCATAATATTCAAGGAAAGTTCCGATAGGAAGATTCAAATCAAGGACTTTGACGTAAGCGTAGTGGAAGCGATGCTGCGTTTTATGTACTCGTTCGACTATAGCAACAACACTGGTTCTTCCATAATGGTTTACGACGCCTAGGTTTACTAAATTGCCGATAAGTATGATATTCCCGCGCTTAAAGTAAACTACAAAAGTAAATTCGGCACTGCCATTGCAACGGGTTGGAGCTTGGACGACTTTCCACTTGCTATCACTATGGCTTATGAATCTAGCCCTTCGGAAGAAAGAGGACTTCAGGATTTGGCTATAGAGACCTCTCGGAAGCATATTGATAAGCTCCTTAGACACGATGGTTTCTATGAACTTCTTAGGAAGATGCCTGATTTCTCTGCCGACCTTATTCCTTTTCTTTCCGAGAAGACTTCTACGAATATACCTCGGTTTAAATGCCCTTCATGCTAATATTAGTTTCGTGGCGAATTCTCGGAGAAGAATTACTACTATCCGAACTGTACCTATAGGCTGTTAAACTGGACCACTTACCGAATCGGGAACTAAGTCGTATATCGGCCCAAGCAGACCGACAAGGTAAAGAAGGTCATAATGCGAGCAGTGCGGAGAATCAGGGTAGGTATTCGGGGAAAATGAAGAGGGCATATATGTTTTGAATTGCGGAGATGAAATGGATGGCTTTACAGTAATGTTAAACACCTAAGCGTTACCAGCCGAGCAAATATCAATTTGACCACATTAGGCCAGCTGCATCACTGACCAAACTGTACCTTCTATGCTTCTAGAATCGTCAGCGAAGCAAGAAAAGTCTGTTATATTGTATGAGATTGTTGATCTAGCCCAAGGCGAAATTCCCAATATCTTCCAGAGGCTTTATGATATAAAAGTTCATTAGATTATTGGGAAGGCAATACAAACACCTGAGTGAAACTGCCGCTATCTGCCGCCTAGCCAATTGCGCCATCTTACCTCCAGAATAAATGTCACTATGAGCTAGATTATTATGAAGCATAATGTCTTATTTATAGTTATCAGATAAAGGTGAGTCGTACGCTGATAGGTTGATCATGAGTTAGAAAACCCTGACCAGCTCTTATCCGTGTCGAGGAACAGAGGTCCCGCTGACTTGTGTAGGCTGCTCATTGCTTGACCTAAAATAACAGTCATCCTTGTGAGCTAGGTGATTATACCCCCGCGGTCCTGTCATAATATCGTTCCAGCTGGCAAGACATTCCCAATAGAATTGATGGCGACATAGCGTACCTACAGCTGGAATCAGATGATAAGTTTTAGAAGGCGCGTCCAAATAGAAACTTACATATCATATGAAAACAACCGTCTCCTTTCTGGAGATTAATGCCACACTCGGGGCACGACTTGGTGTTGGCCATCATCCAGTCTTGCGTTTCTTAAAACCGCGGATCCCTATTCTCCTTCAGACTATCGTATTCTTCATATATCAGGCCCTCGTGCCATTTTACTTGGTGATAAAAACACATTTGATAGCCATAATCCCCGTATGCAACGTGGCTGTCAAAAATCAGGTCATATATCTGACCACTTGAACAATGCTCGGCCAAACACCACCTAAAAGACAGAATCTAATTCAGTGCCTCTATCTTTAAGTATTTATTATACCTTTCTAACATTAGAAGCTTGATTAGCAATGATATAGCATAGTGATGGGGCTTACTTAAAGAAGGCTTCGTCGCTTACATAAAGCCGCACTTCTTCGTATTCGAGTCGACGTCCGCATCCTAGAGAAGGGCACGTAAGGAGACGGCATCCACCCCTTCCATGCTGGTCAAGCTAAGTCTCAATATAACGTCGTAAGCAGGCTAAGCAAAAGTCGATAGTGTGATTGCAATTTGCTTCCAATTTCTGAGGGAAAAGTAAGATCTTCCACAGCCAGTCGCCGCGGTAGCCGGTGCAGATACTGCTCTATTCATCGAGGGAACCATAGGAGAAGTCACGAATAAGCTCAGTGCAGATAGAACACTAGGACGGTGTCTTTTATATCTAAAGCAGTCATGTGAAAATTAGGACACGTAGTGTTCCCTCAGCGTAATCTATGTCATACAACTGAACAAGTTTGAAGTTTGCATTGAGTGGTGAGCTCTTTTCATGGGCGTGTATATCCGAGAACCGAAGATCGAATAGTAATCGCATCCGATTATTTGATATCAGATATCGGTGTAGGCCTTCCGCTACTTTGCGGGCTTCCAATATCGGCTGTAGGTCGGTATCGTCGAGGACTACCATAAGGTGCTAAGCTGTGTCGTATCTTTATGATTATATTTAGCTACTGGTTTTTTCATCTCCTTGATTCACTCACATCCTAAGTTTTAGTGCCGGAGATCAATCTCCTGTCAGCCTTAGCATTCATTGCAAAGAGCCGCGATTGCATATAGCAATCTCGGCCGAGCAGCCGCAAGGACACGGCATAGATATCATCGATCCGGGAAGTGACCACCAGTTCTCCCGCAATGCCTCCAGAAACATTAAGAGGGACCCTAAGCAGCAATCCGAGCAGACAGTATTGGTACAGGTGGGCCTTGGGAGATCTCTGGTGAATTCATTGACCAATATTTTTGATCTGTCACTCTCACGCTGCTCAAGCTTAACTTTATGGCACACCGAGCAGGTAGTCAATGCTATTGTTTCCAGGTTCGTCTCGCCAAACCACTCGTCGAATGAGTCGAAAAGTATTTGAGCTTAATCAACGTTCAGTGCCGTATCGAGTAGACCCTCTGTGTCGGGAACCAGACGACGACCCATAGTATCTGGGGATACATGGTTGCCACTTGCATCAGCTAGTTGAGATATTGACTCTGACTTGGAGAGCAATTTGCTGACAATGATACCTCGACGTGTGCTTTTAAACACTGGTAGCCTGGTTTTGGAGATCCGAGTGCGGAGCTCATCCACCTCTTGCGATAACGCTCTCTTCTCTATGAGAAGGCTCTAGATATCTCGGTTCAATGAACAATAGTTCATCCGCAAGGCTACTGATTCCTCTAGCGTGGTACAGAGCCGTGACTCCAGGGATTTGTTCTCGTTAAGAAGATGTCTGATAGTGTCGTGCAGACTCTCAATATGTTGCAACATTCCTCCCAGGTCTTTGACCTCGCTATTTCTCATGAGCTGCCCATGGTTGCTTGATCTAGCGGGAGAACATTTGTCGTCAAGAGGCTGCGAAGCTGGCTCTTTCATCTGCTCGAAGGGATGATTATTGTCGTCGAGGTAAAGAGAGAGCTGTGAAGGATCCTGTTGCCTGATGTAGCAGTCTGATCTAACTCGTCGTAAAGACGTCATTTCTTGAGTTGAATCTAGATAGCCTGGAGAGAATTCTATGTCTCGAGAAGAAAACAAGGGCTGCTGAGGAGGGGCTGTGAGCGATAAGGGGATTCATGCTAATGAATCTATAATCTTGGGATTTACTGTTGCCCTTCTAGTTTTCTATAAATCAAACGTCATCGACAAAATGTCTTACTAAACAGCAAGCTAATTACAACTTTGGCTACGATCTTGCTCTGCTTAGCAGTCAGCGGCACGCACTGCTGGCCAATGAGCCTGGCGCTTTTAATAAAATGGTCGGCCTCCCGCATTATCAACGAACACTCAACCCTCCACTCAAAGGAGATGCTCACCCGCGTCCACTAAGCAGCCCCGCACTGGATGACGCTGATATGGAACTCAGATGCAAGTGGGCGACTAGTTGTCACGAGGCTATAAACGGATGGCCTCCTGCTTGTTATTGAGGAGATTGGTATGTTGCCTTATTAGGCCACCCTCCTCGAGCATGCATATATTAGGCCATCCTACGAGAAATGGGGGATTTTACGTACCCAGGGCAGCTGACTAATTCACGACGCCGCCACCTCTTCTTTGATGAAGAGGGCTACGCAAGTCACTTACGATCCCCTCTCCGGCATAGGCTAACATTCAAACGTGCCAAGCCATCAACTAAGCCTTCATATTATCGAATAAAATAAATCTCTCGAAGGGGAATAGATTTCAGCCTTGGGGTTTCCATGCCCTACTATAAGCATGGAAGAACAGTAAAAGCCCAAGGGTGGGGTGCACGCAAACGACATCAATTCCCGCACTGTTTTGAGAATGATTGACTAAATTCCGGTTCGTATTAGGACATCGCGTTCGGCCAGTCCTATGCATGATCCCTGCACTCGCGATGACCGAAATTCCCAGGCATCTGGGATGATAAGCTCATATCCTGACCCTGCCGGAATGTCTCATAAGCATCATGTCGCCCATCATGGAGATATGAGTAACGAACCTGTCTCGCAAGGCGGGGAGTCAGACCTGGAGCTGTCTAGCGATGATGGGGGATACTCGCTAACACCCTCACTCATAGACGCCATGGAGGAACTTGCTGTCCGGTGTAATTGCCCACCAACTCAGGACGGAGAGACACATATCACTCACGAGCTAGCTTCCAAGGAGCCACCAGCTATGCAAGATCTCAGTTATCAACCCCCCTTTCTATTAACAGGAGAGGATCAAAACCGACGCAATCTCGGCTCACTCTCTAGCCTCGATCTTTTGTGGCGTGAGTCTTACCCTTAACCCCGGTGCTAATTCCTATTCCTATATCTGTGTTACTTGGTATTAATTTCTGCTAAGCGAAATGTCCTATCGGTATAGAAAATGCTCCTATGATCATTAAGTGGGAGCTTCATCGTGTCGCGCTCCATTGCTCCATAAACACTGCAACTATCTCACTACTATATCAAGCATCGTGGAGAGACTAGGATACTTTTTGGGAGGACCTTCAGCAGCATAAATCCTTCAGAGAAAAGGCTTTCCCGCAACGATGCAGTGCCTAGGCTTGGCTTGAGAGTGTCTCTCAAGGACTTAAGCCTCAGTTCTCAGTCATTTGGAAGGCTAAACTTTGTCTGGGCACTCAGAAGGGAGATCATAAAATTGAGCTTGAGCCTCCTGTGCTGGAGACCAGTTCCAGGCTTCGGCGAAAGTTCGGGTTTGACAGGTTTATAGAGCTTCAGTTGCTGTCAGGCTCTCTGTCAAAGTCTTTCCGAGACGTCGATCTAAGGAAATCACTGGCTCGGTGGCTAGTTCACACACGCCAAGCTTTTCTCCATCGCGAGTGGGCTGCTTTCTTCGTGCAGGATTGCAACATTGCACCAACCTTCCCTAAACGAGTGTTTTTGTTTGCGGAGCGAGGGCATGGCCTCATTCCCTCTATGAAAAGCGAACATGCAGTTACCGGAACCGTCGCGCTAGCAATTAGGGGTGAATGCAGCCGATTTAATATGTTGAACTGGCTTTTATAGTTTAATCGGAATACAGATCAGCCATATATGAAGCTCTTCCATCGCATTCAGTTAGGTAGGCTCACAACCATCTTATTGCTCTTCTATATCCCTCCACGTTTGCTAACTTATACTTATTCTATCGGACGCTCATATAGGCCTAAGCAAAGCAACCCCAACTGTAGTGCTCGCAGAGCATTAGATACGTAACCATCGTGCTAACATCCTATCACCAAAGGGTGTTATCATGAATGATGGTATTGGAAGACTATCTCCCTCGCTTATGCGAGAGGTGGGGAATGCTCTTAGTCTAGAGAGCATTCCATTAGTTATTCAAGGGAGAATAGGGAGCGCCAAGGGATTATGGATAACAGACATGACTTCAGTGGGCGATGAGAAATGGATTGAGATATACAGCTCTCAGCGGAAATGGGCATGTGACTGGTTCGATCCCGCCCATCGCACTCTTGAGGTTGTGATTTCACCATCAGAACTATAGCCAGCAAACCTAAACCTTCAGTTTGTCCCTATCCTGGAGGCCGGAGCAATCGATAAAGAGTTGATGCGAAAAACTATCGTCCAACATATGGCTGTTCAACTCAGGAGCGACTTGGAACGTGCAAAGAATGCCATGAGGCAGCCTGAGTAATTTCGAAAATGGCTTCACGATACCTCTTACACCGCATCTGAGAGGAGTCAAGGCGACTCAGGGTTCGTTGGGGGACTGCCTAAGGATTTTGCAGATATCATGAACTTCCTCGTGGACGGGGGTTTCGATCCGTTGAAGCTTCAGTTCCTCAACGAGCTTGTTTTCGAGCACTAACGAAAACGGTGGGAACGAATCGAGGACAAGTTGAATGTCAAGGTTGGCTAGTCAACCTATGCATTCATGGCTGTTGATTTTCAAAAGGTACTAGCGGCCGATGAAGTCCACCTCTGCTTCTCATCTATCTTCAATGATGGTACCAGAGAGCTACACGACCTAGAAGGAATGGATGTACTGGTCGGCCGCTGCCCTGCGCACCTTCCAAGCGACATACAGAAAGTGAAGGCTGTCTTCAGACCGGAGCTCCGCCACTTGAAAGACATTATCATATTCCCTTGCACAGGAGACAAACCGCTCGCGCAAAAGCTATCGGGTGGTAATTACGACGGTAATAGGGCGTGGATCTGTTGGGATCCGGATATGGTCAACAATTTTGAGGGTGTTGATATACCACCTAAGCCTTCGTTTGAAAGGTATTTCCTGCCAAATACTCGACAATTAGGGGGCCTTTTTTCTTGCCATGGCAAAAAGCATTTTCTGGATCGATTATTGGAAGAGGCCTTTGCGTTTCACCTTGCGCCCACCTTTATCGGCATTTGCACAAGCCACAAGGAAAAGCTGGCCTATCACAAGAACAGCATCAGCGAAGAGTCTGTTATCAACCTAAGCTGGCTTCTCAGTGATCTTGTGGACCAAGATAAGAGTGGCTTTGTGTTCAACGAAGACATTTGGCGACGGATCAAGAGGGAGATGGGCGGTGGCATGTTGGATCTGGCTCCACCGGCGTACAAAGCGAATACAATCAGATACCTCCCGGAGACTTGCCATATAATCGACTACCTCAAATTGACCTTCTCTAAGATTATTCGAGACGGGTTGGTGGATTTTGGAAAGACCCTGCTGGTGAAGGATGGCGACGATGGCATATCAAGACCAACAACATTTGACGCAGACCTCACTGGCTACTGGAATAGCTTTGAAAAAGAAGCGGACGAATTCATGCGCCGACATCGTCTTTCATCTACTTGGACTTCGGAGCTTCGCTCAAACTTGACGCTGGATATCGAAGCTTGCGTCTCACTTTGGGTCAAGTCAATGAATTCCAGTAGATCATATATCGAAAAAGCCGTTCCAGCATGCGAAGCATGGCGCAAGATCGTTCCGAGGGTTGATTGCAAGTCAGAAGTGGCTTTGGCGGTGATGTGGTCACTGAGAAGGCAGCCTTTTCCCCAGCCGGATCTGGATATCTGGCAGCTGCTGAAAGCCAGTCTAACTTTCAAACTACATCATCAACGTTCTTGGTTCGTGTGGCAGGTTTCAGGCCGCCAGCTCCAGTTTATCAAGGCGTCCAAGGGAGCAGCTTCAGGACAGAGGCCAATCCCAGTTATTGAGAATATGTACCGGGTTCTGCGGCCGGATGGCAAGCGAATCACCAAACTTGAGATGGACCAAGATCGAGGGCCAGGGCAAGACGGTGAAGAAACAGACATGCTGGACTTGTAGAATGAGTATCAGCCAAATTAGAATGTCAAATATGCTTTGATAGGAGCTCTTCCAAGAGTGAGCATGCAAGTGCGATCGTTATTTATGTGTTATCAAAGACAAGGCCACCCATGCCTCGCGTTCTCGTCACGCATTCTCGTCACGATATGTTCGAAGACCGGGCCTTGTAGTATAAAATTAATGCTTCCTTGACCAAGTTGCCACTTCATGAAACGGCGGCAATGAACGAGATGGCAAGTCCAGCAAATACTTGTTCTTCGTGACTTCGTGATTTGGAGTCTGCCGCACCTAGAAGCTACTCCATGAGCTTTCTCTACCGTCGGTTTAATCCTAATGTTCATGTTTCTCGCTCATTGCAATACACCAAATAACTGACTAGCATATGATGTGATGCCGTGATCGAAAGCTACATCACTTTCGAAATATGATGGCGAAAAATGAGATTTGATCGAGCCTTGGTTGATCCTTCCGTCGTAGAGCCATAAGATCTGCGGCAGGGCATTCTCATAGCCACGGCCTCGCGTCATCATTTCAATCAGCAAGAGAGTCATAAGTGCATTAGATGGCTCGCCAACAATAACACCCATGAGCACGACCATGGCCGGTAGACTAGTTTTGACTGTAGTAGCGGTAGCAGACTCTTTGTCTACTTGTATATAATGGCTTCTTTTATAATATTCAAGTTCTACTATTCTCCCCTTGCTAAGGGCCCTATTTTGAGTTATCTTGTCGCATGCAGCTGATGATCGATGCCCGTCAAACTTGACTCATGAATCGAGGTTATATTGGCAAGATATAACCCAGCTTTCCACCCTCAATCATCACGGCCTTTTAGTCTCTCGCTATGCGCTTAAATATGCAGTGAAGCTGCCGCTTCCCGTTACTCCTTTGTTACGCCTCTCTTGATTTCGTGTTACTGCGGGAGCCGCTCTCGGCTAATTCTTCAGTAAATCAGTGACCTAATCCAACCACATAAAGAAATACATAGCATATTTAGCCGTCATTATACCTCTCAGTCGACTTTCACCTTAGTAGACAGTATAGGAGAGGCGTAACACAGGAGTAACGGGAAGCGGCAGCTTCACTACATATTTGAGCGCATTAGCGAGGCTCTGAATGGCTAGGATTTGATTCGGGTTTTCTCTTATGCTTCATGGCTAGAGTTTAGATCTTTAGGAAGGTATAGTCAAACTAGCTATAGCAAGGGGGGTGCCGATGTTCAGTTCTCACCATCTAGAGTAAGCCATCTACAACGTCGAGGTCTAGGATATCATGGATCCTATTAACGAGGGATAAGGCGCTCATATCCGTGACTTTCGCTAGGTCTTAGAGAATAGGCTGGTATCTCGCGCGTTTGATACGTAGGAAGGTATCCCTGAGTCTTTTGCCGAGTTACGCGGCGTAGTCGCAGACTTCAACAGACTTCAGCAGACCAGGCTCTTAGAGCCATGAGGTCCCCATGACGGTCTAAAAACGCACTAGGCGATGGTCTCAGCCTTAGGCCATTATCCAATTAGCCGGTCCCAGAGGCATATAGGATTTGTTTTGGGTCTTTTGTTTCTAATATTCGTTCTCGCTGTTTCGAGACTGGGAAAGTAAGTCTCTCCTATGGACACGTGACTACCTGACAAAAATAGTCACACATTCCAATCACCAGGCAGGAGACGAGTCAGAGAAACATGTACAACCAAGTCGATTGTGCAGGGAAATGCGTATCTCCTAAGCAATACATGTTCAAATAAGGTGTGTAGCACATATTGATTCCTCCAAGCCCCCCGTATAGCATCTCGATGGTCAAATTAGATATGTGGTGTTGAAGAGTCGATTGCCAGTGTCGGTACCTTTGGTGCCTGTGAACTTGTTCTCGGAAAGCCGGAGCGCGACGAGACAAGCACCATGACGTCCCATGAGCTTGGCGAGCGGATGTGTCTCCACAACAACCTCCGCTTGGACAACACCAGCCATGACGACAATGCGGATGTTGGCATGTAGACCACGGACGTGCTCGATAAATTGCATCAGGGTCTTTCCACTATTCACCACCGAGTCCACCAGAAGAATAGTGCACTGGCCATCCACATGATGCCTTTTTATGTCCCCCGCGGACGCGGCATAGATGAACCTTGCCTTTGGGAATACCTCATTGACCCCGAAAGCCATGGGCTCTCCACCACGCATCAACATTGCGATGGTGGTTTGCTGTTCGCCGCGTAGCCGGTGACCGGTTATTCGATGGCCTTGCACGTGCGGCATATCGTACTCTTCGAGCCCAATTAGTTAGGAAACCAATTCGGTGGCCAAGTACCGCCCAACACGGGCATGAGCATCTCGCAGGGCAGGGCCAGCAACCGACGCGTCGCGGGTTGGGGACGTCAACAACTTTGCCGCAGCCTTGTCCGTGGCGTGTAGTATCTTGACAGGGCGACGGTGGCACACGATCGACTCAACGAATTTCTCATCATCGAGGCGGACCAAGGGCAGTTTTTCTTCATTAAGACGCGGTGGTGACTGGCTCGGGAGTAGGACTTGTCGCGCCCGGAAGTTTTCAACGTGAATCGCCTTATATAAGGCTTCATCCATGCTCGAGCTCCTAGTTCGCTTATCGCCGACAACCACAATGGCTTGGTCAGCCCCCTTAAGCATCGGCAAATCCAAGGGACTGTCCCCGAAGGCCCAGACGTACCGGCGGGTATCGTTGCGGAGTTGAGAGACGATGGCAGCCTTGACAGCTGCGGTGACAACGAATCCGTCTGAGATTCTACCTCCACCGATCACACCAACCGTCTTTGACAGGCCATATCTCTGCAAAACCTTTTCCCACACGCGACCAAGGCCACATGTGACGACCAGGGCACCGACATGCCTCTGCTCTGCAACAATTCGCAAGAGGGAGATGATTTCCGGGTGCATGACCACTGACGAAGCCACAGTGTCGCACGCAGTCTCGAATTGTTCATTGTCGGTCGCCTCTTCGTATAGCAGGGTTGCTTGATGGAATGCAGTATCCGAGTAACCCAGGGGACCGCCGAAGAGCTCCTGCAGCGGAGACTTTGCTGCTAGGCTCGGTCGAGTCTGAGCAATCATTTCCCAGAACAATGCACCAGTATCCTCTGTCGCTAGAGTCTTGTCGCCATCCATGACCAAGACCGTCTCTAGATTGTCTCGGTCGGGAAGAGCAAGAATCCCATCAAGCTTAGCCCGTACGCGAGCCAAATTAGACTTGGCGGTGATGGGTTGTCGAAAATGCAGGATCATATCCAAAACTCTTGGGAACAAAGCTTCAGGGTTCGAGACGACAGAGAACAGGATGTGATGCTCTCGACAGACGCCGCGCATTTTGGAAACCTCTGCCTCTTGCCACCTGCGTAGATGTTCCTGAGACATGGCAGTGCGGTCCTTCAGCCCATCATTCAAGCGACGCTGCGAGATAATATCGATGGGGATGTTCAAGTAGATGACGTGGGTAAACGTGGCCAGGTCATTTGAGGTATACACCGGCTGGCCGGTAGCATCCTCCTGTCCCCAAAACATGAAGTGTCCAGTCACGATCGCCACCCGCCCGGTGTCGCAGCTCTCCTTTCTGATTGCCTCAATCGCTTGGCCACGCAGATCAGACTTGCACTTCTCATCCAGTTTGTGAAAAGCCTCCAGACCGCCAGGGATGAGGGAGGCAATCTTGTCCGACCCTTCGAACAAGGCGAACTCGGTCGGACTGAGTTCCTGCTGCAGATGTTTCAGCAGGAACGACTTGCCCGAGCCAGAAATCCCATAAAGCCCAATGACTGTCGGCTTAGGCCCTGCCTGGGGGTCTAGAATTGGACTTGTGTTGATCACAGTGGCAATGGAGGGGTGCATGTCTCGGCTGGAGTTGCCATCACCAACGCTGATGGTTGGAGCAGTGGCCATTGCGAGTACGGCGGGAGACGGCGCAGGCGGGTTGTTCAAGAGAGCAAAGGATAAAATGTGCGTGTGAAAGATTGGTGAGTGGTAAAGATGGTAAGAAATATCGTGTTGGGATTGCTGCGCTTTATACCTGTTTCCCTGCCATGGGCAACATGGATCAGACCGGCCATCCTGATGATACTGTATATCAATGAGGCCTGCCATCACGACAACCCCCTCATGCAGGAGGCCAACCGCTATCCTGACCGATACGTGGGCGCCTATTCTATACGAGAACAAGTGCAAGCCCAGAACGTCCACGACGCAATGACCTGCCATCGCAGCAACCCCTTTATGCGGGAGGCCAACCCTTATCTTGACCGATACGCGGGCGCCTGTTCCATGTGAGAGAACAAGTGCAACAAACTCAGCACGTCCGCGACGTAGCGAGGACAACCGATCGGCGTGCCTCTAGTTAGAGAGCAACGAGCTGTTCCCAACGTCTAGGTCCATCCCATCAGTGCGCCTACTGGCAACCACACTCCGGTCACGGCAGGAGGGGCCATACCATCCGAAGCCGACGACAAACTCGTGTAAAGCTGGCCGGATCGATCGCATGGCGGCACGCAACCTCTTGCACCTTATGATCTTTGTTCGGGTTGACGACTTCGCTTATTGAAGACGGCTCGGAATGATCGCACAAGAAGGCGGCTGTTCGGTAAAACTGCCACCTCGATGTGTATTTCGAAAGCAGGTACGCGTATACGACGAGATGCGGAAGGGCAAAATCGGGGAGTCTTCGGAGAGGGTGACCATCGTGCTGTGCTCGGCTGATAATATAGAATACATCGGCCGTCTCGCTGAGCTTTTGGAGGGGGGTCATTGCGAGGCGTCGTTCGCGGATTTCCTCGCGCAACCTGTCCTTGTACCACGGCTGTGGGTGTCGAGACAGGCACAGAAAGCCGTGCCATCGAAGCAAGGTTCTCTCTGCTACCGAGTGCATACCGCCCAATCCTGTCAGTCTTCGGAGAATTGAGGTGATCACCTCCGCAGAGGTGCAAGTTGAAGACTGCACCAATCGATCACCGTGTTAGCCTAAGGCCATGGTCTCGTGGTCCTTGGTTTACCCGGTCCCCATTCTGGAGCTCGGGCCGAGTTATCGATAAGAACTTTACCCCTCCAGAGTAACTAAACCATCAAATACACTCATCGTTCCCTCCTGGCCGAAAGCCCACATTCATTAAAGAACATGTCGACCAACCGTATTGAAGTCGACCCTAGCGGTGATACTTTGGTCATTCTTCCAAGAAACCACCCTTCCTATGGTTGCTCAGCCTCTGCCCAGTTCGGCAGCTCTGAAAGCTTGGGATCCCAGCCTGAACTCCACTTCTTATGTTCAAAAAAGCATCTGACACTGGCATCGCGTCGCGCCGACAAGATAGTTGCAAGTGGTTTCATAGAAGCCATACCAAAAGAAATAGACGGCCTTCACCACTGGAAATTTGAGGCAATATTCGATCCAGAAGCTTTTGAGATCGTAATGAAGATCATTCATGGAAAGACCCGTGACATCCCTCGAACAGTCAAATTAGACCTTCTGGCTGGAATTTCTGCTGTCGTCGATGACTTGGAATGCCACGATGCTCTTTGGTTCTTTGCCAAAGGATGGCTCCTCAGTTTCAAGAATCGCGCACCGAAACGGATGAACAAAGAGCTCACCCAGCTTATCCTCATTTCGTTTGTTTTTGATGACGCTGTCCTTTTCGAAACATCAACAAAGACAGCCATAACGTGCAATACAGGTCTTGTGCCCACATTCAACCTTCCAATACGGCCAAACATCCTCTGTAAGTTAGCAGCCTCTAGCTTAAGATGAGGGCTGACTGGATCAGGGGAAATCGAGGAGAGGAGAGAAAATGCCTTGGACAAGTTAATTAATGGCTTGTATGACCTAGAACAACGACTACTTAGCTAAGAGCTGGGTTGTAGCCGGGGATGTAGATCAATCATGCTTGGGACGTTGATGTAAGACATGAAAGCATGTTCTTTGTACTCGCCACGGCCATCCACGCTATTCCCTTCTTCAAGTCTTAGCTCGGCTATCGAATCGTTGCGAAATTTTGAATCACCAAAGTATTACAGTTCGACACAGGACACTCCTCTCGGGAAACATTCAGGCAGCTGGAGGCTCTCCTCTTATCCTTCTTACTCAAAGAATCCTGGACAAAACATCCCGTCTGGTTGGGGGTTTCCTCTGGACCAGAAGGACACGCCCCAACTTCTCGTCCGTCACCACTGTTCCTTGGAAGATCTCATCAGCCCTTTGTTGCAGGCCGCGGAAACCGAGGTGAAAGGCTTAAGACTAGCCCAATACCTGAACCTTTAGCCTCAAACTGCCGATGATCAGTTTTTAACCAAGGGTTTTTGTGCGAAAATGGGGATTCGCTGGGTAGATAGTCTAAATCATCGGGAGGCCTCAGCCGACTGCCTTTAACGAAGTGTTAGAGTGACCACAAAACCTCTTGATGCCTGGGAGTGTTACTAATTTCCAGTCGTGTGGCCAAAAAGATTTACTAGACGAACGATCTCCGGGCAGTGGGTGAAGACACCCGAGCCCAGAGGGTTAGGTGATTGGTCGAGTGACCCATAGGTTTCGCTGAGAGTCCAAGATCTCATCTCGTCCTCGGGATTCCTCTGCTGGCCACTTGAAGATTCTTTCCCGTAAGCTCGGGCGCTTAACTGCCGTCTCCCATGCGAAAGGTTATGTTTATTCCTACATCAAGGAAGTGTTTCAGGAACTCGTCTAAGGCGTGATTTACATAACTAACATTTCTTAGCATAATTCAACATTGCTAGCACAGAAAGACACAGATTGCCTGGTACCATACAGGGCAGAAGCTTTTTGCTGTAGGAGGATACTCATATGGCGAGTATTGATCCCCAGTTCCCTTAAATCTTACTGCCTAGTATAGCCTACGCTAGTTGTACGTCCAAGTACAACTTCCCATTTCCCAGCGAACTGTGGATTAGGGCGTGTTCCCTGGTGAGAGTTGCAATCAGTCCTCGATATGGGCCGGCGTCAGGACCGGACAATGTCTATAGGTTTGAGATATCCGCTGTATGAGAGGGAGCAAAAGGTTTCAAACTAAGCTGGCGGTCATCGGGCTTCAAAATCGCCTCAAGAGGAAATTCGAAATCCAGCTTCCTAGCACACGCTGGTGGATGGATTTGATCTTCCCGTTGGGTGGTTTTATTGTATCATAACTGGGCAAGATTCGTTGTTGTAATGCCATCTCCCGGTATGGTGCATTTGTTGGCGATTCTTGAGTATGGGAAGGAATATGACGAGGATGAGATCATGGAATTTAATGAGGAAGTCTCTAGTCTTTTCTCTATCGAATCGAGCGAGGAGGGCGAAGTCTTGCTGCACCCATGTCATTGACTCGGCAGTGTTTGTAGGTGGTGAATCTTAACACGAGACTGCTCAGATTCTCGCCCTTCTTGTCACTGCTGGTGTTGTTGAGGGTGACCTCGAGAGAAAGGATTATGGGGATAGGAAATAGATGCTGCTGCCTTCCTCTAGCTGTGAGGACTCCTTCCGCCATAGACGTTGCTCGGAAGAGGCCTTGTCACGAAGCCGAGGCGGGATCGAGAGTGAAACTGATATTTGGAGCCCTTTGCTCAGGTGAATGATGTGCCGTATATTTGATTGAAGGTATATGTTACTCACTTATTAATTTTATTTTATATTTCTTATTCCTTCCATTTTCCTCTCCTTATGTTTTCTTATTTGTTTTGTTTTATCCCTTCCTTTTTTATGTTCGTTTGTTTTGCCGATCTTTTTCTTTACGGCTATTTGTAGGCGGAGTATAACCCAAGGAAAGCCTCTTAACGCTCGATCTTAATACTCAGGTGTGGCCTTGTACGTCTTCCTATGGCCAAAACGTGATCCCTACGAGAGGGGAGCGTAGCGTCGCACGGGGAGAGCAATATGACTACCCCATGATTGGGCCATGTGCAAAAGCGACTAGGGTCCCCGAGGCGTTAGAGCGTTCGAAACTCAACCAGTGTCCACGGAAAAAAGAAGATAATTTTGTGAAGATGATGATGACAGGCCAATACGCGGACGAAACCTGCGTAATCTACTAAATTGCAGGCTGTCCTTGGTACAAGAGGATGAGGCAACAGCGCAAGTAACACATGTCAACGTCAACTACGATACTCGAGTAGCAAAACCATTCTTCGATCCTACATGCAAAAATCCTGGGTGATTTGCGATTCTTCGTTCTGCGCGAATCCTGCGATGCTTAACAGATTACCGGATCCAATTATCTGATAACAGTGCCATCCCACCAACCATCTAGCTTCAGACGCACTAAGCTAGCCAGGTGAGTTGAGCCATCGGCTTCTATAGCCCCTTCGTCTATGTCGTGAAGTATGCGGTTGATATAATTCCCAGCAGCGCTAAGCTGTAAGATAAGGCAAATTGCGCGATGAACGGCAAGAAGCCGGGGGTGTGGAGGATCGATCGTTCGCTCAGGAGTCAAGAATAATTGCCGCGTTATAGGAAGAACAGGATATTTCAACGCTTGGTCGAGTGTTGAATCAATCCGGTAAGTATGAGGCCCAGGTCTTGGCTCAAAAAAAACCTCAAAGTTGCCAAAGTCTTGATGGAGGTCCATCTCCAAGGTCAGCGCATTAAGAGGTCGATCAATGTCTACACCATCGATCAAACTAGCAACCCCTGTATCGAACATATCCAGTATTTGCCGTGCGAAAGCCTTGGATTGATTCTTTAATACCGTGTTAGCCAAGGTTTCCAAGTTTTAAGTCGACCTACTAGTTCAGAGTTTGCTGTCGTGGTATTTAAGGAATGAGGGAGTATGTGCGCAACCTCAAGGGCCACAAATGACCCACGTTCTAGGTCCTTGAGAGGTAGTCCGTTATTATCTAAGGCGTGGTGGCGTCCACTCTGGTCGAAACGTTGCTTAGCCTCCTTCTTGTCGAATTTACGAGATATCACACAACGATGTCGATCATGACTCAGGCAGTCGCGTCTAAGCGAGGCCACTCGTTCTCTAGACTCTAGAGCAGAGTATCTGCTCGGGGCTTGGGAGGATCCTGCCGGCGAGGGTTGTGGCGTCTTGGTGGCAGACGCCTTGACTGGGATAGAGTTAATATAAAAATTCCAAACGGTTCTGGCGATTACCTACGAGGGAGAAAGAAGTCATTTACCAAGAAATCTGCAAACGAGTTCAGGCCCGAGCGGATTCTTTCCACCGCTGCTTCATCATTGAAATTAATACAGTCGTCAATCGCAACTTTGATAAATCTGAGGAATTCCTGTAGGAAAGGGCATCTAGGATCGTCCGAACGGGAGTATTCATATGTTAAGCGAACCAGCTTGGTATGATTATATCCTTTCTCTTCGGTTGAGCTCGAGCAGTCTTCGAAGTGATTGATGATATCGTAAAAAGTGGCCTTAGCCTTGTCACTTTCAATAGGGCTCAATGGACGCCACGTGCTCTCAGAAAGATCAATGAATCCTTCAAGTGAGGATCTATGGCGATGGAGAGGCCCCATTATTGATTGTCTTGATTTCAGGTCTAGAGTTGAAAAGATGAAAAGATGCAATCAGGTTCAGGTTCAGGTTCTATTCCTTCTCGGTTTTAGTCGCCATTTCCCAGCAGCCATGCCCGGAAAGTGGGGTTTGGCCGACAGCCGAAGCGCCCCGAAAGTTTATCCGCTGCGCCCCACTGAAAGATTCAATCACCTGACGACTAAGATGTCACGTGGGCTTAGAGCGTCTTTCTGCCTCAGGCATGAATTCTCGCTTGCCCTCTATCCTCCAGTGACAGTCAATCACAGCACGGATACACCTTGACAGGGAGATACACTTATGCCGTAGCACGAGGGCGAAGTCATTGCGATAGAGGAAGGGGATTTATTATGCAAGGTAGCTACGGACTGAGGCGAGAAAAGAGTTCCATCTTTATTTAGTTGACGGCGAAGAACAGGAGTCAAGACAGAAACACAAAAGCAACATGGCAGGAAGATGCATCGATCTGCTTTGTAGTAGCAGGCTAACTAGTATTAGGAAAAATGTAAGGTCTGGGGCTCTCTAATTGAAGTGGAGGGTAAATTTTATGTTCAGGATGCGCTGGCGCTTCCACCATGCGGTGGAAAGTGTTGCAAACCGAAAAAATTCCTGATTGGAAATATCAGTCGCCTAGTATCTGCTACCTTAACAGTTGGCCCGTCTCCGGGATGTGAAAGCATGAAGTCCGGCTTTTCCTCATTAAATATGACAGGGATCTAAATCCAGCCTTCTTAGATAAGAAAGTTTTCTTGTGGGATGTGCTGTTCGTGGTACTGGATCTGGCGCGACGGAAAACCACTTTTGCACAGTTGTTGATCTGTGACACAGCTATGGCTTGTAGGTGTCAAGGGCAGGGATCACAATCATCATGGAGAGTTTCATCATTAGTATGAAAGCTACATCATACTTAGCGTCAGGAAGCTGTCTGCTACCTAGGAGACCAGCAGCCTGCACACAGGTATAAGACACCGACTCTCGTCACTCCTTTACATAGCAAAATCAAGCGCTCATTTGATCCTCATGACCAAATCAGTACCTGTGATACATTGAGAGCAGCAATGTGTCCATGACTAGATGCGGAAATATACAGTCGGGGAGTTTTCGCAGGGCATGACTGTGGTGTTGGCCCCGGGTGATAATATAGAATACGTCAACCATCTCATCAAGCCTTTGGCAAGGGGATCATTAGGGTCGGGAAGATCCATCATTATCATCGTTGGTTGTTTTATTCCCTTACTGGCTTCTCCATTAGTACTCCATTAGTGCTCGCAACCTTGCTGTGGAAAATCAAGCATAAGACGAGAAGCAATAGGCGTCACCAGAGACGCCATTGGGTATAACAGGGACAGAGAGTTCTTTATTATCATCAGCTCACGATCGGCTGTCGCTAATAAACGTATTGGAATGACTATAGAATCTCCCACTACGTGCCCAGGGACATCACTAGGAATAAGTCATGGGATCAACGACATCATCTCTAGAGCTATCACCTAGCGACAAGTCTAGCAACGAGTCTCCACGTCATTTTCCCAGAGCCTAGCACCCGTTTCAGAGCGTTACAGTTCGACGATCGACGAGTATAAAACTACGCTTCTAACCACGCTTCTAACCACGCTCCCACGCCCTGCTTCTCAGCTGCTTCATTCCGGTCTAAGTAACAATCAACTAACACCACCTCCACGGGTAATCATGGTGACATATTCCCTTCGGGAGTTTCAAGATCACCTCGACCCCATTACGACTAGCATCAGATCAACAATGCCTCCCAGTGTGACTTCCTCCCCAGCGGAGCTATACACAATTAAACACGATCGAGATCGAACAGAGAAATGCCTTCAGACCTGCGCTGAAGTGCTCTGCTGTATCGATGCGGCACAACTTCAGCTCCTGTCAGAAAGGGCGACGACCCAGTCATCTTCTGGCTCATCAACAGGCCTAAGCGAAGCCCATCTCATAACCACCGCAGCGCTGCAGGAGTGCGGCCATAAACTCAACCAGACGCTTTCGCGGTTGTATATTCACATGGAGAAAATGGATATGGAGTTGCCTCTGTCGTCGTCGCCAACTGAGAAGAACCTTACAATTCGCAATCATGATGCGAGCTCGGAAAAGTCACTTATTCTGGGGGACGTCAGCGTCGGTAAAGACGGCAGACAAACGATTGTCTGCTTGGCTGGAGATGTCTTGGAGGTGAAACAAGCAACGGTGGGGGACAGGGCAGTGCAGTTCATTGGCAGTGTTTGGGACGCCAAACCACAGGAGATGCTTAATGACCGCGGTCTATGATGTCTTCGCGTGAATTAGTAAACGAAATGATGATTCATTAATGAGTGGAGTGGATCTGTCATTAAACACTAGTGAATAGAGTTACCCGTTGGTATCGCCACTCGTGGTAAATGGTTCAATAGGCGTCAGCTGGCGGCGACATATATTCCCAACTTCAGCAGTTCAGGAAATCCTCGACCCCAGGCATTGCGTGGTCGATCAACCACGATTTAATTAACAGGTTTCAATATCTCTGAGACCAGCCCTCAGCATAGGCAGGGCTGGTATGGCCCAACAGGAGCCAGATATAGTATTAGAATATCATGTCTGCATTAGTGTTCTTTGAAAAGCTGATTCGAAAACGAAAAAAAAAAGAAAGAAAAAAAATTCTTGTTTTTAAATCATATCGTCTAGTCAAAGTAGAAAGCCAAGCGTTTTACCCAATACGAAGAATAGCCATAACCCTGTGGTCGGCGTTGCCAATCTAAATCCACCTGAAAAGCAAAGAAATAATGAGAGGGAAAACATGTGAACTGCAAGATATAGGAAAGAAAGGCTAAAAGGAACTACTTAGAATAGACTAGCCCAACGGGTCTCCTGAATGGACTGCAGAGCCGAGTCCGGACACTAGACCTCCGCCTCAGATATACATAATGCTTGCTCACGATCTTCTCTGAAGATGTTGCTTATCAATGTGCCGTTTGCGGTTGTCGTCTCGAGTGAATGTCTCGTCATAGTCAGAATAAGGGCACTCTCCTCCATCGGGAGGAATTCCATTATTCGGGTCGTCCGCAAATGTCCTGTGTTCAAGTCGGACGTGGCGAAACATGGCATCGTTCCATTGGAAAACTTTCCCGCAGCCTGCTTTACATGGTACCGGAGGAACATGCGTGCGATGATGTTTACTATAAAAAAGAAATCAGTTTTATCACTGGCTGATGCAATTTTCTTTTCGTTTCTTCTTCTGATTGGCTTGATGTAGTTTGGCAATGCGTTAAGCCAAAGGGAAAGGGAAGTTACTGACTGAAGTTCAGTAGGCCTTAGGAAGACCTGGTCACAACCAGCGAACTCGCATTTGACTGGCCCCTTCCTGGTTTTTGATGATGAGCTTTTTTTCGACTTCGTCTTGGGCTTCGAAGCAGCATTTGTTGTTGAATTGGAATCTGTTTTGGAAGCGTCGGGGTTTCCATCCTGAGTACAATAGCCAGTAGGGAGAGAAGCGCTCCCCCGCTCCATCGGATCATGAACAAGGGATTGTGGGTTTAGGACGTCGGGGGACAAGTGATTTCGAGGAAAGCTTGTAGAAACAGAAGAAAAATCCATGGTATGATGGTCACTAGGCTCCAAGCCGATACTTCGTTGGGGCCACGTTAAAATACCTGCGTCGTGTCCGGATGGGGAGCCGCTAGCACCCTATAGGTTCTGGGGCACATTTCCGGCCGTGCAAGGCAGTGGCTCGTACAAAGATACATTGGCCGTGTATCCGTAATGTTTGGGATCGGTAGGGTTCCCTTGAAATGCAGGATCTTCGAGCATTCGCGGATTCAGGGTGCCAGTCACGGGTTCCTCTTCAGGCAGACAGCAAGCGGTGTGGTATGCCTCGTCAGAACCGCTCCCGTTTATATCCAGGCGAGATGGCAAATTCCCGTAGTCGTATCCCTCCTCCCAGATCACCTCCCTTGCACCCAGCGACAAGGCGGGATCATAAGCGCCAGGTTTGAAAGCAGGGTCTTTATTGACCATCTTGTTGTGCATGATGGATCCGATGCGCATGACCCTAGTAAGCTCTTCGTCATATGTCAAACCCGATGTTTCCTTGGTCATGACTTCGGCGGAGACTCTCACCTAGATCTGACAAACACCCGCTAGGCGCACCTGCCTGAGCAGCGTGGTGCTGCGTTTCTCGCAGCTGCACGACAATGATTCCCTCTTCTTGAACCACAGAGACTGGTGGGCCTATCGCTTGCCTGGAAGGAATATAAGGAATCAAAGGGAAGGCCGGTGATGAAGCCTGATGCAATGACATCAAGAGAAATTCTGAACGCTCACATGGGCTTTAAACTTCATGGAATGCTGGCCTGGCCTTCTCAACGAAAAGAACATGCCAAGAGCAAGGCGCAAGAGCGGGTCGCATTTGCTGGTAGACAATCACACTTTCGGGTTTTCCACTCCTCCACGAACCAAATAACGAACCAGAATTCGCCAACGTCTCACTGGTGCTGGTGCCCCACTTCTGCGGGAGGAAACCATTTTTTCATGGATGGATATGCGAGACCGCCTCCTTGTTGATTCGTCAAGAGATTCGATGTTGGAATAGAGACTCCACTCTGAGCTCCACCACTCATCGGCATAATGACATGCTGAAGATCCCGCCACGCTGTTAGCGCCTAGATGCGTTGAGGGAGTCACCACTTGGTGGAGGGAACGGGTCCGACGGGGTCGAGTTGAACCAATCATACAAACCTTGAGCTCATGAAATGGCTCCCTCCCACATTACCCGTTGGCTCATGTGGGTCTAGCGACCCATCGATTTCGGTCTCGATTTCAGAGAGGTGGAGAACCTAGATTGCAAGCACATGATTGGGTTAGACTAAGAACCGGGATCAAAGTGGTCTGCCTCCCGCATACAGGGCGAAACCGCGTTTGCGCACTTCGCGACGGTAGTATCCCACTTTACGCCAGGGATTATTCTGAAGTTATTGAGTTCTCGCAAGTCAGGACGCGTGCGTTTGCGTAATTCTCATTCACGTAAGCAGTTACATTGATTCTACCCGAAGATTTGTTCCAGGTCAGATGTAATTCAAGTCTACAAATACCCTATTACTCTCTTCCCTCGTTTGATCTTTGAGCATACCTTTAAGAACACCTCAAAGCACACGAACTTCGAAGTCCATCTCTTTCACAGACAATTTCATAAAGCAAACAACTGTGTATTGGAAACACATACAAGTCAGTTTATCATATGCTGCCACCAAAGCTTCCTGATGCCCACCTCCTTTGACCAGACGCCGGGGAAACATTAGCTAACGCAGCCTTAAAATAGTTCTCTGATAAACATGGAGTCAATTGAAAGAACCATCGTTCCTATCAGCCCTACTCGCAACCGAGAGTTTTACCTACCAATTATCCTTGAAAATGCCCTCATCAAAGCTTGTCGAAAGAGTCAAGCCGGCTTCGAGCGAGAGGCAAACAATGAAAATGACTCGCTCCTTACCCAAGAACAGGCTTTCCATTCTTTCGTCTATAAGCTAGCTTAGGTCTGTGATAACGAGCGGGGTGGAAACACCATCACAGCGTTCACTGTCGTGAAGGGCGACTGTGGTCCCGCATATATCTTTGCGTCAAATCTGCGAACTGACAAGCAGCTTGAGGAGACCAAAGAGTTTGTTCAAAGTCTTCTCGAATACGTGAGGTTCAATCCCGAAAATCTTAACCGCAAGCCCTTTCTAAAGAAGGTTCTTTGGCGCATCCTATACTGGAACTTACCCAGGGTAGATGCCTACTTGGGTAACCTTGTCAGGGCGCTTTCTGGCTGCATTGATGACTGCTTAAGAAGACAAGGCAGCCGTGGTATGTACACCACCGCTCCCCGTGTCGAGTGGTGGCGAAATACACCCCTTCACTAACCGGTTGGCTGCTCCAGCTTCTTCTTTGGTCCGACAGTTGGAGGAGTTTCAAAGAAAAGCCGAGTTTCCGAGAGATGTCGAGTCATCCGATAACGCTTTGCCCAAGTGTGCGTCTTGAAAAGCTCATCTGTGAAAGATTGAACTAACTAAATAAGTTATGAGCGACTGCGAGAGCCTTATTAAAGCCATTCATGCGAATGCGAACACAGAACTTGATGAAGCTATTCGGAGCAGGGCCAGGGATGGGGAAATGTCCAATTCGGAGCCCTGGTGCGACTTACGACACTATTTTGGTCGCCTACACTCTTATCGCCAGGCAGCTGAGATTATCATCAGTGCCTTCAAAAGATGGCCTCTGCTTTTTGAAGGCTTCGAAATCATTCCAGTACCGTCTAGTGTTCCGTTGCAGAAGCCTGTCGCCAAGTCCATGGAGACTACGGCCGCAGACGTCATCGGCCAAATCATGCCTGAACAAGACCTGACGCCATATAAGCCTTATATCGAGGATCTACAAAACTTCGACCTGGATCAAAATATCAGGGCGCAGCTCGCCAACCGCCGCTTTAGGCCGATCGTTCACTGCGAGGTCCTTGTCCATGACTACTTACTCACGCATGGTTTCACATCACCGAGCAGCTTTTGGAATGATTGGAAGTATATTGGCAGCAGCAAACGTACATGCCGTCTCTGTCAATACTACTTCAACTCCCACATGGACAAGGTGGAGGTGAGGCCGTCGCACCAAAATTTGTACCCCAAGTGGCGACTCCCAGATATCTACGAGCACCAGGGACCTGAAGCTGTTGCGCAACGCGACAGGATCATGACTGAGATCATTGGAAATATCCGTCGGGATGCGCTGATAACACTGCAAGGGAAACTACCCCGAGGGAAAAGACATGATTCCAATACGCAGTCGGGGATGCCTAAGTTATTTGAAGGTCTCTTGAGCGAGTCCATGACCACAAGCGACATGGCTTCTCGCCTTTCAGGAATGGTTTTGAGCGCAGGCGTTCCTACGAGAACAACTTCTGTTAAGGAAGAAGATGATAACTGGAGCGTTAAGGGGAGTCTGAGCGGCCTAGCTGAGCAAGACGAGGAGGGTGATGGAGGCATTGCGGTTGCTTGATCGGTCAAGAAAGGTAGAAGTCAGGCATGGGGTGGAACGGTGTATTTTTTTTAGTTTTTATCGTCTCGTTTGTTTAGTTAATAGGTTTTTTTTTGGCTTTTTGGCTTTTTGGCTTTTTGTTTTTTTTTTTAAAAAAAAAAAAGAAAGAAAGAAAGAAAGAAAAAATAATGGCCGTCATCTTAAGCATGTGGTGGAGCAGACAACCAGAAGCTAAGTTAGCTGTCGTAGTGTTTAAATATACGACATACCTAACGACCAAGCACTGTCTCATACCACCCATTCCAAGGCGAAGCCTTGCCCCTTCCACCTGAGTTTGATCACAGGCCTACAGTACCATCCAGTACCCCTCTGCCGATAAGACCCCTCTACTGATAAGCAAAAAAAAAGTTTCCCCATACAAACTGCTAATTTTCAACCCCCTCACAAAGAGCCACCAGAAATACGAAAAACAAGTCAATTCCTATTTTTCCAGCTTAGAATCGAATGTATTTTAATATAGTCTTGGTCTTCTAACTGCACGGCCTGCGCGCGTGCGTGTGACAGCTAACTCTTCCGCCTCCGAATTTGAGCCCTCATTCTCTTCCACTCCGCCCACCTCGATCACCTCTTCGACACCCTCTGTCTCTTCAATCACTTCGTTTGGCTCAGAAATAGTGTCACCTATCACTAGAGACTCGGCCAGTGTCATAAACTTCCTGTTGGGATTCGGTATCGCTTTCCTCTTCTTGCCTCTGCTCAGCCTCCCGACTCCCTCCTCTAAACTGGCTACTCTTGAGCTTAGAGAAGCGATCTTTGACTCTTATGCTTCAAAACCTTTCGATATCACAGAATAGCGCCTTCTTGTCGAAGGGCTTTTGTTCTTACCTAGATCCCTGATGTGACGGCTGGTCTTTGGCGTGTTATCAGAGTCGCGTTGCCCGTCGCTGAGGCCGTCTGATGCGGGCGTCGTTTCCTTCTTGTCAGGCTGGATCTCAGGATGTATGAGCGCTTTCCGTTGTGAAATCGGCCAGTTTCCAGTCACTCTCCAACCAGAAAGGATGTTTTTCTTCGTCATACCCACTTCTCTGCCTTTGGCATAGGCCTTGATGAAGTTGACCTTGTCCACCGGCGCAGAATCGGTCAGGCTTGTCAGCTTTTGGAGTTCTTTGCGATAGGCCGCCTTGGATGCATTAAATGGACCATTGTCGAGTGGTTGTAGGCCGTGGGAGCAGTGAGCCGGCAGGTAACAACAATACACGTTGTTCAAAAAGCACGTAGCCATCCACTCATCCTAGATTTACGGTCAGCGACATCCCCGGCCCAGGTGGCCCGGAAAAGGCGGATACGAACAGATACATGGCTTCGATGACCATCTAGTATGATAAGCCTCGCATCAGACTCATCTTCCGGCTGTGTTTGGGGAAGATAGACCTATTTGAGCCACTCGACCGCGATATGGTTGTCTGTCCAGCCGTTGTCGGACGTGATATAATACCAGTCAGCCACTTCCTTGAGCTCATCAATAAACCACTGTTGCTGAAGCTCTTTGCCTTTGAAGATAATCCCCGGCTTCAGAAGACGGCCAGTTGCAGTTGCGGCTTCGAGAAAGCTGGTCCAAGTGCGGGACTGGGAGCCTTTGAGGAAGGCTTTCTTCTTGGGGTCGCTACTGCCGATAACTAAGGAATCCAAGCCTATATTGGCAGCTGGTTAGTTTGTCTCATGAAAGAAACGACAAAATACTCACCAAATCCGGCCATGATGCCGCCCTCGTCAACATTAACAGTGTTCTCAGGTTTGATCCAGCCATATTCGCTCTCGCGGATGTCAAAGTACCAATTGACGGCGGTCGGGGTAAAACAATTGAACCTCGACGCCTCCTGGCGTTTTCCTATCTTGGTCTTTATGGACGGATGTCGTTTCATAAACCTGGCTAGCCAATATACGCCGATAGGCTTTTCCCTGCCTTGCTGTTGTAGGAGGGCAGCGACGGTGGCGCGAACTTGACTGTGAGAAGGAGCATAGCCCAAGGCCTCTTGTCGAAGTATCCAGGAAACTAATCTGGACTCCTGAGACTTGGATAACAGCTGGGCGGGATGGGTGACCTCGGACTTTGGCGGTACACCTCTTAATCGGTTCGAAAGAGTCGGCTGAGGGATGCCGTGCTTCTGGGCGGATTGGTTCTGCGAGAGACCGTTATCTGTGACATCCAGTATTGCTTCAATAACGTCATCCTCTGTGTAAGAAGCTCGAGCCATTTTTCAAGGCGATTATGGAAGGCCGGCGCAGATAAAAGTCCTACAAGCTTTGGGGAGGAGTGTTCGTGGAGGAGGCATTGATAGAAATTTTGCGATAGTTCCATGCGGCCAAACCGCCCATATAGCGTAAGCAACAATAGCATAATACGAAACAGCATGAAACTCTCAATAAGACACAACTTGTTTCACGTAAGTAACTTCAATTTTGGCCAAGCACCGTGTAAGTGAAATTGGGCATTTTGTATGGGGAAACTTTTTTTTTGCTTATCAGTAGAGGGGTCTTATCGGCAGAGGGGTACTGGATGGTATTAAAAAGCTAGGCTTTCCAGAAGCCAACCGTAGTGCAGATACGCGGGCAGCGGGGAGGTTTTGTGTCCGGCTTCTTCTATGACCGTCTTTCTGACTGTGTCGTCTACTTGGACATGCACAGGGCCTAGACTTTGTTCTGAGGAGCTATTCTCTCCTTGTCTATGCTGGTAAGCCTTCGGTCTCATAAGAGCGATGGTAGGTCTGAGAAAAATAGAAGCGGATGGAAGAAAAGCGTACATAATCAGGGCTCATTCTTGGGCAGAGCCGAGCCTAAGGAAAACATTCCTCACTAAACAACATACCGCTGGAATCACCTTCCAACTTACGGAGAACTGCACCCAAAACTGTCCCAACCGAACGTTGATCCAACGGCCAATAATTTTATGAAGCACATAACTTGCTGATTTATGAAGCAACCAGAATACCAGAAGCCAGCCCAAGCTACTCTCTCTATTCGTGAGCATCGAGCACGACTGACTCCTCTTAGCGATTTGATATTTAGGCTATAGACTACCGGACATACAGTATATCCATGGCCATGATTGTCATTCCCACCGATTGATTTGGAAGGAAAAATACAATTTACCCCTTTGTTTGGTCCTGACCAATCTACTCAAACCTGATGGTCTCTAGGCGACGCGCAAACAACGGTAGTCCCGCATCGAATAAACACCTATCAGGCGTCGACTGACAGCAATCCCCTAACAACAGTCGGGGTACTAACCCAATTTGCACTAATAAAGCACAATGAGCGGGCGGAGCCGATTCCCTGGCCAGCGTTGCAAATGCTTAGGAAGATTGTCGTGAACTAACGCTGGACGATCCCCGCAACTACTCTATCATGGCGTTGACCGTACATCAGCTCAGAGACTGTCAAAACGAAGCCTGTCTCCGAACTTGCTCGTAGAGTGCGCCAACACCTTCGTCTTAGTGTGGGAGCTTGGTATGATTTTCAACCTTAAACAGTTGGTCAGAATGGTCTAGTTGCTCCCGAAGAATCACCAAAGTGTCAAGACTAGACTTAATGCTAGCCGACTTATCTTCAAGATCGTTGGGTATGTCGAAGAGTGCTTCCATCACATCGTCATTTAGATCTTGTGATGGACTGAAAAGAATTCTCCCCTGGGCGAGTAATCCTGAACACAGCAAGAGGCAACGAAATGCCAGGTTTGCTAAGATTTCAACTTTCAAGACAACAGAGCCCATGATAGTGCGAGCATCGGGACGCTGGGCCAAAGACCTTCTTGGCTGTTCCTCGTATTGAACCAGGCCTTCTTCCCCGCCAGAATCGACGGTGCTGCCATGATTTATCCTATTGCTTCGTCCAGGTGGCGATACATGTCTTTGACTAACTCCGCAATGCCATTCGAGAGATCGATTCTATCAGGACTTAAAATAGTAATTTGAAGCTTGATACTCAGCTGAACCTGGAATAAAGCCTCAGTTGCAACGCTTTCCAGTTTCTCGAGGAGCTTTGTCTGACGAGAAAGTCGTGCTCGTAGCCGTGCGACGGTCAGAAGCTCGTCGTCAACTGGAAATGCGTTTTCGTGAATGTTCAAATAACCAAGCTGTTTCTCAAGATTAGAATCGTCGTCATCATCTGAAATGCCAATGACGTAGCTGAGTCGCGAGGGTGAAGACGTTGAGACCTCCCCAACAGCTTGTAACAAGTTTTGCTGACTTCCGAGCTCGCCAAGTCGGCTGAGGATGTCTTGCCGTGTGGAGGGCCGGTAATATTTGTAATCTCTCTATAAAAGATAGAGCCTTGCAATATTTTCGGCCCCTTTGTTGTAACCTGAGGCAAATAACTGTCTCAGCAGAGTGTTCACCTGCTGGCGTTGATGTTTAGCAAGTCGACCTTCGGACTGTGGGTAATATCTTGGCCCTTTCTGAATTCCCATTATCTTTCGCAGAATGATCAATATCGCGGCTATCTTCGTTAAATAACTAAGAGCTCTAGAGCTATTGGATTTTCTGAAAAGTTAGACTATATCTTTATAGCTGGAACTTTGTGGGCTTACATATGCTTAGTGGAGCTATTATTATAGGCCGTCTCTATCCACCCAGGGACCGTAGTTGAACCTGCCAATTCGGCAAATGCCAAGGCAAAATAACAGATAAGCAGCATTCGACAACATGCTTTTCGAGATTCATCGTAGCAGATGGCTGCAGCTAGGTGGAACGACCGGATTGCGACTGTAGTACTGCCCTATATGTCTACCTCATGACGAAATGGCCATTTACCGACTCCGTATGACTTAAACTGAGCGACGAATGGCTGTTAGCAAGGCCGATTCCAACAACATAGAACAACCTTGGGCTTCTTGAGCTTCAAGATTTCCTCGATTAGCTGATGACATCGCTCCGGAGGGATAGGTGTTGAATCCTGTGGTTTGAAAGAGAATGCGTCAAGGACGGTCACAGTATGAATGCTCCGAGCTCCCTTGGAGCCGAATCTGATGAGTTCATTAACTCTCTTTAGCGTCTCGCATCGTCTCACAAACTCGCTAAAGGTCCCGTGGTAAGTTTATGATATGTGCGGTCGCTCTAGAAGTATGACCAAGTCCGATTGTCTAGAGGCGAGACTGTATGCTTGATCAATCTCGTCTCTCGGTCGCCCGAATTCCTCGCCGAAATTCCTGATGAGCTTCACTGCTTGGATGTCCGGCTCACTAGAAAAGCAAACCGGTGGCTCGCGGATAAGCCCCTGGACACAGCGGGGAACGGGTATATCAAGGCAAAGCATTGTGCTATTACGGCCATGAAGTCGCTGTTGACACAATAGTTCAAGGTGATCGTTACGACGTGATGGGTCGAGCAAGTCGTCATTGCTAAATTCTTGGATTGCAACTTCTATGTCGCGCAAAGATTAGCGAGCGAACAAGGTTCGTTCTTTACATAGGCCATTACTCAAGCCTTAAGTTAACCAACCGAACATTCGCTGTTACGCATCATTGCGCGTCAGCAAACCCATTCGCTTAGAGTTCGTCCCTCACATCCTTTTAGGGCCGTCCAATCATCATCCTTTTGTATGTCATGGGGTAAATGGAAGGTGTAGATATGACGTTAATGCTCGTAATAGTCATGAGAGCTTCGAGAAGGGCGACACAGGCGGGTTATGACCCGCCATAATGGCCCAATTAAATACAGTTTTAACTTAGCCATCGGCTTATCCGGCCGCTTGAACGCATCTGCTGTAGGCTCTCGGTGTTAAGCCTTGGAACCACGGCGGGGTATCGTTCCCTCAGTTCTAACACGGGCCACTTACATAGTGGGCCCCATTATGCATTCTCATGCTCAAGCTCGAATTGGTCTGCAAGAACAGAACATTGCCACAGTTTCCGTAGTCTTGCGGCGCTCCCGATAATGTATCATCAACTTACGCGCCGTGGCGTTCGATCTGGGAAATATATAGTGCATTCTCTGCTTTCTCCATTTCAACGCCAGAGAGGCCTGCATCGTCGCTGGAAGTCAAGCATGATCGGTCCTCACCACCCGTGTCAATACGCATCACAAGTCTCCTACCTTTTGGACCGAGTATCTCACGAACTCCGACGCCAGAACGACACCCGCAGGCTCCATGAGATCCCGCTCAGCCAGTTCAGAGACTTATATCGGGAGGCCATGGCCAGTTTCGCGAATGATGAGGAAGGCCCAATAATGTGCACACCCCGTGTTCATTACACGCAGGTTTCAACCTGGAGAGCATTAAACAACCAAACTAATACACTCAAGCGGAGAGATTCACTGAAAATTGCTTCCTGGAACCTATTCTTTACTTCTCGTGGGCCTGCGACTCGGGCCACGGCCGCTCTCGATCACCTCAGGACACTGTTTGGGCAAGAGCCTCACAACCTCGTGGTGATGTTCCAAGAAGTCTGCCAAGAATCACTGCATGCGATACTTGAGGACCGATGGACGCAAGATAACTTCTCCGTCACTGCCGTCAAGCCACCGCCCTTCTATTATCGTGAGGAGTGGAACGACGTCCGGGACGAGAACGTCGGCAGTATGCCCACCCGTCACTTTACGCTCATGATGATCCCACGGGGCCTTAGGATATCAAATTGCTTTCGTGTTCCTTTCGTTTCAGAATCAGAGAGAGATGTCCTCGTGGTTCACCTTCCTGTATCAGAGAACGGTCCCCCTGATGAAACGAATGGAATACTTCGGCTGTGCACAACACACCTTGAATCTCTTGATCTCGGATACGGGTACCGTTTTCGCCAGCTCGCTGCACTATCGGCGCTGTTGAAAAGCGAGTTGGTTCAAGGGCGGAAAGTCTACGGTGGCCTAGTTGGAGGCGACATGAATTCGACTCTTGCGCCTGAACACGACGACCATCGAAACCCCGACATCGACCTCAAGGACGTCTGGGAGGATGAGTTGGCCCCGACACCACCGGCCCTTCGGCCTTTTTACAAAGATTTCACGTATGGCAAGGATCTTGGAAATACATGGGGCTACCAGTCTAAGGGAAGACTGTATCAAGACTACGGAAGTCGGCTGGACAAATTTCTTTACACGGGCCCCATTGAGACATTTCCCGTTCGTGAAGCCCAGGACACAGCCGGAAGATTGGGCCGCTTTGGACTAGGGCTCAAGACCAGGGTCGGGCTGAATGATGTATGGGTTAGTGATCACTTCGGCATTACTGTCGGTATTAAGATTATGTAATCCTAACAAAGAAGCCCGTCGCATTGTTGAGCTTATGGGCGAAGCAGGCTATGTATGAAAGAGTAGTACTGTTTTATCACGGAATGGTTCTGAATATACCTCGAGCTATTGGGACTCTTGCTAAGACTATCACATAGACTTGAAGCCCATATCCAAAATCTAGGGTCTTTAATTTGTTGCTGGCTCTGGAACGAAGCAACGAGGTAAGACTTGGCATACTGACTAGCATGGCCCATTCTTTGTTCTGGGAGGGCTTCATAGCAGATCAAGTATCTTTGCTTTTGTGTGCTTTAATTTTTAATTGGATCGACTGTTCGATCAAGCGCGCGCTCACGAAAGGAGATAAATTTATCCGCTGCGTCAAAGCCAACCTGCTGGATCGCCCGAATATTAAACGGTTGACGTGGCAACGGCTACGCGATCTGGGACCACGTCATCCATGGCCGCAAAACTCCCCGCTGGTCACCCATTTTACAACTAAACCGATAATGATAACGCGAACGCAGGCTATGCCAAAACACAAAGCTCTGCTTTGATACGCCGAAACGCCTGATGCTGCCTTCGTTTCGTTGATGTCCATCTCTACGGGATGCTGCATGGAGCTAGCTGCTCCTGGTCACACCGTGCAACCATCATTTGGCCACGGGGAGCCACGTATCTCTCCACCCCCCAAAGATTGGGATACCGACCCCAAAACAACGAAGGAGCTGTGGATGACAGTAGCCACAATCGCAATGTCCAGCAGAGGCCCTGCGTCAAGGACCGCGGGCAGCAGGTCTGGCCGAGCCACAACCAAGACCGGCTCCGACGCCGGTAAACGAAGTACATCGGCATCTACCCGGAGCCTGTTTGATCTCTCGGAGTCGCAGGTCACCCCCGAAAGCACTATAACGAACGCTACACGGAGCATCTCCCCCCGAAACGCCAAATTCGCTAAACTCGTTCTAGAGCCTCGGGGGATACTGATTAACGATACCAACTCGATCGTGCCGAACGCATTCTCACACTTTGGGACCGAGCAGCCTGAGGGTGATGAAGCGATCGATTACAAAATGGTTCCAGGTCTGAGCGGCGTCAACATCTGGATTACGCTCGATGATGATGCTATCAAAGATATCACCAACGAATATAAGGAGATGAGGGGGCAAAATTTATGCGAGGAAGAATTTGCCACACTGGCTAAAGAACTATTCCTCCATGGCGAGCGAAGATCACGATCGGTATCTCAAGACCGGCAATGGCGCGCAGAGCGCATGCTGCAACTTGTATGCCCTCCAAAGGAAAGCGCCCACTGGCGCATCCCTCCCCTCTTGGATGAAACACTCGCTCAAGAGACGGACTGGACGTGGGACATCCGGCCGGATTGCAGCTATTGGCTATCGCTCAAAGGGTTCAACGCAAAATATCGCTTTCACATTCAAAATGCCACTTATGTCCGCGACTCAATCACCTGTCCTTATTTTACCGTTGAATTCAAACGGGATGGAGAGTCCGAAGATGTTGCTGTGCGGCAGGCGTGTGCTGCAGGTGCCATCGCTCTTTTCAATCGCTACTCTCTACATATTCAGGCACGGAAGGTCAATCCTGAACTTGCCGATGACGTATCGAATATTCGGCACTACACCCTCACCTTGGTTGGGCATAAGTTTGTCTTTTGGGTCCTTCGACCTATGCGCGACGAATGCAAGAAGTGGACTGGTTGCGAAATGACGAGGCTCTTTGGGGCGGATTGTACAGATGAGTATGCGGTCCAAGAACTGGGGAATTGGGTCAACGAGATTCACAGATGGGGGTTGTCGCGACATGGTCCCAGCTGTGAGCGAGATATCAAGAATGTTCTGAATTCTAGCGGCGTGCGGACCTCTGATGCGAATGAAGCAAGCACTAGATAGGGAACACCAAGATAGAGGTTATCTGTATGCTATCGACAGTCATAGTAGATCGTTCAATCACACCAAAACTAAACCGTGCATCAAAAATAACTCGCCAGGACCTATTCAACAACCTCAGTCTCTTTCGCGATGTTAGACCGTGTTTCTTAACCTCCTATCGCTTCCTTTGTAGACTGATGGTGAATTCATCTCTGATACATATCAAAATCTGTTCCTCAAACCTCATTTGCGCGAAAACGACCGGTTTGCCTCTTCTGTACTGAGTTCTTTTTTGTCCGCGCTGTACCGCAACTTCCTCTTAATGATCCCCGCGCTACAACAATGGGCATCTTATTGAAGATATACTGATCCACTTGATACTGTACGAACTGGGGATTCGATCTCACTTCGTGAATGTCGGGTGCGGTCTCCCCTTCCATTATCGCAGCCCCCCTTTTCCCACCCATGTCTGCTCCCATTCTTGATACCACTCCGGTATTTGATCGTCAGCGTAGTCCCAAGACTGTGGCATCTCGAACCCTTGTGGAATAGAAATACTAGAGATGAGTGGGAGAGCGCTCGGGGATTGGAAGGGACGATTCTCTGGTTCCAACTTGAACAATTCGAGCCAGGCCCAACGCTTCAGTCGTGCTTGCACGTAATCACGCCATCGCGTAGCAGCAGTGGTGTAGGCATAGCGCACGGCTAGTGATATCATCTCCTACGCTCGGATCTTTAGCAATGATTCATTCGGGGACCCATTCTAGATGGCACTAAATCCAAACTGGTTTTATGCTAAGCCAGTCCGACGACTACCAAACTGCAAGTCTTTCCCTGAAACCTCAAATTGAGCATACTCAATCACGAAGTCCGGGGTTGCCGGCGCATGAACGGAATTGGTATCCAGTGGAATTACCAAACTGGAACTACTACCAATGCGCCGAAGACCTGCCAACCTGTGAGTCTTTGCGCCCTCGAAATCAGGCCACACAATATTTCGAGTAGTCCAGCCTTGACTAGCAAGCTCGTTCAGTTTAGAGCCGAAGTCATCATCCAGGGATCTTAGTGGATAAAACTGGTGATTGATAGACGTTTGTAGGGGAAAGATCGAGTCTGCCTTATTCCACGTGAGGAAATTGACGCAAGCTGTTGTGTACGAGGAAGTGAGAATGGCATTAATAGGAGATCCACTCGTTCGAGCAATGCGAAGCTTTATGCCTGGCCCCGCGCTGCTGCCTAGATGGCACGCCTTGGCGTCTGGAAAGGAGTTAGCAAGAACTGAACAAAAAGACTCGAGTTTCTCAGTAATTGACTCTGCACCGTTTCAACTTCTGGGTTATCGCTCTGATATTTTTCATTTTCTCGCATATAATTTGTGAAGTGATCGGCATTAGCCACATCTTTGATGAAGATATCAAGATGAAAGACCTTCCGTTGGCCCAACTCGAGGAGATTGAGAGCGAAAGATCCCGAGATCAAGGCACCGTACTTCCCCATTTTGGATCGGAACATGGGAGGGTCATCCACAAAGTCCTTGAGCTGAATATTGACGTTGGAGATTTTCAACATACAGTCCTTGAGTCCATCAAGTTCCTTGCACACTCGGCAAAGCACCAACATGTCGGCAATGGTCAAGTACAAAGACAGGACCTCCAGAACTGGGTAATATTTCTTGGGGTCAAAAAGCTCGATCCGCCTTGACTGGTGCTGAAATTCATTTTGTGAAGTCATTACTATTGCGCGGTTCGTTTACTACTGTCCGCAGTCGTGCTGGTAATTCGTTCAATTACACAGAAACGGGTCCGTGTATGTTGCTAAGTCGTCCATGCACGCGCTGCACCTTCTTTCATTTCATTAAATTCCATGGTATTTATACTTGTCGCGTCTCTAGAGTCCCCTCTACTACTACCGCGTGTTTGGATGTTGTTCTATCATTGTTCAGCCCTACCTGCCTTAATGATTTCAGTGGTTAGATAAGCTCGGCTTCCACTATAGTAAGCTAGAGCATGCTAGGTCTCGAGGCTTATTAAGTTGATTGTGATGTTAGGCTAAAGATACTAACTTGTCTCTATCCTCTTCAGCAAGTCTTATTCTGCTCTGCCGCTTTGGATGCTCTGCACCGGGGTTGATTCCCTATCGAATGATCTTTTTCTTCTACCACGCATTTCACTCTATCCTTCTTAAAAGTTACGCGGTTTCTCTTTAGGTGCCCGTATCTCCTCCTTTTATGTGTATATAAGTTTTCAGAGTGTTCTCTATAGTTATGGTAATGACCCGGTGCGTTAAAATTGGCTTTGGTTTTTGCCATCGTTGAGTCATTGCAGGGCATCCTCTTCCTCTTTTAACTGCTAGTCGGCGGCTGGGCAACGTATCTATGCTCTCGGATGAGGTGAGCGTCGAGATCTTGCTTGGGGTGCTCTATGCCGCAAATGGTGCATTTAGTGGGATCATGCCCCTCTGTGTGCTGATTTAGGTGGGCCGCCGCCGGGAATTCGGTATCGCAAAAGGGATATTTGACCCAACTATATCTTTCTCGAAGGTGAATAGGGAGCCCAGCTTCTGTTTGTAGCTCAGAGAATTGTGGATATTTCCTTTGAAATATGAGTTCTAAGCTCGTGGACGGGAAGAGGTTGCACGTTATAAAACGGATAGTCTCTCATTTCGTGTCTGCTACGTAAGTGATCGTAGAATTCCTCCTCCGCTATTATCTCTGAATATGACATGCATTGTTTGAAACGGTGGGTTATCATATGATCTTTAATGAGCTAGGGCATACTCTCGAGGTGGTGATAGTATTGGCACTTAAGCCAGCAATGGTTAACCAGAAGATGTATATGAAGGGAGTCTTTCTACTTTATCTCTCTGTATTCGGGATACCTCTTCCATAGATGATGTTTCCTAAGGTGATCTAGATCATTACTAGACTACGAATATCCAGCATATCTCTGAAAGTCATGGTTCTTGCGTAGGTGGACTATAAGCTCGGTCTTTATAATATTGCAGCAGTATACTAGGCAAGGCTGTGCCTTATGATAAAGCATGAGGTGGCTAGTGAAATCTTCGGTAAAAGGATCATAATCTTCGTAAGCCTAATATATATGATTGTCTTCGAGAAGAGATCTTTTCTAGTAGAGGGATAAAATCTCGCTGCAAAAAACATAGGTAAGTACCTTATATTCAAGCGAGTATTATAAGTGTCTAATAAGCTGTGCGTGGGAAGCTAAATTGGTCGGCTCTAGATATTCCTCATACCATTTGCCATAATATTTTGCTTCGAAATGATGGATTAAAGATCCCTTTGCGAATCGAGTCTCGCGAAAAGGGCAGCGGTGAAAGGCGGCGTGGCATAGCATGTCTTGGTCTGAAAGCTAATCCCTATATGTGACATAGGCTGTTACCTGGTGAGCGCTCCGTGCATGGTCGGCGAAAGTTTCTCTCAGGAAGTTCTTTCTGTAAGATGGGCAAAGCTCCTGGTCGTGCGTGGAAATATGGGTAGCAAGGGACCAATCACCTATTACCATGGAATATATAGAGCATTGCATAAAGCCGCTAGGTAATTGTGGTGTCTTGTAGGGATAGGAGGTATCGTGCGGGAAGAATGTTCGGGGCTACTCCCTGAACATTTGAACGTGTTCCAAGGCTTCCGGCCTGTAAGGCTTCCGAGAGATAGCTTTCCGCGGCGTGAACATGATCAGGGATCAGAAATCGTTCCAAAAGCTCAGAGGCCCGATGATCAGGATGGCTAAGCTTAATTGCATCCCTCCAACATGAACGAATCTCAACCATGGTCATCATCTGTGCATCGACGCCGAGAGCGTCAAATGGATTGAACTCCATTCCGAAGATTTTTTACGGCGATAGATTGAGTGGTGTTAGATTAAAGTATTAGATTGAAGTAAGTTGAGGAGTAATTATCTTGCATCGCTCCCTGTCAAACACGTGCGTCATTTGACCACTAAGATTGGCTGACCGGAATATCATTTAACCCGAGTAGCCGACTGACCGCCCTGGTGAAAATTTCCGACGGCCGTATCCCAGGATTGAACTTCCTCTTATTGTCCGATTGACGTGAAGCCCCTTCGCCGCCTTCACGAACACTGCTGCCAACAGCCTTCGATGCGTTTTCTGATGCTACATTGAACGCGATGAACGGTATAGTTCCTGTACTTCAAGCTGATCTATTGAGTTTGCAATCAATCGCTCATGATACCCAGGAGGTCTTGTCTGAAATTCTTCGGAAAGTCGATACCATATCTCTTAAAGCATGCCGACTTGTTTGCAAGTATTGGAACTGCACTGCAAGCGAGCTCTTGTTTCGCCAAATCGTTATCGGCGAAGAGGGGTCTCAACACTTCATGGAATTATTCAGTCACAAACGTCTATGCGGCTGTGTCAGAGCCATTACCTTCGAGCAATCGGATCCTTTAGTCACAGCAACAGATTTGCTGCAACTGGACTTCGCCCTGACGGATTTGAATGAGGAACGGCGACAGATGGATCCTGAACTGGGCAAGTCCATGCCTCAAGAGCAATTCAGAGGACTACCAAAAGTGGGACTTGTGTGTCAAGGCGATGATGGGAAGTTTTCTAGTATCCTAGAATGTGTGAACGATCCCAAAGCACCGCCAATTCTCTCAGCCCTGCGAGAAATTCGATTGATCACGGATGAAGCACCGGACTTTCCGATGACAGCCTTTCACAATCTGACGAAGATAAACATCGACATAGAGACCATAAAGTTGCCAAGCGAATTGAAATGGTGGGCTCTGACCGATGTCTCGCTTAGAGGTTCTATCGATATCGACAACTTAGAAGCATTTCTCAAATATCATCATTGCGTTGAGAAATTGCGCATAGTCGCTGTGTTACGCCTGGGGCTCGTCGAAATTTCGCGTAGTCAGATACACACGCGTCTAAGGGTGGGTTTGGGCTCTATTATAGGCATGAAAGCTATTGATTCGGCAATGAAACATGCTCAAAAGCGCCCGGGTGTTCTTGAAAGGGACCTACTGGGACGTATCCGAGGAGGATTAGCCAAAAGGCCGGATAGCAGTGTGATCGAACAGGCGCACCAAGCTATCGTGGCAACTTACGCGGGACATTTGGAGTCCGAACGCGAGAGGTTCGTTACCAACATCAACGAGATGCGAGAATCACTTGGCGGACGGGCTCGGCCTGAAATAAATGTTTCGATGGAATACGTCAAGGAGGACAAACTAGCAATTCAAGGGGGAATGCTGGAGAAGTTTGGTTAGATAATAACACACAGGACGGACGAAATCTTCATCATGCCAGCATTGCGGTGGTAAGGGCTTCAAGAAACAGGCATTTGATCTGGGATGGCTAAAAAAGCCAGGATTGACCTTTTCGTGCGGAAAGAGTGACAAAACTGATTCTGACGTACAAAGTCTTGACTACAATGATGCAGGGAGTATAAATATGGAGGCGCTGGACAATGCAGTCGGGTCAGCCAAAATCGTCTTTTCGAATGTCGCGGTCTCCAAAGGAGAACCAGCATTTACGTCTTTAGTCACGAGTCATTCCACTGCTACATACCAAAATCAACTTTAGAGTTGATTTATTTTGCCCCACTTTACAGGGGGTGGAGTTGATTTATGCCGGGGGGTAGAGTTGAATTTCAGAAAATCACTCTACAGGTCAACAGGGGGGGTAGAGTTGATGTTTACCAGGGGTAGAGTTCATTTAAGCAAGGGGTAGAGTTGAATTTATGATTGGCCATAAACCTACTCAAGTATTAAAGACCGAAACACATACAATAGCTGATACAAACCACGACACAGGACGGCGCGCGTCATCAACTGCTAGCGTGACCAGCTCCATTCTCAATTATCGACTCGAAAACGGGAGAACATACCACGCGTACAAGGACGGAAGTAGGTTGCATGTTTTTGTCCCTTATAAGATTTTGGAGCTCACTGCCTTTCTTGCCTACTGTAGAATACTACATGCCCAATGACGAAATAGAGAACAACAGACTAGGTAAGATAGAACGCTCCTCCACTGTCCAAGATTCTTACACTTAGATCTTTACAGACTTGCAGCACAATCTGTTCCTCCTGACTTTTGATAGCAAGCTTAGTCTCTCCCCGCCGAACCTTCCCGAGTTCAAGACCGGCCGGGTTCTCGACCTGGGTACCGGTACAGGCATTTGGGCGATCGACTTTGCTGACGAACATCCCGAGACTGAGGTGAAAGGAAGTATCTCAGAGCAAAGAGCGACCAAGGCTAACAATCTGCATAGGTGATAGGGGTCGATCTGTCACCTATCCAACCGGAATTGTAAGACATGAGTTCCCACATGAAAGACGGATGATAGCTCAAACTCAAGCAGCGTGCCCCCGAATCTGAAGTTCGAGGTCGACGATGTTGACGAGGACTGGTCTTGCTCTCAGCCTTTTAACTATGTTCACAGCAGAATGATGAACGCCTCAGTCAAGCGTTGGCCCGAGTATTTACGTAAGATGTTCAAGTGAGTTGTTTCACCGTTTGACGAATGAGTTGGCTAGCCCTGACTTGACGAGGAATCTTACTCCGGGCGGCTACGCTGAGCTCCAGGACATCGATGTAATTCTGCGATCAGACGACAACACTCTTACGCAGGATCATGCTCTTCGGAAATGGGGTGATCTTCTGGCCAAAGCAGCCCAGGAGCACGGATGTCCTTTCATAGAGACCTGCGAATTCCGGCTGATGTTGGGTTCGTTGATATCGGGGAGACGCCATTCAAATGGCCGACAAACCGCTGGCCCAAGGATAAAAAATTCAAGGAGCTCGGAGATTGGAGCAATGTGAACACACAGGAATCTCTTGAGGGGCTTTCAATGGCTTTGTTCACAAGATGCCTTGGCTGGACTCCTGAGCAGGTTCGTGTTTTCCTGGTTGACGTCAGGAATGATTTGAACAATCCGAGTATCCATGCCTACTGGTCAATGTATTCTCCACCACCCTGTTTTCTGTCCTCAGCGTACTGATATTCTACTAGCCGTTCGGTTTACGGGAGGAAGCCTAAAGCTTAGGAATTATGAACGGATAAAATTCTCTAGCGATATACACGGCCACAACCTGCATGGGCAGCCGCTTGGTATATGCAGGTGGTACCAGTACTGGGGCCTCGTGACCCATACAAAAATGAGCAGACAGCAGACAATTGAGCTTTTCACTGACATGTGGAGGAATCGCACACATGCTGTCACATCATATCGTTATGGCCGCTCTGACACACAGGCTGTGTGACCTTAGACTTGGATGAATTAGATGGTTAGAAACACCACATCACAACTGACAAATACGACCCTGCTGAAGGAAGGATAAAACAGACCAACTTCAGTCACTCATTCAGTTAGGGATCAAGAGCTTCAACACACAGTCAAAATTTCTCGTAAAATGTGACACAATCTTCATCATCATTCCCCAAAGAAGCGTCCGCTCCCGGACCCGAGCAGTATTTTGATAATCTTTGGTAGAAGACCCACTGGTATGCCAGTCGCACCATCGCCGTATTAGTCAGCGCCGTTGCCTGGGATTGCCCTAACCCTTTCGAGGATCTCGCCTAGAACGGCGTAGTGTAATTGTCGCAGGGTAGGCATGATCTTCACGGCCTCATGAAACAACTGCGTTAGTAATCTAGCCGTATGCTTTAAGTAGCTCTGCGGGAGGGAATACCCCGCACAAGAGACAACCTCAGACAACAATCAATCAACACACTGCTGCTGCCCATTATTCTTTACCTAATCCTTGATCCTTTCAGCACGCTCAGTGCGACAGTAATGCTGTCACTCCGGATTCTGTCTGGGCTGTGAAATCGGCGCTGCTCTTGCCAACTGGCCTGATGAGACCGGCGAAGCTAGCTAAGGACCGCGACGTCGATGGCGGACACCGCTCTGTGATTGACAACTGAAGCATTGGTACCCCTTGCAAGCAGAGACGCAATGTCTGAATAATTTTCCCGGACCTCAGTCATCTCCCATCTGTCCACTGCTGAGTGTCTTTACAAATATCAAGCCTGTCCCTAAATCTCTGCCCATTCTTCCCCACGCAGCCGTACTCCCTCCAAGATTCTCCCCATGTGCGTCCTCCCGATCAGCTCGCACTCCTGGCGTATTGTCGACATGAGGATCTTCAAGAATCCGACAGGACTTTTCGAGAGCCCCGACTTGTTGCTGGGGCTGCCAGCTGTTGAGTCTAGTGGAATGAATCCATCCGGCCCAAGTGTGACGGATTCATCGGCAGCCTTCCACGCAAGACCCAGAGAGCCACACAGTTCGACATAGTCGCTGTGGGACGACAGATAAAGTTGCCTAGCAAACACATTGAGTTGGGCGATAAGGCCCCGTGGGATGGTGTCACGGTTTCTTGTTTGGGGAATAGTGTAGAGGTTGACATGATCAAGTGACCCAAACCCAAGATTCACCCAAGGGGAGTAGAGCCGCAGGGTGACGTGTCGAGACGTCTCGATATCCGGTAGAAGATTTTGCGCCTCGTACGGACTGATAACCAGAAGGCGGTTATTAGCAATCTCTCCCTTGCTTGTCAATATCCATTGCACGGACCGTTGAAACGAGACCGCGTAGTTGTTTGGCCCGAAGGACCCCTTGACAGTCATTGCGAAGTCCCGTGTCACCCAGACACTGTTCCGGAATTCGCTCACGTCGAAATTCTTTGCCGCCGAAGTGTGTTCGAGAGCCACAAAGGCGGCCGGTGGTATGCGGCAAACGCTGGCAATATGGACACGTAGAGAGAAAGTGATCGGTTGCAGGCAAATGATTAGTGGTCGTCAACAAACTACCAGTAACCCTGGCCAACCCTTCTTAATTTGAGGGCTGCATAACAATAGCAGATACTGGTATCCAGTTACAGAATCCTAGTACAGAATAATGTCACATACGAGCTAGAGTATAATGAACATCGTGCTGATTCTGTCTTAGTACAGGGTAGGCCTAACGTTACGAGAACGCAATGAGTTTCCGTCCTTGAAGCACATCTCCAACTCGGCGCTGCACCTTCGCAAACCTCATAAAGCCACAGGTTTCACTCTCCAGGTGGTTAAAGAAGCCAGCTAAGCTGACAAACTGCTTCTCACACCTGCTCTTTGTATTTGGGCAATGGTATACCTTTTCGTTGTGCGCAGGCGAGTTGAGATGGCTATTTAAGGCGTTTACCGCTCTGAACTCCTTGTGGCATATATAACATTCCCAGGCGGAGCCGTTGTATGCAGATCTGGTGGCCGTATATTTAATGTCCTCGCTCTTGTGCGACTCAATTTGTTTGCTGGTGATGACACCATGTGGGTCACGTTCGCGGACCATGCCGAGGATGGTTTCGCGGTTGAGTTTCAGCGCGCTGGGGCACGAGCCGGACTCAAGGTGGTGAACAACACCAGTGGCGGAGGTGTAGTTCCGCCCGCAAAAGGGGCATCTGACGTTGTTCCCGCGGTGAGTCTTGGAGTTGAGGTGCTGCACGTACACATGTCAGCATAACATACACTCAGTAGATTAAAGAGAGCGAAGACTCGCCATCCGCAGTTCGTTTTCATTCCGAAACTTCTTATCACAGGCTTTGCAATAGTTCGTGTAGTGCGCTAGGTCCCGCATGTGCTGGTCCGCCGCCTGCTGGGTGAAAAACTTCCTCGCGCAGGTATCGCAGGAGACCTTAGGCGCCCAGTGTCCGACGGCCGTCATGTGCTGGTTTGCAGCATTCTGGGAGCCGAAGTCCTTTGTACAAGTCTCACAATCGAAGCGCGGCGCCCAGTGGCCTGTGTCGTCCATGTGTTGATCACAGGCGTGTTGAGTACGGAAGGTACGCGGGCAGGTCTCGCATTCCGGCCAGTGGTCATAGTTGTTCATGTGGTCCTCGACATCGTCTCTGCTGTAAAAGATGCCCGTACAGGTCTCGCACTCGTACATCCTGGCTGCTGGGACCAGAAAATGGCATCCACTTGGTGTGGGTTGAGCGGTGGATTTGGATCGTGACAAGGTTGGGAGAGGAGCGTGCGGGGAAGCTAGGCGTGGACGGGGCAGCTGGAGGCTGTCAGCTTGCGACGTTCGGAATTTCTACTGGTAATCAAGCGGGCGTAACGTGGGTTTATGTTAACAGACGGGGTAGGGCGATGTGGCTGAGCCTGCGTAGTAGGGTCACGATCGTAGACAAGTCGCCTAGGAACTAGAGCAGAGCTGCCGTAGGGGAGGTTTGAGTGGGCATATATGAGCTGAACAACTTGGGATCACGGGGTGATCCCGGGGCTCATGTGCTTACACGTGACCGGCCTGGCCCAAAGTGGTCGCCATGGGCCAGTGTGACCTGTTGAAAGGCGCCGGGTGTCTCGGCTGTAACACAGCTCGATGCCCGATGTAGCTATGATACCCAAATAAGGCAGTCGGCTCAAAACCTCCCTATATCATCGTACTAGCTTAACACAAGTACTTGGCTTAATAGAGTGCACATCTGCATTGCTGCCTGAGGATGGAATGCAAGGGGTGCTCTGGGATCGAGGACTTTGCGTACCGAGCCTCCATCGAAGCTGTCTTCTGGGCCGTTTGACCGTCAGTCGTCCTCTCCAATCCTAAAGCATGGCTTTTAACTTGCAGGAGTTTCATCGGCCCTGTGACATTGGCTTCCGCGTTGAGGTGCACGACAATCATCGCCTCCGAAACTGCACATTCGATGAGTATGGAAACATGAGAGCGCGCAATCCTCTGCGCCCTGGTGACGCCCAAGCGTGCCGTGACCACCTCATGTGGCCGCGACTGGAAGGAGGACCATTTGTCTCGTTCTTTACCAGTTGGAATGAAGCCCTGCGGCGGCGGAAGTGGATGATAGAGCGGGGTGCTACCGAAGTTGTTATTGTCACCGTTTGGTTGAAGGATTTGCCCGGAATCTACGATGCCTTCGCCATGGCCCGCGTTCTTGGCCTCGAAAAACCCGACCGATTTCTATACGAAGTGTTGATCCGCGGGGGAATATCTGCCGACAGCTACAGAATATTGGCTATGTTTCATGGTATACAGTCGACTGTGGACGTGGCACTCTGTGTTGCTAGGATGACCATGATGGCCAAGGTGCCAGGAGACTTCATTGCTGGAGTTCAAGTCAGGACACCCATTTGTACCCGGCAACTACCCGACCTTACCGCCAGACTTCGAGACGAAATATACATGCACGCTGGGGAAAGGGACGACGCTAGACTTTTTCCGTTAATCCTGACCATGGCCGACCTCCCATATTTGTGCGAGTCAAATGCAGCCGGCACGGTGATTACCTGCCCGTCTGCAGGTTTAGGATGGCGCATTGAGGCCGTCGTACAGTAGCGCAGCTGAGAATACATGAGATTGTCTCATAAGCATTGGTTGTACCTGCTAGGACATTAGAACTCCTTATAGATTGGACGTTATGATTTTCCATAGAGGTATTATTAACCTCTCTAAGCTACCTTCTCCGAGGGGGAACGAAGAGCGCCGGAGAGCTCATCGAGCTGGGCACCTACGATATACAAGGACTTTGACCGATCACTATGCGTGCTTTGAGGGGGAAGGCAACGACCACGAAGACGGCCACGGCGGCAGCAGGTTGAGGGGGATGACGAGCACGACAAGTTTGCGATTAGAAGAGACCGGACGGAACCATCATCGGATGAGTCGGGGACGCACCCTCCTGACACCCCCAGCCCTTCTGAACGGCGTAGAGGGCGTGGAGGGCGTGGAGGGCGAGGGCAGCGAGGACAAGGCAGCGAAAAATAGCCTCGAAGGAGTCAACGAATACTGGCACGTCGACCACACGAAGGAGCTGCCCAAGACCGATAGTACTATACTCAAGCATGCCTACTCGGGCTGACCAGAGGAGGCCCTCTCGATCCGAGACGCCCCAATATAGAATCTCACAAAGGCCCCGACAGTGGATATCACAGCAGATCTCGTGGCAGAACCCGAGGCTACACTCACACATACCATCCGGTCAACCATTCCACGTGGCTGGCGCCGCCTAGGCGGCGCCCGGCAGTCATTGGATGCTGGGATCATAAAGCTAGGAAAACACGGTGCGCGAGGGGCTCTATTTAAGGTAACGCTTCTTGCGTACGGTTACACCTTTATCTACAAGGAGACAGTGCAGGCCTTTATCAGAGACCTCGAGCATGAGGCGGCGGTATACAAGCGTCTGGAGCGGATCCAGGGCGTTAATGTGCCCGTCTTCCTAGGGCCATCGATCTTCGGTCGCTCGCTTAAGAGGGTCTACTACTATAACCATCGGGTATACATTACGCACATAACATTCTTATCGTGGGAGGGAAACTACATCGATGAGATTGAATTACAGCCGACATGCGAAGAACACTCGAGGGCAAGTTGCTCGGGTCTCTACGGGCGATTCACGAGGAAGGCGTGGTTCACAAGGACGTACGGAGTGCAAACACTCTGGTCAACAGGGAGACAGGCAGTGTGGTCCTGATTGACGTTGAGCGTGCCATGCTACTTGAAGCAGCGCGGCGACCGCTAGCACCGGTGGTGCCTGATAAGCAAGGGTGGGATTCGGGCTGGGTGGCGGACGGAGAAAAAAAGAAAAAACTCAGCCTGGCAAGCGAGTTTCACGAGGTTGTGAGTTTGCGGAGGACGATCTGATGGCGAGGACAACGCTCTTGAACCTGCACAACTGTGCAAGTCCTTGAGATGCGGGCATGAGATACGAACATGAGGTGCGAACATGAAGTGCGATTGTAATGGTGAGCGGGTGCGGTGGCGCATGGGTCAGCAATGTATTACCGTGTCTTGCTTTATCCTCTTTCGCCTCAATCATTCTAAACCTCGTAGTGTGCCTTGCTGGAGAAGCAGTTGGGCTCGCGTAAATTTCCTTTTCAAATTCGGCGGTCACCCCGCCAGCCTTTTTGTCCGGCCTCCACGCCACTTATTTCTACTCCAAGGCAAGAGCTAGAAACGGCCTGGCCTTGGCTTGGAAATAGTTACTCTCACATTCGTAGCATCGCTCGAGCGCGGGCGGCTTGCTAAGCCCTCAGTCTACGGTTTCGATGCGGAGCGGGGAAACCAGGGACCCTGATGGGATTATCTACGTCGTCTCTTCTCCGAGGAAAGAGAAAACTGCGTTCGATCCATTGCCATTTTTTGGGTTTGATGGAAACACTTGTCGAAGACCCCAAAGGACATGAGCACACGCTACTCCGTTGACAGGTACCTAATTGCAGATGTTGGTTGTGACCGAGCTTGCTGTCTTGCCTCACACAATACGAAGACCCATGAGTTTCTTTGCACTTTGCCATCCGAACTGCGCGTTGCTTTGGTCGAGCTGAGGTGGCTTAGGAGGGGGTTGCGGGGCGCATGATCGGCTGTGCTGCATTTGAAGGGGGGCCCAAGCGGTGGTCAGTGATCAAACAACCTTGTTTATGTTGCTCAAGACGTGCATCCTGACAAGACATTGGATCTGGGAGAGGAGGTCATTCCGTCGTCATTACAGCCTGATAGCTCTTGGTGTTGTGGATCATTACGATGGATCACTCTCTGTGGTACGGGGTAAGGAGGCCCGACGGTAAGTGGGACTCAGATCACAACAGCGTGTTCGCGATTACTCCATTAAACGGATAGAGCGCAGAGATTAGGAATCCTTGATGCGACAAACTGGATGTGAAACCGGATACACGACCCCAAAGTATGGGCCGCGTTTCATATCCAGTCGCACGCACTTAGTGGTGATATATGACAATGTAGAGTACCTCCGGAAATTAACCTCCAAGCAGGCCTCTCAAAGAAGCGAATGGGCACGCCATCAGCGAAATGCCGAATAGGAAAACTAGGGCTTTGCCAGTAGGCAAGGTGCGTAGCCTAGCGTAGCTTTAGGTTGTCTGAAGTCTCACCTTCCCAAAAGAAATAAACTCAATATTATATCACACTCACGTCATTGGAATGACCTTTGCCTTTGAGGCTTTCCGAGCTTGCCGATAGCTTTTGTGTGAGCCGCTGACCCCTATGTTAAAACAAGCAGAGTCTTTAGCTATAACAGACCTGGTGTTTATGATTCCACTCCGGGTCCCTTTGTCAATGCCTTTATATGTCGGAGTGCCCCTTCTATCATCCTTCTACCTATGGCGACGGGCTTTTATTATTTAGTTCCTAGCATACTCCAGCTCTTACCGAGCACTCACAAATATGTCCATTGACCAAGTTGACAAGCAAGGAGAGGCCGCACCCCATCTTCGGGATAGCGAACCAGACAGTATCGGCAAAAACATGGACAGCAGGCCAGAGCACTCGTCAGAAATTTGCGCTTTCTCTTGAAGACCGTTAGCTGACAATGTAGTAGACCTTACGCCAGCCAAGTCTGTGCGGTATACTTCCAGGGGAATGGACCCCTCCATATCCCTCATGCACTCCTACACCAGAGCGCCGAGCTTACTTCCCGAGACGTCGCAACAGGCTGTTGCTCTTCGTCATTCCGCGAGCTTCACTTGAACGATATTGGCTACGACACCGGCCATGTCCTTATCCACTTTCTGGCCACCGGCAGATATCAATGCCTGAAGCCACAGGGAGATAATAGTACCAAGAGGTATACATCCGAGTTTACAACTGCGCTTCGCGTGTACGCCGCAGCTCAAACCTTTGAATTGCCCTCTCTTCGTGATCTGGCAAGAAGAGAGATGATCGATCTCGGCGACAGGTTGAGCTTACCTTCCTTGATTAATATCATGGAAGAGTCAAATCTGTCAATGGGCACTCTGCCGGGAATAGCCGCGTATGTTGAGTCACGCATTCTTGCATTTGCGGAGAATATTACCTGTCCAACTTCAGAAAAGATACTCGCTGAGATTGGAACCCCTAATACGCTCAGCATGGTTCTCTTGAAGACTATTCTGTTGCTCCAAACTTCAGAACTATCTCCACGCGATGAATCACTTCGGAAGGAGGAACTGGTAGAGATTCTCCGAGGCCTCACCGCTACCGGACCGATAGCAAAAGGCAAGGCTTCGGATGTGGACCGAGCTATGAAGGAAGCCGAGGAGCAAGCAGCTAAGAGGGCCGAAGAAAAAGCTGCTAAGGAAGCGGAAGAGGCTGCAGCTGCCGCTGTTGCCGTGGCGCAAAGCATTGCCAAGGCTCAAGCTGCTGAAGCTGAAGCTGAAGCGGTCCGTGAAATGGAGGAAATTGCTTCATTATTGGAAAAAAAGGCAAAAAGGCAAGGCACACTACTCACAGAGGATGGAGATGGAAGCTGCCCTGAGCCGGCACCCACGGAAAGCCCCTCACCAAACGACAACGGCTGGCGATATATCCGAACCCCCCCACCGCCGGCATCCGACGAATCCGACCTGACAGGATGAGTCTCAGGTCATGCAGCTTTTCATGAGGGAAATTCTGGTCGCTTCGGGCTCCATTAAGCCTCTCTGTACGCAAATGCTGATTAACTAGATGGCTTTATTGAGGTCGGAAATCTAGATCCTTCGACAGGAGAATGAGATACTTAGTCAATGTCGACGGAGGGAAAAGAAACGTTGGCGAGACGGAGGGAGTCTAACTCTAGGCGAAGGGCAAGATTTGCATAGTCAGCAAGAGGTAAATGTGCAGTTGGAAGGAGAAAGCCGTCGAATTGGTGGTCGGAATCGAGTGCCAGAACGGAAGGAACGGCGATGTGATGTCTGCGGAAAGATAGGGCATAATGCACGAAGATGTTCGATTGAAGTAGCAGTGTCTCGAGAATAGGTTGCCAATCGACTTGCGTTGATTTTGGAGTAATCGCGGACTTGCTGCTTGTCTGTGCCCCACTTGCCGTCTGGCCTCAACACTACATCCCACACACAATACTGATCTACTACACCAAGACCTATCAGGCTGCAATTACGACGGAAGGGCCTCCCTTCCTGGATCTTATGGCTTACTAGGGTTCATGTCTTAATTAACTCGAAGAGGGTTATTTGATCACTGGCCACCGCTCGGGCCTCCCTCCAATATAGCATGGCCGATCACGCGCCCTCACAACCCCTCAGTAAGCCACCTCAGCTTGACCTAAGCGACGCGCAGCTCAGACGGCAGAGTGCATAACTATTTTGGTATTACTGCAGGTTTAGGCATCAGGCAACAATAGGTCAACGCATTACTAGCAACACTAACCAAGAAAACATCGCATCTTGCCGGTTTTATCCGCCTTAGCTGCTGCCGATAGACAAGCAACTTATGGGTCTTCGTATCGCGTGAGGTAAGACAAGAAGCTCCATTACAACCAACAGCTATAATGCAGCAGCAAGTTTTTTTGCTTTGAGGCGGACTAGATAACGCATATCATCTTGTGATTTGACCTGACAGGGTTTGCGGGGTAAGCGACGGACTGCATTTGCCCAATGCTGCAACCTTCAGCACCACCTCGAACTGAGGCAAGATGCAAGATACCACTGCCAATGATTCCAATCTGACCGCGCTTGCTGCTGAGTAGGCAGATTCCCCTCTAACTACCCCACCACGATTTCTTAGTACATAGCATACGTCTTCCTCCAGGACGATTACGGCTTACCCCTCCCACACCAACCAGTGACCCGCTAAACTAAACAAACGCTTTCCTGCCCTTGGGATCGCCTACTCCCACACCCGCCCGCCGATCAAGCGCAACCGAAGGTCTAATAACCATGTGTCCCGCTGCGACTTGATCAGCTACCTGCAATTAGGCACCTATCTAGCGTGTGCTCAAGTCCGCCCTGCCTGCAAGACTCGACCCCTGCGACGGGGCTGTTGTGGCTGCAGCCGGTCAAACAAGCCCGTCAATGAGGTTCCGACAAGGGTTTGACGTAGTGGTCTCTTTTCCCCGAGGGGAGATAACATCGATCATCCTATCGGGACCTTTGGTCCTCCCGCTCCGCGTCGAAGCTAAGGCCTGAGAGCTTTGGAAGCTGGCAAAAGGGCACTCGAGCGATGCTACGAATGTGAGAGCAATAGTTCCCAAACCAAGGCCGTTTCCGACTTCCATCTTTGAGTCGAAACAAGAGGCGTGTAGGCCGGGATTAATTTGATCATCTGCCTATAGGGTCGTCATCCCGTAATTTCTCTTCCATTTTAAAATCGAGCCGATCAAGTAGCTCGTGCCACCTATTGCACTGACTTGTAAACATAAATCGAGACGTGGCAGGTCCTGCAGGAGGCATTAAGACTCAACTTTGAGGTAAAGTCGAGCTTAGGCCCTCAAATGGCGTACCGATATCCCTCCCTCAGTGATTCTTCGATACATGGACAGCCAGCGTGGGGGTCCTTGGCGACATGGTCATGCCCACGCTCACGCACCTGCTATTGCTTCGATGTGCAAGGCATCTGTCTACTGTGCAGTCATCCTCTCTCATGGACGCAGGCGCACGGCCGTCGGTTCTTCCTCCTTCGCAACCTTAGAGAGACATGCATCAGCAGATTGCCCACGCCAACGTACTCGACAACCACCATTCTACTCCGTTGTCGGCGGGGAATCTATTCTATGCTGCCTCCCTCGAGGCTGCTGGGTCTTCCTCCCACATGTACTGGTCATGTGATAGGGATGTGCGGGGCGAGGTACGTGACGAAGGTTTTCCACTACCGAAAGGCATGTACTGTCTCTCTTGATTATCTTTAAACCAATCAGAGGAAAGTATGACCTAACGGATGCTGCTTTACCCCGCATCTATTCCTGCGTGATCGTTATTATCACAACTCTTCTCTAACACATATCTACGGCGTATCATTAAAAAAGAATGCAACTGGAAGAGATTTCATTCTAGCCTCTAGCATCTAAAAAAAACATACAACTCATACGCTAAGTCATCGTGTCCTTAACCATCTTATACAATTCATAAATCCGACCCTGCCGTGTTTCACGATGAAGCGATCGACTTATGAATTTAGCCACAGCAACGACACACTCCTGATCCTTCATACATGTCGTCTACACTCTTTCCAGTGGTCCAGTGATAGCCTTTGGACTCCTTACAAGCAAGAAATTGAGAATGATAGCATAAAGCGCAAGGGAAAGAAGAGCAAGAAGAGCAAGAAGCGCCGTGGAACAAGAGCAGATGCATCTCTCGAAGCCTTCATCGGCACTATCGCCGAATCCTTCGAAGATTCACAGCCTACCGATAACACCCCTATTGCGGAGGAGGTACCAGCTGTCGATCAGGTACCGACAGTTGAGGAAGCCCCAGCCGTATTGGTACCGGTTGAACAAGGGCCAACCGAAGGGCACATCGACGACGAAACACCGAGAAGTACGCTCACTGCCGGTGGAGAGAGTGAAGGTGTTCACCATAACGAGCAACCGTCTCCAGCAAGTTGTGGTTCGAACGGCAATGAAAATATCGACATGGACTCTACTACCCAGACGGCTGAGCGGACCCTTGGAGAGAGCCCTGGAATTAGGCATGGACAAGTGTGCTATCAAATGCTGGTGTCCTCGGCTCATTTGAGCCAGGCTTCACCTGTCTTTCGAAAGATGCTCAATGGTTTGTTTGCCGAGGCGGTGGCTGATAGCCAAGGGCTTTACCGCATTACGACAACTGGATGGGATCCGGAGGCTCTCGTCATCGTCCTTGACATCATGCATGGTCACAATCGAAGCGTGCCACGGCAGCTTACCCTTGAGATGATTGCAAAAGTCGCTATGATCGTCGACTACTACGACTGTCTGGAGATTGTCGAAGTCTTTGCAGGTATCTGGGTAGACGCGCTGGCGGAAAGCCAGTCAGGCACTTACGGCAAAGACTCCATGCTCTGGCTTCTCGTATCATGGGTGTTTCAACGCCAAGATATCTTTGAAAAGATGACTGGGCTTGCGTTGAGGCATAGCGAGAGGTTGATTACGGTAGGGTATGTTCCAATCCCTCACGTGATTCTAAGTAAGTTTTAAAATTCTTCGTCAATGCCTTTATTAACACTTCCAGGACGGATTAACGAAGAGCGTCAGAACGCTCTTACTCAAATCTTTTCGAAATTATACGAACTACTCGACACTCTATGCCAAGAGTCGGAATGTTCCTATGAATGCTCAAGCATGCTTTTGGGTTCCTTAATGAAGGAACTAAGCAAGCGCGACATTCTGAAGCCACAAATCAAGAAGCCCTTTGAGGGCTATAACATTGCCTCGGCCGCGCAGATGGTCGACACCTTCGCCTCACCAACGTGGTATTCCCAAATTAGGCATTACCACTCCTACAATCTACCACACACTTGCAGCATCTCGGGTAAAATGAGGCCAACATTGGACAGGGTGGAGAGCAAGGCGCCTGTCTTAACGCTAGAAGACTTCCGGTTTTCTGCGGACTATGGTAAACTTGCGGGCCTTCAAGTTTGACTCTAGAGAAAGAAGTTCCTTTTCAAACCCAGGTTTTATAAATGGCTTATCAGTAAATAGGAAAGCCTTGAGTATAAGTTTTAGCTGTGTTACTGTTGTGTTATTTCCGCTGGGCTGCTCTGATTCCTCAATGAATTACAGGAATCCACGACACGTGCACAGAGGTTCTAGTAGCGTGCACAGACCAGTTTCAATGTAATTGAACGAGTTACTTCACGACTGCGTACGGTAGTAGGAAGAGAACCACTTTAAAGAAACTTCAGAAAGGAATATCTCACAGCTTTGAGCAGCTCACACGCCAAAATGAACAAAAGGAATCCAAGTTGCTCCGTCCTCGCCCGACTCATACGCGCTAGGGCCCACGAATACACTCTTTCTTGCACCAGTCTGATCTGCCCCTACATTTGGACGTCTCGTGTCATCCCGCAGCCTTAAAGCAGCCTTGTGAAGGCTACGGCAAACGGATTCATCTGTCATGTCCTCAATCATATTCTCATACGTGGTTGTCGCCATCATGACGCTGTCGCGGTCATCAACCACCCACAAGGTTCCAATGACGTGGCGGAACCCAGCTAGCTGGTATGCGCCGATGAGATGAACGCTCTCATCTCGGAACTTTAACTTGGAAACCTGGCCAGTCTCGCATGCGGAAAGGTAGGCCAAGAAAGGGCTGCCTTCGCTCAGATTCACTTCGAGAACGTCGCCCACAGTCAGGGGATCCGTTTCCCAGTCATGCAGCAACAATGCACTGCGCAAAGGGTCGGAGATGTTCTCCACGCCGTGCCCCGCAAAGTGGAAGATCTGACAGGTTTTGAGATGTTGAAGGACGTTCTGTTTGTGCACCCGGCTATCGCCGAGCCTGACACTGTCGAAATCCTTGGATGCGAAGAGGGCCTCTACCATCTGGACCTCCTTGACCGCGCCTCCCAGAAGTGAGCGGTTTGGCGCGTTAGCCATGGCGACTAGAAGTGCTTTGCTTTCTCTTGGTCGCGGAAGGGAAGAGGCACGACGACGGCCGTCTACAAGGGCCTTGATTGATGAGCTGTACGACGACACGGCAAGTTCAATCACACTGTCCGTCAAACCCTTAGAGTGATAGCCCGCGGCGTGAAAAGGGAACCTGCTCAGGATGCCAGTGGGAATCCACCAAATACGTGGCAGGCACCCGTCCGGCGGCGGCCGAGTAAGGCGGAGTTCGTCAAGGACCGGCTTGGCGATGGAATCCCAGAGCCACCTGAGCACAGCAGGCCTCTGCAGGTTCCTGGACCATTTTTCCAGACCTTCAAGCGTAACCCCGTTGAGGTTCAAGACGTGGACTCTATCCCTCTCGATAAGGATGGCATCGACACCCCGATACGCGCTCACAGTCAGAACGATAAGATGGCCCTGCGCCGCCTCGTGGATATCCTTATTGCTTGGCGGCTCTAGGAAGCGCTCGAATCCCTCCTTTTGGCGAATTTCGTCCAATAAGATGTCAAACTCGCTACTCGCAGCGTGTTGTCGCGGTGAGTCGACCTGCAGCTCGTCCCGAAGCGAGTGAAACCGCTCAGCGAGCGGAGGGTAATCTCTGTGGAGCGCGACCATATCGGGACGCAACTCGGCCACGGAGGCGGCTAGTGACTGACGGCCCATCTCAAGCAGGCTAAGAGCCGCGTATCCATCCCTGCCGCTTTGGAGAGCCGCGGCCGCGGCATCAGCACCGAAACCCACAACGTCGTCGGCGCTGAGCAGCCGCTGCTTGTCTGAGATGCGGATCGCGCGTGACGAGAGCCTGGGGATCAGCTCGATGGCTTCGAGGGAGGCCTCGTACGCCTCCTGCCACCTGGCCATGTCACAGCAGATACGGAGCATTATCCGGCCGGCTTGCACGCGGTGGAAGACCGACGGGTAATGGGGGCTGCGGAGGGCTTGCCTGAAGTGGCCCAGTGCCTCATCCGCCACTGACTCTGACGCAGACCGGCAGAAGCGGGCGTAGAAGAAAAGGCCCAGGAAGTTTTGTAGGTGGGCGTGAATGGGGTGGCCATCTGGTGTTCTGTTAAGTGTTGATTCCGCAACGTCCGTCGCCTCATCAAGGTCAGCTGTTGTCTCCGATTCGGTCATTTCGTATCTTTGGAAGAGGCGCATCGCGAGGTTGATACTGATCTCTAAGCCACTGGCGTGATTGGTTGGGATGTTCTCCTGTGCTTCTCGAAGTGATTGAATGGCCCTGTCAAGGTCGTTCGCCTGCTGTGTGACCCCGGCTCGTCCGCCAAGCGCATTTGCAAGTGTGCACAGAGCGGGCCACGTCAAAAGGGAATTCTCGCTTGCATATCTGAATGCCTCCTCTGACAACTCGACAGCTCTGTCTATATCGCTGCGAGAGTCGCCTTCGTCCTGCTCGTAGCGTCTTTGCAAACTGGCAGCGAGGTTGAGAAGCCACTCCACCCGGATGGCCTGCCATTCTTCCCAGGGAACAGCCGCAATCAGCCTTTCCCTGATGTCAATGGAGCGGTCCAGGTCGCCCAAGGACCCTGCCATTTGGAAACGCTCCTCGAGTCTGGCCGCCAGGGTGTTTAACGAATGGATCTCAACGCTAGGGTCGTGTAGGATGGTGCCTTTGGGTCTGTCTAGAATGGATCTAGCTTGTGGTGAAGCATTCACTGCTTCATCGCTGAGCTCGATTGCCCTGTGGAGGTCTTCAGGATCTCCGTCTTGCCAATACCGATGCCCTAAGGCCTTGGCGTAATTGCTCGCGCGCTGGGTTTGACGGTTGTCATATCCGACTGTGACTCCAAGTCCGTAAAGCTCTTGGGCGAGATTGGTAGCACAGTCTAGGTGGTGCCTGGAACTGCCTGACTCGAAAAGATCCAAGAGGGTTGCGACAAGTGTGTCTCGTGCCTGTTCTCCTCCTTGATCTTCCTCATCGCGCCATTCGCAGAGAGCAATTGCACTCTCTACCTCTTCGGGAGATCCTTCCCCGACATATGCCCGGAGATCCAATGAGACGAATTCCATATCTGCCATACCGCAGGTTGTCGGGCAAAACTGAAACTCACGTGACACCTAAATAGGGTATTAGCCCCAGATTGATTCAACTTCGGAAAGTAAGGAAACATACCAGATTCGTGCGTCTTTGCTTCTTGAGAGGCTTGAGGTTAAGTGAAATAGGATACAGCTTAGTTGTGAAGATGTGCTAGAATCTGAAGGGCAGGAGGCTAATATAATAAGGGGGCTATCAGGCAGCAGCCGATATCTGCCCTTGAAAGATAAACTTGCATATCAACGTTGTGTTGGCGGCGTTGGCATGGTTACGCATGGCAGCCATTTTAGTAACATCCCTAAGCCGGCAATGTTTTGTCTCATACACGCCGGGCGAAAGTGCTTGGTCAAGGGCTCGAAGAAGCGGTGGGGGGTGGGCTTATGAGCAACCCAACGGAAGCCGGGCGAAAGTGCATGTTAGAAAGGAGGTGCGGGGAACAGGTCTGTTGGATCAAAGAGCAGTGGCATATTGAGAGCAGCCAGTCGAAGCCTGATTTCGGCGAGATGATCAAGCAGCTGAAGGGCTACGCATAAGTCGGCTACCCTCACAACACCATCAGGGCTCGGATTGCATGATAACGTCCACGTGCCCTCCTTCACGATGCATAAATGCATAAGAAGAGAATAACCAAGCTGTCGGCAAGCTCTTCGTCCAATAAGCAATGCAGCTGCGTGAGCCCGAATTTCGAGTTTCTGCATGAGCTCGTATCTGTCGACGTTGTGCTCTATCCCTTCAAGTGCGGATGAGCTGGTGGGGCCCTCGCTGCCCCACAACCCCCCCTGCAACTAGCTTGATACCACAAAGGGACCCGACCTGACCACACAAATGGATTTACTTGGTTAACGCGTTTTTCGGTATGACGCGGAGGATGACCGAGAATGTGATCAGGTAGCCGGCCCGCGGCTTCCATTTTCAACCTTTCAAACCACCATATCTCCCTTTCGTCATAAAGGACCTTCTGCTTCGCTCTTCGCTGTCTTGTGTCTGACCACTTGGGCACATCTGGTTCTCGCCTATCTCATGAGTGACACAATTACTAGCCTCCAGCCTCGCCTTCTAGGGACTCCCAAACCCTCTCCCGAGTATCGGCTCTCCTCGCAGATCATCTAATATTCTCCAAACGCTATCAAGCGTCTTGGATGCCTCCACATCGACATGAACCGGACACACTCCACCGCAACACGGTGGGCGATTCTAATCGGTGTGGGAGGTCTTCGGGGCTACGAAAACCAGAACCGATCCGTCAAAGGCGCCATTGGAGACGTCATGGCGATGAAGAATTATCTCAAGACATATTTGGCGCCCGTCCAAGTCCGCACGTTGACGACTCAGCGCCTTGACCAGGATCAACCTCGAATAGAAGCCTCGCTGCAGGACGCACCCACCTACGACAATGTCATCAACCAGTTACAAGAGGTGATTAAACATGGCCAGCGTGGGGACTACGTTTATATTCATTTCTCTGGACATGGGACCAACAACCAGGGATCGCTTGCTTTGGTTCTCTACGAAGCCAAACTCGCTAATTCGAGATTGCTGTATGGCATAGTCTTGAGGAGTGCAATCAACCGCATGGTGTCGGCAGGAATGCTTGTTACCCTTGTTCTGGACTGCTGCTTCTCAGGGAACGTTCTTCGAAACGGCCATCTCCAACCCTCAGGGATCCGCTATATCGAGTATGACACCACCATGGATCTCTGTTCTGATCACATCGATCCCTTTGCAGAGGAATGCACACGTAGTTCATCTTTGACGCTAGTGAAGGGTGCAGAAGCCGGCCAGCGTCTGCTTGACCCGACTGGATACTCGGTTCTTTCGGCCTGCGATTCACACGAAGAAGCCGGCGAGGTGATCCTTCCAGACGGGGCTAATCGAGGTGCCCTGAGCTACTTCTTACTGGATTCGTTGACGATCTTGCGAAATCGGGGGGTGGAAGTCAGCCATCATTCACTCCATCAACACGTCCGGGGCAACTTTCACGCCCGTCATGGCTCCCAGACCCCAATGCTCTACGGGAGCAATGGCCTCTCTTTCTTCAATGACCTCGCACGAAGAAGTTTCATCACATTTGTTTCTGCGCATAGAGATAATATGGATAACCTGGTCCTAGACGCGGGTGAGGTCAATGGGGTCCACGTCGGTGACGAATACGCTCTTTACGACTTTGCTGCACCAGAGACATCTATCGCAATACGCAAAGAGGCACACATCAAAGCCAAGGTTGTCACTGTTGATCATTTCGCGTCCAAGTTATGCATAGACGACTGTTCTGAAGACCAGAAGGTTGCACAGGGCTGGACTTGCAAGGCAAAGATGCTTACCACTTTATCTCCGCATCCAGTTCGAATGATGCTTATCCGAGGCGCGCCAAACGCTCGTGATCTTTTGGACGAAGCAAAGAAGATCCCTTTCTTGCACCTTGTGTTGCAGGATGATCAAGATCGCGGTGATGGATCCGAGAGCGACCCACGTGAAAGGGCTGTCTTCCAAGTCACAGCTCGTGGTGACTGTACCTATGAGGTCCTGGATCAACGCGCCGAGAAAGTCGAGAACTTTCCTGTAATCAATACTTCTGCTTCCGGCGCCAACCAGGCTCTTCTCAAAGCACTTGGACACATCGCCGCCTTCAAGTTCTATGAGCGGATCGAGAATCTTAACCCAGATCCACAATTCGAGGCGTCCTTTTCCCTGGCCTGTCCGGATCAAACACCTGACTCTAATGGCATTTACAAGATGAAGCACCATGAATGTTTTAAGCTTCATTTCAAGAACCTTGGGACTGTTCCCAAATACGTGGCGGTGATGGATTTTGACTGTTCTTGGGAGATTTCAAATCCCATCTTGTGTGGAGGGGAAGGATACAGTCTAACAATTCTTCCCAAAGGCTCCAATGAATCGGGAGAGAAAGAAATACCACTGAGGATGGAGGTCCCTTCCGATTTACTTGATCGAGGGCGACGGCACGCAAATGACGTGGTCAAAATCTTCATCACAAGCAAACCTACTATGTTTCCAGCAGCGCTACTCCCCCAGCTCGGCTATGATGAGTTACGAGGGCACCGAAACAGAATTGAATGCTTGAAGGAGTGCATATGGGGACTTTCTGGAATGAGAGGAGGTGATGAGGGAAACTGGAGCACACAAACATTCTTCCTGCGAACTTTTTATCCAGCAGATTGAAACCATAGCACAGTTAGACTATCTAGCACCAGATCTAGCGTCGCTCGGTGTCCCTGGGGCCATCTTTCAACTTGCGAATGGGTCATACAGAGTCAACATGCTCTCCTCGAATAGCCTTCCATCCTGTAGAGGCCGACCCTCGCGGTCATAAAGACTGTACTTTCCATCCTTTGCCTCAGAAATGCAATATGGCCCTATCTGAGCCCTGGTGGTGGGATGAACAGTAGTTACTTCATCAGCTGGTCTGAACTTGTACTCAAAGCCGTACTTGTCGATCCATGGGCGTTTCCCGTCCTTTGCGAAGACGACGAGAGGCGGTTCTTCACTAATAGCCGTGTGTTAACATGCTTTCCAAGGGAGGAAAGAACACATTCTCGATGCCTCACCTTTGATCCTGCTGAGGTATCGCCATAGTGAGGGGAGAGCTTCTAGTGTGAAATAACGATTTGTGGGAGTAGGGAATAGAGAACGACCAAATTGCAAACCTTTCGGGGTTTATATGGTACTTATTACCCCACGGGCCGCCTTGCTTTTCAACCCAGTACAAAACCAGCCGCCTCACGCAGGCTGTAAGCGAGTGTTCCCAATAGAACAAGGCAGCTGCATAGTTAGGCTACCATTCGCTCTTTGCCATCGGCTATTAGCGGTGCGAGATAAAGAACAGCAAAGTGGAGATCCGCGGCAGTACCCAACCGTAACAGTGTTTTAACCGCATTGTTCCATCAACGAGCCCAGGCAGCAGGGCTACCTTGTCCTCACACCATAGTTTGATTTTGAACTTGACTCGGTGGTTGATACCTCTACTCTCATCTTCTTCCTAATTCACCACCACAGACTGTCTCAACGCCGAAATGACGAGTCAGCACGTATCTAACAACGACATAGAGCTCGGAAACCCCCACTCGACAAGTCGCTTAGGCCAAGGGATCCCTCGTGGAATCCCTTCCCTTGCATGCCAAGTCCTCAAAAAGCTTATCTATCTGTTGAGATGTTTAGAGCGTGGTGCTGAAGCCAACGGCGGCCAGAGGCGCGTCACGAGTTTGTTCCCTTTACATATTAGTCACGTCGGCTTTGAAAGTAACTAATCAACTATACCTACGTCAAGTTGAGGACTACCGACCTGGCTATCCCCGGTTTTCGGCACTCCAGGCATCTCACAAATCTTTCCACATCTTCCGCCGATTTGACAACCTTCGCATCAGATCTTTGCTCTTGAAACAAGACAAGTCGAGCATCCTAGAGAAGAAGCTCAACAAGATCGACCATGATGAGCCCTCACCATTGTTCCTCGCGAGTAGCAGGTTGGACCGCTCAACAGAGCGTGCAGCGCTGCTCGCAGAAATTGATGACGCCTTAGCTTCATACGGTGCGTGAAGGATGAACTTGATCAAGGAGACTGGCCTGTCTGACGTGTTTTCTATAGATGAGCTGTTAGAGCGGAGTCAAAGGATTCTTTCTTTTGACAGACCACTCGCCGCACACGTATTGAGCCTCGAGAATTGGCTCCAAGGCAATGCCTGCATCGCGCGTGAAGAAGGTCGATTCTTGGATCACAAAGACGATTTGCTCACGGTTGCTCTGCTCGAGGATGGCGTCATCTACTGGCTGGAGATGGCCGTGACGGCCAGCGTTGAGTTCTTCATCAAGGTAGATCTGGTCCAGGCGACACAGCAGGTAAAATACTAACGTCCTATCAGAAGAATCAACAAAAGAACTCGGATGATTCCAAGGTCCATGTCCTGGATCAATCTTTCACCGACAAGGCAGCTCGCGTTCTGCTTACGACCCTCGTCACGCTGCTGATTTTGGTACCCGTTATGATTTGCAATGCGATGAACGATTCGACAAGTAGGATAACAATCCTCGTTCTCGCAGCAATTTCATTTATTACTGCATTGTCCTTATTGACGAGGTCCAAGGCTATAGACCTAGCTTCTGCCAGTGCTACGTGAGCAGTTTCACATCTATGAATGAGTGTTAAGGCTAATTTAATAATAAATACCTCATAGTGCTTGTCATTTTTATGAACGGCGCATAAGAGTTATGACATGTTTGAAAAATACTAGCGAATCTTGAGGCCGCGGGAGCGTTTGTTAGCTTGTCGGCTGAGAGGTGAGACGAAAGGTTGCAGTCGTAGTAGGTAGGCCCACCGGAGGGCCCAATAGTAGTAGTAGTAGTAGTAGTAGTAGTAACGTACACGATAAGCAGAACTTATCGTGGGGTCGTTTTGCGGAGTAATGTCGGGAAATCGTATGTGATTACACAATTACCATCTGATAAGTACCCGACGACGCATGCGAATATCTCGACGGTTACTAGTCCAATCGAGGTCATTCCAGGACTGGAGGATTGCTACGCTCTGATTCTAGCGGCCGGCCTGCGACATCTGGGCGAGAGACGTGCCTTGTGTCTCGGCGTCCTGGGCGCCTACCATATGGCGGTTTCAAGCACATCATCTAGGATGTCAATGCAGACCGTTCAAGTCAAGTCCGCACGCGACCGCTACTTCATCTAGTTCATCCAGCAAGTGAGACAAATCATCGCGGCCCGGTCGAGGCCCGGTTGTGACCCGGGCGGCAGCCGAGGCTGCAGAAGTCGGTCAGATGGGGGAGGGCGCGAAGTCCAGGATGTCGGAGGCTCGCGAGGCCAGAAAAGTCGAGGCCCAGAGGAGCCATAAGCACCACAAAGGGAAGAGGGCCGAAAGGCGATGTTGAGAGCTAGCAAGCAGCGAGAAGAAAGGTCAACTCTCCAAACCCCCCCTTGTGGTAATCGCGGACACGCTGCTTGTCTGTGCCCCACTTGCCGTCTGGCCTCATTACTCCGTACCACCACAATACAGATCCACAACACCAAGAGCTACCAGGGTCTCCCTTCCCGGACCCAATACTTCGTCAATACTTCGTCAGGATGCACCTCTCGAGCAACACAAGGAGTGTCGTTTGATCACTGATCCCCGCTCGGGCCCCCACAAACGTAGCACAGCTGATCACGCGCCTCGGCAAACCCCCAGTAAGCCATCTCAGTTCGACCAAGGCAAGGTGCAGTTTGGACGGCAAAGTGCATGACTGTTTTGGTGTTGCTGCAGGTTTGAGGCATTTCCAGCAACATTGGCTGGGAAAACACCGCATCCTGCCGGTTTTGTCCGCCTTGGCTGCTGCCGGTAGATAAGCAACTCATGGGTCTTCGTATCATGTGAGGTAGGACAGGAAGCTCGGTTATGGCCAGCACCTGCAACGTAGCAGCAAGATTTTGCTTTGAGGGCGACTAGATAACGCAGACCATCTAGTAGGCTCTAAGCGATCAGCACGGAGCGGGCCGGTGTGCCCTCCCACGATTTGATCTGACAAGGTGTGCGGGGTAAGCGATGGCTTCAGCTACCCACTAGTGCACCTTTCAATGTCACCTTTGACTAAGGCAGATGACGACGGGCCAATGATTTCGAATCTAGTCGCACTTGCGCCGTCGTATACGTCTTCCCCCAAGACGATTGCGCCTTACCCCCTCCAACACCAGCCCCGCCAAGTTGAACAAACGCTACCCCGCCCACCTACCGCCCGCCGATCAAGCGTAACCGAAGTCCGATACCCATGTGTCCCCACCACGACTTGATTAGCTGCCTGTAATTAGGCACCTATCTGACGTGTGCTCATGTCCGCCCTGCTTGTACGTAGTAAGATTCGACCACTGCGACGGGGCGCTTGTGGCTGCAGCTGGTTAAACAAGCTGACAATGGTATCTTCGATAAGGGTTTCCATTAAACCAAAAACGGCAATGGATCGATGCAGCTTCTCTTTCCTCCGAGAGGAGATAACGTCGATCATCCCATCAGGGTCTAAAGGGTACTCGAGCGTGAGAGCAGTAGTTCCCAAACTAAGGCCGTTTTCGACTTTTATCTTTGAGCCGAAATAAGAGGCGTGTAGGCCGGGATTAATTTGATCATCTGCCTGTAGGGTCATCATCCCGTAATATCTCTTCCATTTTAAAAATCGAGCCGATCAAGTGGCTCATGCCACCTATTGCACTGACTTGTAAAAATAAATTGAGACGTGGTAGGCCCTGTAGGAGATAAGAAGTCTCAGCCTTAAAGTAAAACCGAGGTTAGGCCCCCAAATGATGTACTGATATCCCTCCTTCAGTGATTCTTCGAGGCATTGAGATCAAGAAACTCAAGTTACCATACCCTGAACATATTAAAGGCAAGTCGGATAAAGAAGACGTTTTATTCGTGGCGACGTGTATTAAGATGGAGAATACGATATGGCCCAAATTATCGTTGTTTGAACTCGACTCTATGACTCCAGCTATACATAAGCTTCCTTTTCAGGGCTATTGACCGTATTGGTTTTGATGCTGATAGCGACAGGCTTTCTTCGAAGTTCAGGTTAATAAATGTGATTGATTTATTGATTGGATTGCTGGTTTAGGACGATTCGCTAGTCGTTGCTGTAATATATCATCATGATATCTGCTATCGTCGACTACGAAACACACCGCTCAACCCACCCACGGAACTCTTGGTTAACCCAGCCTGCCAGTAGTCGCAACACCGCGAGCAAGCGGTATGAGCCATCCACGGTAACGGTGCTGCCAATCTCGAGCGGGCCGCACACCTCAACCTCGCTCTCTCTGTCGAAGGCAAAGTATAGCTCCCAATTCTCGCACACAACAAGGAGGACTGGGAGGAAGGGCAGGTTCACCAACGTACCCGGATCCTCAGAAGGCAGCGGCGCAAACTTGGCCACACGCCCGTACCAAGCAGCTAACCATACCCCCAGCTGAGCCTTACCCTCAGCACGCCGTCGGATATCAACCTTGGTCTCGACAAGCACGCCCGTGGGCTCATAGCACAGCGGGCCATGTGTCGATTGGTTAAAGGACCGTGGGCCATCGAAGCCGTCGACGAAGTCGGCGATGCGGATGGCGAGATCCCTGTCAGGCTGGAGCAGAAGAGCGTAGTCAATCATTTTCCCGCCCAAGGTCTCAAGCTCCCCGCGCGAGGGTGGGATAAAAGCCTTGGCGATGGCGGCTTGAGTGATGTTCTCAGCGCCGACGTGCGGTACGCCAGAGACAGCGAGGCGAAGGGCGGGACCATGGATGTGGTCGTTCCACGTCGCTTCAGAACGGGTCGTGTTTATAAACCGTATCGTAGTAGCGACGATATTGCGGATAGCGCTAAGCTCGTTGTAAAGGGCGAGGAGGCTGGCCATCCCGGCGTCAAAAGATGGGAAGAGCTGGCTGGCATCGTCCACCTCTTTCTTATCCACGACCAGAACTCTATCCTCAGCCGCGAAGCGAGACTCGCTAACCATCAGCTCATCTTTCAAGATCTTTTTCAGCTCCCGCGGCAAGTATCCTTCTCCTTGTATCACTCTCCAAACGTCGTCAAACAAGCCCAGCGCCTGGGCACTCCCTGTCTCCTTCACCGTGTCCCTCAATGTACGAGGGTCAGGGCTCGTCCATGTGACAGGTTTCTCGAGCTTAAGAAGGTCGTCTGGGTTCTTGACGGGGCTCGTAGATCGTGTGCGGCTGGTGGCACTGCTTCGTTCTCTTGAGCCCGAGGCAAAGGATTGCCGGTCGTTTGTGCTAAGCTTGGCGGTGAACGACATGGGCGGTAGAAAGACATGATGCAGCTGCTGCTGTTGCTGAGGAATAGTCCGACGGGGCCGTGGTGTAACTTGATGGGCGGCTATATTGGCGTCGTTGTCGTCGGACGTGAACGGGTCTTGCCGATCTGAGTGGTTGTCGTCTTTCTTTCTCGGGCTGCGTCGCATATCGCGCTCTCTCGGTGCTTCTTCGTCGGAGATGGGATCGGTGCCGGCGCTATCAATCCGTTGTCGCTTCGCTGAGGGACAGAGGCCGAGCACGTGTTGACGCCGCCGCGGGGAGGGAGAGGTTGAGGACTCGTACTCGTACTCGAGCGGCAACAAACACGTCTGTGGATCAGAGCAGGTGTGGAGCAGAAGGTGCTGGTCACAGATCCAGGCGGCAATGACTTGAGAGTCCATGTGACTCCTGCAGACACGACGATTTGGAGCCGTTCTGCGATTGTGCGATGAGTGACGTTGAGGACGAGTATATTGATGGTGTGTATAGACGTGATCGGGTGATTGTTTGTTTTCAGTTGCTGCGCCAGCTGATAAGATAAGATAGCAGTTCAAGATTAACTGACTCTGATTGGCTCTTGGAGAGTTAACAGGGATACCGTTCTTCCCACGGGTAGTAGTTAGACTTACCCTGTACATTCCTGTTGTTGATTTTCACGAAGAATAAAATTCTTGCTGAAAATATTTAAACATTTAGATATCCCATCTTCGATTTGGTCGCATGCACGTGATCTCTTGAGATCTAGGCGGTTCGTTACATATCATACGAGAACATTGAAGAAGCTGATGTCGGGCTGAAGTGCATCGCAGTCCAGCACCACCTCAGTGTATTACGGAATCTGCGCCCGTTGGAGCAGAATGCAAAAGATGGCGGCGCTTGCCCGCATAAACGAAGGATGCGACCCGGGACTATTGATCAAGCAGAGCCAGCAACCAGCAACCGATAATACAGTGCCTGACGACCGAAGCGTCGCCGCCCGACTCTGTGCCGACAGCATCGTTCTGTTCAAAGGAATCATCAAGAACATGGATGGGCCGAAGGAAATCTGCATCCACTTCGAGCGACGTTGCCATTCCCTGATTCTTTGGAATGAGGACGGCATGTCGGAGGGCAAGCTGGATGACATTTTGGCCACGTCTACGATTGTTCGACGCCCAACCGTGTGGTTCCTCACGAGTATCAGCAGAACGCTTACCGAAAGACTCTTGCCACTTGTGAATGCGTCCTTAAAATTGAGCAAATCGTCGCAACGCGTGCAGACTCTTACGAAGGAAGCGTTAGATATCCTTCACGATGACGCCGAAGAGCGTAATGACGACACTTTGAAGGACGAGTCGTCCATCTTCGAAGCCGATAACCTTGAAGAGATAGCAGAGGATCTGAAAACTGATATTCAGTGCCTCATGGATCTTGGCCGGCTTTTCAAATGCCCAGTTTTGGATGCTGAACTGAAACGAGCGCCAGCTGCCGGTGGAAAAATGTCCACGAGATGGTCGCCACACAAAAATTACTGTGATCGCATCTATCAGGGATTTCCGGCCAACTTGAGGATCGCCCAGCTTGACTTCTCCAAGGATGCCATCACTAAGTGGAGAGCCCATGGCGATAGACACAGCAACTGGCCTGTCGTGTACGTGTTGGACGATGGCTGCGACACCACCCAGGGAAGTTCGACCCAGCTGAGGGACATCTATGTCGGGAAGTCGCTCAATGCAGCTGGCCGACTGCGGCAGCACGTCAAGACATCCACGTCATCTTGGATGAAGAATTCAACATGTCAGCCTGCCTTGATTTAGAATCCTACCTCATCAAGATGCTGGCCGGTGATGGTGCTAACCGGGTGCTCAACTGAAACAACGGCATCACCGAGTCCAGATACTTCCAACACGAGTTGTATCGCAAGGGTTTCCGCAAAATCTTTGAGCGACTTCGAGCCGATGGCGTCTTCACGCGGGGTCTTGATGAGATCGAAAACAGCGATCTGTTCAAATTGTCACCGTTCAAGGCATTGGCAGACGATCAAGCAGCCTCGGTAGAGGAGATTGTCAAGGGCCTCCTCACTGATCTCGAGAGCGGCACAGACAGCATGGTCGTGATCCAGGGCGACCCAGGCACCGGCAAGACGGTGGTGGCCATATACTTGATCAAGCTGCTCGTCGACATTCAAACTTTCACCACGCTCGAAGATTTAGATAGTGACGCGCGGTTTGCTACTTTCTTCACTGACACCAACAAGGGGTTGCTCCAGGACCTCCGTGTCGGCTTGGTCGTACCGCAACAGTCACTACGATCCTCCATCAAAGCTGTCTTCAATAAAACGCCCAGACTTCATCCCTCTATGGTCATGTCACCCTTTGAAGTGGGAGAGGCAAATGGAACATTTAGTCTGCTGCTCGTCGACGAGACTCATCGGCTTAATCAACATGCCATCCAACCTTCGGGAGTGCTCAACGCCAAGTTTGCAACCATCACGAGAGAGATTTTTGGCGGCGAGGACATCAGCAAGACCCAACTGGACTGGATACGGGCCAAGAGCAGGCATCAGATATTCCTCCTAGACGCAGCGCAGAGTGTCCGCCCTGCCGACCTACCGCCCGAGTTGCTGTCGGGCCTCGTGGCAGATGCTCGTGCGTCGAGGCGGCACTTCCAACTCCGGACGCAGATGCGCGTGCGGGCGGGATCCGACTTTGTGTCCTACATCCGCTGGATTCTTGACCCTCACCCTCTCTCGCTTCCGCCGGTGCGACCCGATTTCGGGGACTACGACTTCCGCACCTTTGACTGCGTCGCTCGCATGCGAGACGAAATCTTCCAGCGCGATGCAGAGGTGGGTCTTGCACGCATGGTCGCCGGCTACACGTGGGAGTGGAAGACGAAGAAGGACAAGAAGGCGTTCGACATCGAGATCGGCGATACGCAGCTCTGCTGGAACAGCACACCCATCGACTGGATCTCCTCCAGCAACGCGCTCGAGGAAGTGGGATCGATCCACACGGTGCAGGGCTACGACCTGAACTACGTCGGAGTCATTATAGGTCTGGACCTGCGGTTTGACCCCACGCGGCGACGTCTCTTTATCGATCGCGACTCGTACTTTGACAAGAAGGGCAAGGAGAACAACCCGGCCCTCGGCAGGACCTACTCGGACGACGACCTATTGCGGTTCATCACGCAGATCTATGCCGTGCTTATGACGCGCGGGATCCGGGGGACGTACGTGTACGCGTGTGATTCTGGGTTGCGGGAGTATCTTAAAGGTCTCATCCCATTCCATTCGTGAAACTGCGTAAGGCTCTGTGCTATACCTAGGGTAACTGCGCCGGGCCCGTACGCGCTCCCCTGTAGCTCTATTTCAAAGGGAGAATTGTTATAGGGCCCCAACCGCTGTGACGGGCAAAAGCGGGGATTTTAAGGTTAATGAACAGGGGGGAACCAGCACTTAGGTTTTCAACACTACAACCAAGAATCCTTATCTTATGTTAACTCATTCCGGAAGCTTATTCACTAAAAAACGTGAAAATATATTTTTATATCATTAGATTTATGTTCTTGTATACGTTACATGTAGCCAGATGACATATGATTACCACTGCTTATCCACCAGAGAGTTTTGCAACATCCTCAGCCATCCTCAGAATATAACAGCTTAATTGAGTTTATGGCGTACCTTCTGATCTTTCCTGGACTTGTTCCTTCCTCTCGTCCCCTCACAGTTTTGTTAGCATTTCCTAGGTAATCACTTTTCCAATAAAACTGTTGGCATTATGAACTGTTACGGCTTGGTCCCCCGTAATAGCGCTGTAAGTCCTATAGGCAGTTGAAGCACCTTCTGTAATTGCTACAATAGTGATTATGGCCCAATCTTTTGCCCCGTGGCGCAGCGGCTAAGGTGCCCGCAGCTGTGACCGCTGTTACATGAAGACGCTCAACGTGTATTAGCTTATCACTGTCACAATAAGGGTAATAACCCATCAGCGGGTACTGTATGAACGAATATAAAAGGCCTTTGATAAACTCGGGAGTATCGGCGGTAGCCTTATCGAACTCTGCTTTGGTGTCCGATAAGGTCAGGAGCCCGGGGAGCCTCTCTCTAGCAAAAGCTAGAGCGCGATCGCGAAGTCCTCTCGAAGAGGTTGGTGTAGAGTTGTAAACCTCGGATATTGAAAGAAGAAAGTTGAAAACGTCAGGGCTTTTCGTCAAATTCTCCGAGTATTTCTTTGCCGACAGGATTGATAACTCGTCAATGTTGTACTTATCTGCCAAGGCCAACATTGCCGCATGAACCGACAGAACGGGAGTCGTGTCTTCGCCTGTATCTTCTTCCTCAGATTCCTCTGTGTAGTCACCAGTGTAGAAGAAGTCCACCATCCGTCGCACTATTGGTAGGGGATGAGAGTCGAGGATATACGTTCGGGTAGATGCCTCCTAGGGCAACGCTTCAGTTATGATGCCAATGCCACGGAGAAGCATATGCTACCTTGAATTCTCCAGTGCATGCCGCGTGAAATACCTGGGATTGGCTGCAAATGATCACCCTGTGAACGGGTATGGTATGACCTTTACATTTGAATGCAAAGTCGGTAAACACGCCATTCTCCCGCAATCTGTCGAGGAGTTAGATTTATCTTATTCAGGAGACCGGAAGTATGCATGTACTTCGCAATTTTCTCCGAGGTCCGTGTAGAAATCATTACCGTATGGCTTGAGGTTATGGTCTGATCAACGAAACGAATTCCGATTGTTCGCAAAGGCCAGGTCGTCGATTTGTGATCTGGGCCAGCACTTGCTCATGTTGGAGGTCTATTAATATGATAGCCGTCCTTTCATACTTGATGAAGCGCCACAGCTTCTGACATCGTTGAGAGGAGTGAGATTCTATGATGTATGAGGTTTGGAGGTACGCGATGGGCGGCTGATTGTGTATTGGATACCGAAGATAAACTCCACTCCAGAGAGTCAAAAAGCCTTTCACACATAAGCATGTCATCACTTTTATGTAATACCCCAAGACGTAGCAGCATGTGATGATGATGTTGACGTGGTTAAACCCCGCACCACCACAATAACTTAATTTCAACGTCTTTTCTCCCCATCTTTTCCAATATCCTCTCAGTAGCTCAAGCCGCTTGCATCGACCCCTTCCAGAATGGGTGAACCAACTATTACAACGCGTGCTGGGCTCGGCGACGTCGCCGATTTGATCGCGGGACTGAGCATTGTCGATCACCCTCAAGTCCACAGCCGCTCCCGCCTATCCCAGTCAACACTCACAAAAGCGATAAATAATCTCAATCACGTCGCAACAGCCACATGCCTGCAGGGAAAAGAGGTCCTTGCTTCAGCTAGTGATACCCACATTGCTAGTAGCGGAGCTGTGGCAGAAATCTGCTCGCTGCGCAGGAGAGCCAACGAGCTTGCGAATGCTGCCAACGCCCTTAGCGATGCAACGGAGCGATCAATCATCGAACGCGTTAGCTTGCTTGGAGGACAACGGGAACCTCGCACAAAAGAACTTCTAAACCATTTCGACGAGCGAATTAGGGTCATTGTCCGGGATGTCCTCAACAGCTCCAATGATGGGGCTTGTGTGTTATGGAAGACTGCGGAAGAGTGTTATAACCAAGCCATTAGTCCTTCCGGTAAACTGCAGTCCGACGACTACTTCGTCCCACTAGAGGAAGCATGTCTTGAATGGCCCTACGACCCGGATTTCGAGAGCGAGGAATACTATGACCACGAAAATCGTCTAGATGTCGACGAACGCTACGCCGAGGCTTGGGGCAGAAATATGGAACTAAACGAAGCCCGCAAGACCAGAAAAAGGCAAGGACAAAGGCAAAGTTGGGTCGACTTTTGGGTTCGAGCATTGAACCACTGCCCGGGTGGCCCGACACTGTTCTACCCACCAGGTGCTTCTTCTGCCGCAAGATCTATAGAGTGGCCATTCAACGATATTCAACGGTATCTTTTCCGGGCCTTCGACTCGAAAAGCTCTGGTAGAAACGATGACAACGTCGTGGCTTCAACTATGAGCAAGTTTGGCACCCCAGAGCGCAGTAAGATTGATATTTTGTCGCTGGGAACACATAACGCGTCGGAAATGCTCTATAAGCACCTAAACAAAGGCTGTTTCAACGGAGAAGCATCCGACAATCTCATGTCTTGGAGCAGCTCTCTGATGTTTGTGATTCAATATGCGATTTGGAGGTCCCATATCGGCAATCTCTCCCCAACTGAGGTTCGTATTTGTGCAATAGATACAAGCATGTTTCCACCCGGACAATTTGCACGAGATATGTCGCTACTCAAAGCATACCACAATACGGGATTGAGCGAGGATCAGGAAAGATTTTTCCGTTTTCGTCTTGGGAATTCAGAATACGATAATGGAGAATACCTTTCTCAGGGATTAGTCAATCATGGCGGCCGATCATGCACTTTCTCGTTGCAAGACTTGGTAGAAGCTGGACTCTATGAGTTATATCCTGAGTTTGGAGATGCCCAAGCCAGGGGGAAATGGACGAACCGAGTGCGAGACCTTCGCGTTTGCTGGGACAATGAGCAGAAAACGACCTTGCAAGACATACTCCATGCGTTCAACATGGCAAGGGAATGCTTTGGGCCATTTGATGCGCCTGATATGGCGCTGCTGCTTCTGACTTTTAAGAACCGCAAGCTTCGAACGACAGGTAAGACCTACTTCCCTACCACAGCAGTATGAATCAAGTAATTTACAAAGCGCCAGCACTCCAGAGTGATCCGAGACACGCTGATACTTCCGGGCCAGTCGAAGTTTGTCGATATGTGAAGGCGGCCAGAGCAATGGCACGAAGTAATCAGAATTCGAGCCTGTGGGCTTCAGGCGCCCTTAAGCGACTGTTTCGTTCGTACAACACGGAAGCGGTTCAAGGAATTTTTGAATGTATTTGAGTAAATAACGAACCAAAGGGGGAGACCACTCCAACCGGATTGTATGGAATAATGCATGGGGGCCAGATAATGCTTATGGCTTAGCAATGCACCGCCGTGTCGCTTGCCATCAATAGTGAGTCGATCTTGTAAGTTATCAAGACAGCAGACCGTAACTAGAAATCGCGTACTAGAGCTCGAACTATTTTTCTGATTGTTTTCTTGCCGGCGACAGTCGGTCTGTCTGGGTTGGTCTGAGTAGGCTGTTACTTCAGGGTTGCCGTTGGCCCGTTGCGCTCTTAATACCTACAAAGTCAACTACCCAATCAACCAAATGGGACAACCATTCTCTATGGCAGTCGTTGCAGCATCCTCGGAATTTCACAAGTTGTTCTGCCAGCTCTTGTGCGAGGTGCCCAACTGGATCCGGCTCGCTGTTCTCCATTTGTGAGATCTCCGAGGCCGTATCGAAAGTAACGGCCTGGCCCACGCCCGGGCTCTCGTGTCTCGGGCTAGATACCGCATCTATAGCCTCTGCGAGAGTCCCAACATCGGTCATAACATCCTCTTCTATGTCTTGTAATGGTTGAGGATCAACCGGGGGTAGGAACCGAGAGATGTCCGCCTTGTCTGGCTCCGGTGTATCAGTGGGATTGGCCGGGTTATAGGAGTCGCTGAACCCGTTCACCCATCCGGCGCCTCCTCTTGACGGTAGAGGAAGCAGAGGGAAAACTAGGCTGTGAGGGTCGGCGTGTACCGTATCGCGTTGCACGAGGGCCGCATTCTGCCGTCTCGCCCGTCTCCGATCTACATCCGCCGCAGCCTTGGCTTCTGATGTGGAATACCTTCGAGGCCTACCACGCTTACGCTTTACTACTAGCATATCATTAGAAGTGAGAAATTTTGGCTCTTGCCAGTAAAAAATAATAGTTCTTAATTGTGCTACTTCCACTTATCTACCTCTGTACTTTTCTAGCACATATTGGTTGATTGCTGACTCTGGAGTCCATTCAATCCATACCTTATTCGACCCAGGTGACTTGGTGAAATCGGGGAAATCTTCTGCACGTCGATCAAGGGCCATTTGCCGCTGGGCTCGTCTTCGGGCAACATCAGCCACCGCCTTCTCTTCTCGACTTGCGTACTTTGCGGGCCGACCTCGTCTAGAAACTGATCGACGTCTATTTTCTGTACCGCAATGTGGCTGTTGGTTGGCGCAGATCATGTGATGTATTTGCATAGTTGGTCGGGGGAGACTTGGGGGGTTGAGTTGTGATTCCGAAATAATGGGGGGCACTGGTTTAGGTAGTAGTGGCCTCGGGGTAAGTCGCGGTTCTACAGCCAATGGCGGTGCCTGGCAGCTTATTATATCTTCACGTATCGACCGAGCCATGGTTAACTTTTGCGACTCAAAAACTTGCGCACATCCATGCGCAATGTGTTTCCGAAAACTCGTTATGTGCCGCTCAACCTGCTGACACATTTGAAATTCTAGTTCGGGTTGCAGGTGGCTTGGGATTACCGGTTGTGGTCTCGTCGATATGTGCGCCTCGCTTTCAACACCAGATGGGTTTGGGATCGAGGAGTTGATGTCACGACTCTTCCCTGAATTTTGAACAGCAGAGTCACGAGTGCTCCGCAGGGGATTCCGTCGCAAACCGCTCGATTTATCTGATACGTTGAAAGCAAGATTCTCCTGATCGTAGCCGAGCTCCCATACTTCGTATGACAAAGTTTGGCCAATGTGTCGATCAACCCAAGACTGCCATTGATCCTGGCTCCAACCGAGGTACTGGGGGAGGGGTGCAGGGTGTCCCGGCCGCCAGCGGGTTCTCGCCCAACACCAGCTTTCCGGAGAAGCTTTCTCTATTGCGAGTCCCGTTTCACCCTGGATATCTATCGAGAACCACCGGCGCTTGCCATCTTTGGTCCTCGGTGCTAGCCCTCCCGGCGTAGGATATGGCAATACCCAGTGGTGTGCAAATAAATAGCATTGAAGTCGACGTGCGAATGCTTGTGATAGCCTATTGTCCGTTGGAATATGTTGCAATGCAGCACATATCCACTGATGAAGCTTCCGAAACGGTTTGTTTCCCCAATGGCCTCGCAGTCGACCGTCATTAAAACCGAATAATGCTTGGGCAACTTCCTGAGGGCTCTTGACACTCGCATGATTGCCCGATACTGCCGCCATACCATTGACCAAGGCAGCGGAAAGACCTTTGCGGCAAAAGTCGACATGATCGTCTAGGATCGTAGTGCGAACCTTCGGGCGGAGGTCACCTTGAATGGAATGAAGGACGTCAGCCCTCATTTGCTGCAGACAAATGTGACAGAGCCATGACACAATCTGATCGGTTATAATATCTTCCCTGGGATACCGCCGGAGCCACTCGAGGCCCAAATCAGCGCGGCGACTGAGGTCAAAGAAATGCCTGACATGGCCACCATATTTGAGATATCGTTGATGAAGGGTGCCATTCCCAAATAAGACCGAATCAGTAAGACCTGGAAGAAACCTCAATAGAGTCCAGTTGATGCTAGGCTCAATCCAACAGTAGCCATACTGCTCTAGTGTTTGGCTAAAGCCAAGGCCATAACGCACTTGTGGCAAGCCCACTGGTTGGGGCAGCTCTCGTCTACTCCACCATAATGCCCCTTCTCGGGAGTAATCATGTCCTCCGACTGCGACTCGGAGACATCGGAGAAACATGTCCATTATCTTGGTTTGCTCCCATGTCATCAATCCAGCGGAGCACTGGGCTCGGACCAGCTCAAACCCGGTTGTAAACTTGTTAATATTGTGCCAGACAAAATCAACAAAAACAGAACTGCGAACTGCCCATAAATGAGGTGGAGGCCCCGGTAGCTTGATGGAGCGGGTTTCGGGGGTCGAAGAGCGTAGGACCGTCAGGACGCTTTGAAACAAGGTCCACGAAATACGATACCATCTAGTACCCCTCACCCGGTCATACCCCTCACCCGGTCAGCAAAAAAAATATTCCTCCATACAAAATGTGATTTTTCATCATGCTGGCAAGAACCTGATAAAAATAGCAAAAATAAATTCATATTTAGGATCAAGATCAGAATTGAATGTATTTTAATATCCTCTTGGTCTTTTAACTGCGCGGCCTGCGCGGGTCCGTACAACTGGTAATTCTTCCGCCTCCGAATCTGAGCCCTCATCCTCTTCCACCCCTCCCACCTCGATCACCTCCTCAACAGCTTCTGCCTCTTCAATTGCTTCGTTTGACCTAGAAATAGTGTCACCAGCCACTAGAGCCTCGGCTAGTGTTATGAACTTCCTGTTGGGATTCGGTATCGCTCTTCTCTTCTTGCCTCTGCTCAACCGCCCGACTTCCTCCTCTAAACTGGCTACTCTTGCGCTCAGCGAGGCGATCTTTGACTCTTGTGCTTCGAAACCCTTCGATATCACAGAATAGCGCCTTCTCGTTGAGGGGCTCTTATTCTTCCCCAGATCCCTGATATGACGGCTGGTCTTTGGCGTGTTATCAGAGTCGCGTTGCCCGTCGCTCGGGCCATCTGATGCAGGTGTAGTTTCCTTCTTGTCTGGCTGAATCTCTGGATGTATGAGTGCTTTCCGTCGTGAAACCGGCCAGTTTCCAGTCACTCGCCAGCCCGAGAGGATGTTCTTCTTCGTCATACCCACCTCCCTGGCTTTGGCATAGGCCCTGATGAAGTTGACCTTATCCACCGGCGCAGAGTCGGTCAGGCTTGTAAGCTTTTGGAGTTCTTTGCGATAGGCAGCCTTGGATGCATTGAATGGGCCATTGTCGAGTGGCTGTAGGCCGTGGGAGCAGTGAGCTGGTAGGTAACAGCAATACACGTTGTTCAAAAAGCACATAGCCATCCACTCATCCTGGATTGGGAGTCAGCAACATTTTTGGTCCAGAAAGTTCGGAACAGGCAGATACGCACAGATACGTGGCTTCGATGGCCATCCAGTATGATAAGCCTCGCATCAGACTCATCTTCCGGTTGCGTTTGGGGAAGATAGACCTCTCTGAGCCACTCGACTGCGATGTGGTTGTCTGTCCAGCCGTTGTCGGACGTGACGTAATACCAGTCGGCCACCTCCCTGAACTCATCGATAAACCACTGTTGCTGAAGCTCTTTGCCTTTGAATATAATCCCCGGTTTCAGAAGACGGCCAGTTGCAGTCGCGGCTTCGATAAAGCTAGTCCAAGTGCGGGACTGAGAGCCCTTGAGGAAGGTCTTCCTCCTGGGGTCGCTACTGCCAATAACCAAGGAATCCAAGCCTATGTTCCCAATGGATTAGCTCATTCAATAGCTAGAACGACTGATGCTCACCAAATCCGGCCATGATACCGCCCTCGTCAACGTTGACAGTGTTCTCGGGTTTGATCCAGCCATATTCCTTCTCCCGGATATCAAAGTACCAATTGACGGCGGTCGGGGTAAAACAATTGAACCTCGATGCCTCCTGGCGTTTTCCGATCTTCGTCTTTATGGACGGATGCCGTTTCATGAACCTGGCTAGCCAATGTACACCGATAGGCCGTTCCCTGCCTTGTTGTCGTAGGAGGGCAGCGACGGTGGCACGGACTTGACTGTGGGACGGAGCATAGCCCAGGGCCTCTTGCCGGAGTATCCAGGTTACCAACCTGGTCTCTTGGGACTTGGATAACAGCTGGGCAGGATGGGTGACTTCAGGTTTAGGCGGTATGCCTCTTAGTCGGTCAGAGAGGGTGGTCTGGGGCATGCCATGCTTCTGGGCGGCCTCATGCTGCGAGAGTCCATTATCTGTGACATCCAGCATGGCTTCAATAACATCATCCTCTGTATAAGGCATCTGGGGCATTTTGAGCGTCGTTTTGGGAGGCTGGTGTAGAGAAAAATCCGATGAGACCTGGCGGAGGGAGGGTGATGAGGGAGGCGTTTCAATACAGTTGATATTAGTGCCATACGGCTATACCGCATGCGTCACGGGGGAAGCAACGTTGAAATGATAAATTCCATGCAATTTTCAATAGAATAGACATTTTTCCATGCTGATAGCTTCGCTTTTGTTCAAGAACTGTTCAAATGAAAAATCGCATTTTGTATGGGGGAATATTTTTTTTGCTGACCGGGTGAGGGGTATGACCGGGTGAGGGGTACTAGATGGTATTCCTCGCGGACACCAAAGGATCGTTGCTTAGAATCTGTTAGACCATAGTGACAACGGCGCTTGCTGGCCAGATACGCTCGATCGGTGATGTCCTTGCCTGATGCTGACTTGCCGCAAATGCTTTGCATACCATTGCGAAACTGGGGGTCTAATGCCAAGTGCCGTAGAACTGGATTTTGAAATGGAAACGTGCGAGCGGCGTCTATGATCTCCTTGGTGAGACTGTACATCTGACCATAGAGAATGCCTCCGCGGCGAAGTCGAGAGCTCGGAGGTGTCAGTGTAGTCATGCCGCCAGCATCTCGAAGCATTGACTCGTAGTAGAAGTTTTGGCCGGTCTTGGGAATGTTCCCATCATAGAGCTGATCGAGGTGATGACGGATGCAACAATGCCGCCAGAGGTATGTCTGAGCTTCAGGCGATGGAACGCTGTCGTGCAGTGGGCAGGTCTCTTTGCCCACATCGATGTACAACCGGTCACTGCATATGTGGGAGAAGTCTATAAAATGGTGTAGCTTACAGTCAAAGTTCTCCATGACCGCAAGCAGATCAGATGGCGCATCCGGGTATTTGAACAGAAGCTTGGTGCCCTTTGCCTCGACGAAAAGCTCTGGATCGCGAAAGTCCTGCAATCCAGGTTGCCGTACCGCTGCGAGAATACGGTCCCACAATTGCTGCAAGCCCTGCGGTGGTAGGAAATAGGTCATCCGGAGTTGAGTCCGATAACTAGGTGTCTCAAGCAAACGACCCTCCACTTTGGGAGCGCGGCAGGTAGCTAATGCGTGACGATAACTTGCCGGCAAGTGCTGGAGTCGATCGACATCGTATCGACATCGTAGACCTGACGGACAGCGGGATAGAAGATATCATCGAACCACCGCGAGAGCTGCTCGTCAGTTAACCGATTGAAGTCGCGAGAGCATGGCAAATGTGGAAAGAATAGGTGAAATGTGATAAAATCAGCGCCTTCGGCCCTTGCGAAGATGAAACGCGGCACGTCTTTCAGTCGTGACGGGATCAACCGGGGCCGCTCCGGATCTGGATCCACGCGATCCCAGGTAAGGTGGACGTCTGTGGAAATATACTGACCATACTGAGGGGCAGAATAGAACCGAATCCCATGAGCCGCCGTCGCAGGAGAAGTCACGAAACCCAAGATGCTATCGATGTCGAATGAAATAACCGGAGGAGTATTTAGTGAATGTTCCGTGTGGAGACAGGCCTGCTTGGGCTTGCCTTCATATGGGAATATGGGGGTTAGGGATGACGGGTGAGTTCCGAAAATTTTGGTCAGAACAGAACAGAAATGATATAGACAATAGAGAAAGAAAAATGCAATGGAATGAGGCTAGTCTTATATTTTCTCCTATCCTATGAAATAAGTTATGGTGTTTCGAAATATTTGATGGATTGAAGCTTGACAAGTGGCAAGTCTTACGTGCACCGCCGACGATGCACGTATGGCTTGCCGGGTCGAAGCCTGAGCCACGGAAATTCAAGAGTGCAGAGAGCCTTTCGGCCGAAAGAATTTGGCCCTGAGGTTAGTCCTGTTAGAAGTGGGGCATGGATCACGATCATCGTGAATAAATTCACGGTCAGAGTGAACGCCACATTGCAGGCAACAGCCTGCTGCCTAGAAGATCAGCAGGTCGAACACAAGTATAAGAGACCGACCTTCGTCGTTCCTTAGATAGAAGAGGCAGCGCAACGAAATCTCTTCTGACCACACCCTCTGTTGCACAACTCGTCTTTTGAGACATAGAACTCTACCCAATTCTCCGTCTTGCAGCGCGAGACGCGCCGCGTTTCTTACACGACGGACCGTGCCAGCCAGCCCTGCTTAGTTCGAGGAATCACGCATCTTCTATTGTTTCTTAAATTCTCTATAAATCGTATAGTATATAGCACACGTAGTCCCAGCTACTTCCCTAACAATTATGCCCCGCGTCGTTTGGCAACTGACGAACTCCAGTTCATATTTCTGGGCTTGGGAGATGCCAGAGTAACAGTGTTGCAGATCTACAATACATCAACTCTACGTCCACCTAATGGGCAAATTCCATGTCGTCCATATAGCCCATATTAGTGGGCGATTGCCTCCCTGTTGCACATTCAAGGCCCAGAGATCCTTCCCTTTCGTTTCGTTCTAAGCTCCATCATACACCAAAAGGCTTTGAAGGTTGACTGCGCCAAAGCCATGCTGGCGCAATAATTTCCTGCCACGGTACACAGGAAACTCGGCCACAGCCATGACGCTGATATCTTTAGCATCGACGCCGGCTTCACCTAATAGCCGTAGCACCGCTAAGAGCGTCCTCCCTGTAGCAAATACGTCGTCCACCACCACCACTGACGCGCCCTTGTGGACCAAACCTCGATCCATCTCAATGCTCCTTTCTCTTGAATCGTTTGATGTCCAAGACGAGATGTGCGATCGGTGCTTCATGATAGAAACAGTGGGTGGGGGAAGCTTGCCGGCTTCGCGAATCAATACCAAGGGTATACCGACCAGCGCAGCCAACGCTGGAGCATAGACAAAGCCGCCGGCCTCGCAACAAGCCACCGCGTCAACTTTGGCCCAGTCACCTATGAAGTGAGTTCGCAGTAGAGATGCACACAGAGCCAGTCCGCCCGGTTGCTGGGAGATGTTCAGGACGTGGCGAAACTCGATGCCCGGACGCGGAAAGTCGGGCACCACGCGTACCATACGTGCTAGCTTCCGCAGGTCCTTGTGTAAGAAGGGAAGTAGGGAGTGTTGGGCAAACGTTTTTGCCGCCTGGCTTCCGCTCGAGTCATCCTCGAAAATGAGTGTAGGACAGTAGTTCAAGACGGTCGGATCCGACCTGCCATTGTTATTGCCCTTGCTCTCGCTCTTGTCATCGCCACCGCTACGGTAACCCTGATGCCCTCGGCGAGCTCGACGCGTTTCTTCGTTAGTTTTGACGCAGACATCGAGCAGTCTGCTGTCTGGCACCAAGTGCGACAAGGATGTGATAGGTGCCTCGTCTCTCATCCCTGTGATCAGCAATACATCCATATTTGCAGCTTCGTAAAAGACATTCAGAAAATGCTCCTCTGGCAGCTGAGGTCGTTGCCCCACTTGACTCTGGGAAAACGCCGTTAATGCTTGCCGATGTTGCTCCTTGTAGGCCCGGTCCCGAAGCAGGCGGTCAAGGTCAGCGCCAGTAGCCGCCGCGTATTCTCGCTTAGTCACATCGCTAATGCTGACTGCTCGTGTCCTGAGGCCTTTAGAGGTGAAAACAGAGACCCAGATATCGGCGCAATAGTCCTTGCCGACACAGCTTTCGCCCGTGACAAGAATGATGAGCTTCTGTTCCACCGGCGGATTCAGGAGCGGACAGGCGTAAGGGAGCACGTTGTGCGGATCTAAGCTGCGCTTGAGACGGGCCAGACGTGGCCAGTTTGAGCCAAAAGCCTTGGCCGCTAGCGCCGTCTCTAAGGTCCGGCCCAAGATCGGCGCCATAAGCGCCGCTGCTCAGGGGTAACAAATTCCCGGCGACCCTGTAAACCCACTCCACAGCAGCTCGAGCAGTCTCTGTTCCATCTTGATCACGGGGCCAGACGCCAGTCACAACGCAAGCAAAGTCCCAGTCCCGGCAACCGAAAGCAGTGGCATCGTCCGCCACATCGCCGACTGCTCCACCGCCTTGCAGTAGATGGAGATAACAGAGCGCTGAGGGACGAGTCTCAACAGCTGACACCAGGATGCGGGCGACATTCGATGTTCCAACGCCTTTCAAGAATATGCATCGCTTGAATGAGGACGTCTTACCGCCGCCATGCCCGCCATGCATACTAAATACGTACATCTCGGTCTTAAATAAACTAATGCTGTCCACGATCTTGGAACTTTATTCTGGCCCCAGGATTGTGCTCATGAGCGTATGCGTTGGTGTGGGTGTTTCCAGGCTGAGCCTAGTCACGGAGGACTCGAACATCGTCACACTGAGACGCAGCCGGCCGGTGTCCCAATACAAATAAGCGTCTGCACAGCCGTTCCTAGGGACCTCTGTAGCGACCAATTCATCAAAATCACTGAGCTTGGCCTGCGCATCGGCGTTGTCGTCCAGCGGGACAACCCAGTTTCGAATCAGGTAGGTAGGGGCTGCGTATGCCTTGAAAGTAACGCTGACTACGATACCAAAGTTGGTCCCGGCGCCTTTCATTGCCCATAATAAAGCATCACCGTTTTCTGGGCGCACGGCGGCAGTCGGCTGGTGTTGGCTTGGCACACGGCCGATGCAGAGGACCTGGCCCGAGTCGACGCTGACCACCACGGCCCCGACGATTGCGTCGCATGCGAGCCCGTGCAGCCTGGCGAGGTGACCAATTCCGCCTTGTAGCCATAATCCCGCGCCGACGCTTGGGCGAGCCCCTAGGGGCACTGTCACGCCCGCCGCCATGGTCTCTCGGACAATGTCACCCGTCTTGCAGCCAGCCTCGACGACGACTAAAGGTTCGGAATTAAAATCCGATTCTTCTCCCTCTTCTCCGGCCGCGAGAATGTATATTTTTTGAAAGGCGCTCATATCGACCGAGACGACGTTGGGCCAGAGACAGTGACCACTGTGCCCCCCGCCAACGACAGTTACGCTGCTGGCAAAGGCTGAACCGAACTGAACTGTATTCATGCTCGGTCGTAGCCGCTATTTAACCACTTTGATCAATAATGCAATTAGGGTCCGGGTTGGGAGAGTCGTGAATGTCTGTCAAATTTGAGTGCTGGCCAGAGAGCACAATAAAAATCCATCAAAAATCAACCACAGCAGGATATAAGACAAAAATGACATTTAGTAGTAAGAAAAATAGTAATAAATCTACTGATCTATATTAATACTATTTTAATTATCATTCATGGCGTGCATCTTGCTTTCTTTAGCATCTTTCGCAGTCAAATCTATCGCACCAAAGTATTGCTTATGAAATAACGTTACACCCTTGTCGGTGGCTCATAGCAGCAACCAATGGAAATACGAATAAACGCGTACGGTATCCTTGTCATTCTGCTTGAGCCAATACGATGAAGAATAAACGCGTACGCTGTGTTCCACTTTATATCCCAACCCGAGAAGAAACACGAAGCCACGTGTAGCACTCAGGGTTAGGACTAAAGCCGTCTCTTGAACATCAGCACCGTCTGCATCCTGGTCACGAGCGATGGCTTCTATACTTGGTCTCTCCGCCGAGATCACGGAAATGGTGCTTAGGAACCTCCCACCGCGGGATCTTCTTTCTCTCCGGCAAACGTGCACAGAATTGTGTGCCAGAATAGCACCTCGATTTGCCCGCCATTACTTCCAGACGCGCTATGTTATGTTGGAAAGGCGAAGCCTGGATACTCTTGTCGAGATCTCAAAGCATCGAACTCTCGGTCCTGCCATTACGACATTGGAAATATGTGTATACCACTTCCTCCCACTAGAAGAGTTGCCAAGAATCAAACCTCCCTATAGCGAATTTGAGGAGATGATACAGACCATATCGCCTAGCCAATATGAGGAACTCATGGCATCTGAGCACGGCGATACCGAGTTTCGAGCAAGGACATCATTCTTACGATCTTCTTCCCCCAACCATCATAATGACAACAATCATCACCTCGGCCAGCTTCGTAGAGAAGCATACCTCACCCACTTGGCAGATCAGGATCAAGTCGTCGGGACAGATTATGCCATCGAGTGCCTGAAGCAAGCTATGGGAAATCTTCATCATTGCAAGAACGTCATCATCGATGATGACAATCGCGCGTGGGGCCTACGTTCTCTGAAACAATCCATCGGTGTCTTTCCGCAGAGGACATTAACATCTGCTTCAACTCGCAGCATCCATCTCATTCGCTACATACTATGTGCCGTCCTTACCGCCTTGGCCGCTAGCAAACTGGAGATCGCGGACCTAGACATCAGTATCGGATGCTCGATGGAAAACGGCAATCGAATAAGTCCTTATATGCTTCCCACTCTATTGCCATCCCCCATCACTAGCCTCCGCCAACTTCACATCGTGCTCGACCCGACTGTCACCAACGTTGACAGTCGCTTACCTTGGGGTTCTGGCCTCGTTCGATTCCTCCGGTTGTTTCCAGAGCTTTCCCAGTTTTCGCTCGATTTCGAATACCGTGATGAGCAGGATCGCTTCTCAGGGGTCGCTGCGATGCTACACATACCAAAACTGGAGGTGCTGGTACTCTCGATGATAGATTGCCGCGGAGAGGAGCTCACGGATCTCATCCTCTACCATAGACGGACGATTCGCGAAATCAGACTAAACAACATCAACCTCACAGATGGACCACAATCTTGGCCGTCACTCGTCAATGACATCCGCGATCAGCTTAGTATAAGCTACTTCTCCATGGACAGTTGTACGGCGGGATATATAGATATGCATGAAGAACGAGTAGAGGCAAGGAGCACACAGGGCCTGATAGCTATCATAGACACATTATCGACCAAGACGAATCAATAAGAACGCATCTTCTTGGTTAAAACCGTGCCTGAGGAGGGATCCCCTCCACTGCAAGTATTCGGCAGTTAATGGTGTCTAGGTAGTGCTACCCCTGTCCCTCAGCGCCTCTTTAATTTCAACCGTCCGTCCGGTCACGCGTAAACCCAATCACTGGGCGCGACACGTTGATAAACTAAGAAGGAAAAGCAAAAAGAGCAGGCATATGAAACTCTATATCTCTGTAATAGTAAACAGCAGCAATACGTAGTCACAACAAACAAATAAACAAGCAGGCTAGCAAGATTCTTTCAGGAGTGGCTATTTGTTATATCGGCGAGGAGAATAATCACCATAATATACCCCATTATATGCTCCATCAAAACTATTTTACAGTATCACTATGGGTCGTCGTGCGCTCACCGCAGAAGAAAAGGCAGAAAAGGCAGGCCGAGAACGAGTCCGATTGAGACAGTACCGCTCGGCACCCCGGCTAAGTAACCGCGTGCTTCACATCGACGCTCATCGTCTTGATAGCATAAACACCCATCCGTCAACGCTCCCAGGCGATCCGATCCCAGAAACACAATCAGACGAAACCGCTTTTATTGGTATATGCCTAGATTGCCTAGATGGTCCTCTATACTATTAGACTGATATATAAACTCGATAGGACATCATCATGACCTTGAGCACCGCGACAACGTTACCCTACAGCCGACCGACGACCAACCAGCCTCCGCCACTCCCCTCGCCAATCAACCGATCGTGACGACACTCGACCCAATAGTCATAGTGGATAATGGGACGATCCTGCGGCCGATCGACGAGCAAACATATCCTCTGACTATAGAAGATCAGGAGGAGACGGAACCTATCTCGGCAGTCGACGTTGCAGGCCCGACTTTCCTTATACAATATGATGAGGAACAGGCTGCTAGAGCTGGTCGTCCTAGGATAGATCCCGCCGTGTCGCCGCATGAGCGAACGCGTCTCCGTGTCCAGCGACACCGCGACCGGCAGCACCTCACAAGGGCGCAGCAGCTTGTCCAGTGGTCTACCGACTCACACGGTCTCCCGCCTACCTTGGAATTCTCTGCCTTGACCTTGCGTAATGGCCCAGCTCCTTCCTTGGTTCCTGACGAAGCTGCAGAAAAGGGCGAGGGCGATGCCAGATCGGAGAGCTCTGGCTTTGACAATGATATCGCGTCAGCTCGGACGTCCCCGACGCCCCCATCACCTCCTGGCTCTACTCGGCGAGATATCTAAACACCCCAGCGTGGAGGCTCTCTCCTGCCCACGCCGATATTTCCTGCGTCGCCCGATGCAGCTGCAGTAACCCCTTCACTCCGCTCAGACAATCCAGTTCTCGGCGGCTTCCTCGACGCAATCCACCAACAAGATATAGCTAGCGGCCCTGACTTTCTACGCGCACAGAGCGATGTGTATGACCGGATACTACGGAAGTTCTTCAACAACCAATGCGACTGTACGCTGCTTCGTCAACTATCCGTTTAGAGTGACTCTGTGAATTGACTTACGTTCTATCCCAACCAGGTCAAGAACCACGCGCGCGTGGTGAGCCAGAACATACCTCTACCCTTCCCGAGTATATCCAATATATCGGCCGTTCTCTTCCTCCCTTGCCTACCGTCTTTGCGGGACGCGACGAGGCCTGCGATCCTCGTGCTTCCTTCCCACAATGGCAGAGCTTCCTCTCCGACCAGACGGCCCAACCGCTGTCATTCCGCAAGACACAGGCCTCGTTGTCCCAAGACGCCGTGACCATTGCGCGACTGTGGGATGTCGATAGTATCTGGTTTGGGGCAGGGAGCCTGTCAGCCATCCGAGCACCCAATCAGTTCCGACTCTCCTTCTTTTCGCCTCACAAGAGCAACATCTCCACCGCTCAAGTGATACAGCCTCATGGCCTGGACCTGGCACATACGCGTCACACCACTATCGGCACTTTTACCGCCGCCGACGTCCGCTTCTCTGTCTTGATGTTCTTCCCTAGCGGAGCCAGTTCACAAACACGAGCCTCTTCCAACAGCCTCTCCCTTGCACGATTCAGAGATCTCTATGATGAAATCATTCTCCCGGCTGTCCGCGAAACGGTTCCAGACCACGTGCGACAGGAAATCCCCAGGTCATACGACCTGATCTACGCAAAGTCACGCGCCTACCAGGAAAAGCCAGGCGTTGGTCGCTGGGGTGCCGAAGACGAGAGTCGAGCGTTTCGTTTGGCATATGGCATCCCTGCCAGTGTCCTTCCGCAGTTCTGGGCAGCAGTTGTGAGGAACGCGAACCTGCATCGTGTCCAGAGCAAGAAGGGTGACGCCATCCCTTACTTCCAGAACCCTCGCCTGCTCTTTCAGGCCCACGATCTGAAAAACATATTCGCATCACAGAGCCTCCAAGAAAGCTTGGCTCTGTTTCGGGATACTGTCTTGGCTGGCCTTGATCCGACCCAGATCGACATGCACTCCTGCTGGCTTGACGTGGGCATGCGAGATCATGTCCGCACGCCGCCCGCGTCGCCGACCCATGAGCCTTGGACGCTTCTTTGGAAGGATGACTGCTGCCGTCATCTTCACGGCCAAGTAGCCGGCATAGTCCCAGAGGCCCCTATGGAGGCCACTTATTATCGATCCCACCTTCTCCGGGACGTAGGGGGATACTACGCCAAGGCGAAGTCATCTCGGAAATCGAACCCTGGCCACCCAGAAGCCAGGTCACCCGGTGTTATCCGGGCCAAGGCGTATAACTGCAGCAAGGAACTGTTTGGCGTCATGTTCAGCGATTATCAGCTCTTCGGCTCCGGTTTTCTACCGCTTCTCGCCTTTGACGAAGGGATGCTGAAAGACCTGGCCGCCACAGATCAAAGCCGCCAGCGTGCATTTGTCTCGCAGCTTAGCCGCTCCCGTCTTCTGGATGCGTGGGACGCTAATAAGCGGCATATGAGAGCTGTCTCATCGTCGAGGATACATGCGAACTTTGGCGTTCGGAAAGAGGTCACCTTCCGGCTCGATGTCATCCTGGCCATGTGGGCTAGTGGTAGGCTAGAACCTGGCCAGAGCCCCCATACTGGCCCAATGTGCTGGGAAGTTCCTCTCGCTCCTTCTTCTATTTCTCCTCCTCCTCCCATCGACGGCGAGCAGCAGCATTGCCCTTTCTGGGTGATTCCGACTGAGATGTTAACCGCATTCGTGTCTATGCAAGCTGCCCGCTTCGTGCTTCCGCTCGATTACATCTTCTCTGAGATAACCAGGGTATCATTAGCTGATCATCTGACTTCCTTGCCTGACCCTGCTCAGCAAATCCTCACATTCTATACCGCATAGCTCTTCTGTTGTCTGCTTATTCACGCTGTCAGCAGTGAGCGAGAATACAGATTTGATTACTGGATATGGAGATCAGCATGGCAGGTTAAGGATCGCAGTCGTAGAAACGGCCGTCGCAAGGAGCGGCAGGGTCTCGGCCTAGGAAACTCCATCGACTCTTCCGGCACGCTCTGGATGCCCCATGGCCACTTCGATTGGCAGAGAGGTCACATTTCGCTTGAGCTGCTGGTAGACCTCTACATATCTCGGAGCCCGCTCCAGGCTAAGCTAGCCCACCAGACCAACGTTCAAGCGCTTACCGCAAATCAAGTGACCATCGAGCTGCTGTTTCAGCGATTAGTTCGAGCTGCGCGGGCAGAACATGACCAAGGGCGTAACGAGGATGCAGAGAGTCTTGCCGACCGGGCCATCACTCTTGCGGTTGAGGAGACCGCCCGGGCTTATCATCAGCACTTTCTTGCCAAGCTTCACTCATACTGGGATCGGCTCCGAGGCAAGATCGGGCGCCAGAAACTTGCAGTCCTTGATATGTTATAGCAAGCCCAAGAGGAGTCAGTAGCCGAGACTGGTCGTATTACCACCGCCCAGACTGTTCACGGCATTTATGCCGAGGCGTGGGCCAAGTACTGTCAAGTTACGGCGGACGATGATGATGACGGCGACATCAATGCATCATCATCATCACCGCCGCTGCGATCCACCCTACCCGAGGAGCTGCCTTGCTGGATGAATACTCGTCGACGCATGCCTCCCAAGAATAGCTGGTCTGACTTTCTCTCCGATCAGATCTTCTGCCCCCCAAAGCCGCCAACTTGGAATGCACTCCTCTTTCTCCAGCTCTACAGAGGATTCAAGGAGGTTTGGCAGGGCATATGTGCGCCATTGGGCCCCTTTGATAGCCGTTTTAGCCGCCAGATCGGGTACTATATCCAGATTGCATTCAATAGTGACCACACCAAGGAGGTCGGTACCAGTCACGCTCGCGGCACCTGGTATCACGCCAAGCCGACCTTCTTCTAGATCCAGTACTGGGCTCCTTATTTCTCCCCACCCCGGGCGTAGGAGAAGACCTCTTTATCGTTATTATACCATCGCCGCACTTATCCTGAAGGTCTCTCTCCTCATTCTACTCCCTCGATTCCATCGCCCCGGCATTTTCACGAACTTGAAAGAGCGGCCTGGCCGCATTGGATCGAGATAATGCATCACTTGCATGATGATCTGGGTCATCTGCCCTCCGGACGCCGTAAATCCATTCGACGCCACTGTAAACTCGCGCTGCTCTATATCTCTTATCTCGCCGGCCCGACTTGGGGTCTAGATAAGGATGATATTAACTTTATCGTCCTATGGTCTATTAATAGAAAATCCTGTGGTAGTAGCAATGAGTGGGATGTCTTCTATGTGCCTGTGGCTGAGATATATATCTCGAAGGAAATCTTCGAGGACACGGCAAGCCAGCCGACTATTCTGCTGCCTACCAGTGATAATATCATCGGTTTGCTGGATGCTATAGAGACCCTTACTGGCCCCTCTTCAAACATTGCAGAACGTCTATCGTGGACAAGACGTCGGCTTAATAATCAGGGCGAGCGATATGACCTCCCTAGCTATCTCGCGGCTAGGCATCGGGAAGTGGAGCCATCGACACGGAACCGGTCCCTCCTAGAGCGGTTTCTTTACCAGTGTGAGCCGCCGGAACGGGATATCGAGCCTGTGGATGAAGAGGATGAGGAGGAGGCGGAGGAAAGAGCGGAAGAAGACGACTCCTCTTCGGGAGGCGATGATGATGATGATGACGACGACCTGGAAGAGGCTGGCTCGATCGACTCATGATCGTCTAGTAATAAGACCGAAAACTAGCGGCCTCTATACCACATGGCAATAGCCAAGCTTGAGGATAGGTAGCAGCAGCAGGGTAGGTAGCATAATCTTAAGGGTCACGTGATATAGAACCATAACCTGCAGTAGTCAGAGGGAGAGAGCAAGGTTCTCAATAGTTCTCAATAAATCTTCTTTTTTCACGGCAAATACCAGTTACCTTAACTCTTAGTAAACTATAGTAGAATTATACTTATGGCCAACGCATACATCCGGCATATCCAGTCATGATAGCTATAGAACTCTATACGATCGCGCTCGAGCGGTCCACGCGACTAGATCTGCCAATAGAGCATAACGAGGTTCCGCACTGTATGGCACGGCTATTAGATACAGACCGCGCAGCCTGCGAAGGATGGCTCCAGGAGATGAACTTCCTCCGCCTAGGGGAGGCAGAGGACGATGAAGTCTGGGAAAGGATTAAGAGAAACTGGATCGGATACCTATCGGCGACGAGCCCCACGCCGGATGCAGCGCTGGCACCGAACCGCAAGGTTGTGCAGTTCAGGAGTGGCGGCGAGGATGAGGACGAGGATGAGGATGCGAGAGAGCAGAGACGGAGGTTTATTTAGGATCGTCGGAGGCGTATGATTATTCAGTCGGCCTTCTGGAATGGGCTGGATGGGATAGAGGCCATGGCGGAGCGATGGCCACGGGCGGCGCGGGCCGCATTGAATAGCATGGATGGGGGCGGAGAAGACGAAGATCGAGGTGCGTTTGAGAGCCTCGCTGCCGTCTATGACCTCAGCCAGCGACGACGGTACTAGTCCATCTGGATGAGCCTGGTGGGGTTTATCGCTTATTCGCAAGACGAGGGCACGCTAGAGGAGATGGGTATGCGGTTGACGGAGAGCCAGATCGATGACATCCTAGATATCGAGCAAGAGGTCTGGCAGGTGGACCTCAAGGTGATAGCGCGGAGGCGGGAAAAGGGAGGATTCGAGGGCGTCTGGGGACGCATCCAGCTGCTGCTTATGAAGGCGTTGAGGAAGGCCAAGTCGACGCCGCGGAACAACCCGCTCATGTGGTGGATTGCAGTGCTCGCCCGATCAGCAATCTCAGAGAATGATGGGGATAGAGACTTTATCAGCCGAGGGCGGTTCCACAAGAACCCGATGCCGATGGATGTCGACCTCGGGGAACGGCTGCGAGCAATAGTGCACTACAGCAAGGTGCTCGTGCTCGACGATGCCTTCTCGACCTGGCCGGAAGAGTCGGGGTGGATGATGGAGGTACAGAGCAGGCTGAATATGGTGAGCATCGAATGGATCAACGACGAGGGGGGTTCTAGGCCGGATGGACCACCCGGTGATGGCGGGCCGGTATATTCGACGGATGCGTGGCAGTCCGTGGTGGCACACATAGCCGAACATACGAAGAAGTATCTTGGGGGGAAGCAAAGGACGGCGATATATAGGTTGCGAATGTTGGCTAATGCGATGGGGTAGGTATGAGGGGATAAACGGTCTAGGGTTTATGATTATTAGGCGTAAACTAGGTACTACCTAGTCAGGGTGGAGGCGAAATAATATATAGATCTATTGTTCTCTTATCCTAGCGCTCTAGTAATCGAAAGGACCCCCGGGATCTAATAATCACTCATATAACTTATCCGTGATATTCACGATGACGGTGCCAGAGCCAGGGTCGGTCATATATGGTCCCACCTCTGGATCATTGAGAGGGCTTATATCTGGGTCGCATACCCAAATGACTGGACGTCCGAAAGGTATGGTCATGCTTCTTCCATCTTGTCCCTCGACGAAAAGCTGCATTTGATAGCCAGCCAGGTGCCGCTTGCATGACAGATTTTGCAAGTCGACGTTCTTCAGCACGACGTGAGTGATGCCGGGCCTCCGCACCTTACCCACGTCCCAGCGATCTACCATGAAAGCCGGGTGGCCAAAGGTTAGAGCCAACGTAGTCTTCCCGCATCCGGGCGGTCCAATAAGGACGAGCGAGGAGGGCCGACCCTTACCCGTACCGTTGATGAATGGCAAGGCCTTTATAAACCAGTCCTGTACTTGAATGGGCAGGTGCCAAGGGCGAAGCTCAAAGGCCGGCATATGCGGCAGAGCAGGCGATGGTTTCTTGCTTTTTAGGAATGCCTCATACTTGCCATATATGTCTGGGAGGTGTCCTTTGAGAATGACCTGAGCTTCATCGCGAGAACATTTGTCGTCGGCAAGCCTGGGGAAGAGCGCTTCTTGGTATGGGCTGAAGTGCTCCTCACTCTTAGGTTCGGAAAGAAATATAAGTTCATCCATTGCTGAAACTCTTGAAGGAGGGATATTGCCGTACTTTATAGTAGACTTGAGGGTATAAGGGTAAGGAGGGGAGGCTTAGTGAAGTCGGTTTGGCTTATATGGGTTTTGGCCTTGTTGTAAGGTGAGAGTCGCGAATTGTTACGCAACGCGAGGAGGGGCAATATATAAACGCGTAATCACGTGTACTATACTGAAAGATGCTGAGTGTAGTGAGTATGTATGAGGAAATATAATTGGTTGGTTGGAAGTCCCGGAGTTGCAGTATGATAATATTCCTACTGCCAATGGCTTCAATGTAAAAAGCTGACAGATAAATCGGCTATGGCGGATCCTGGGTGGGGTTTAAAAGCGGCGGTGCGCTAAGCCCTGAATAGAAAACCGCGACACTGAGATAATATAACGTACATGTATAGCGAGCCGGACAGCAAGCGAACCGGACACTTTTCTTAACCTCTAAGATAGAAATCACTATAAAAATACCACACACTATTTGATCAATTAAAACTACTCACTATCCTCTTCCCCAGATATCTCAATCACTACCTGACACGTCCTTGCATTATGGCCGGACTTGCCGCAGACACCACAATGCCGAACTCCCGGTCGCGCCGACCTCCCTTGACCACCACTCCGCGACGATTCGGCCACTACCTGCGCATCAACATCCATCTGATCAATTGCTTGCCTTCCTTCCTCTACCGTCATTACCCCTCTTTTCTGTAGTCGGGTTCTTTTTGCCCTCCGGCGCCGGCTTAGTATCTCATTTGCCTGTTCAAGTTCTTTAACCCTAGCCTCGAGTAAGGCAACCTTATGCATAACTATCTTTGTTCCCTTAGAAGAAGACCGTATAGCTTCTAGAATTGACTCTGGGGAGCTACTTTTATGCCTTACAACTCGCCTCTCGAGGTAATCTGACTGAGATTGAGCCTCAAGTATGGTCTTTGGGGTCTTTGAGACCCAAGGGGTCGACGGTTTAGCCTCCTCCTTAGGCGGCGTTGGAGTCCGTAACTGCACATCAAGCTTCGAGACCACACTTTCTGGGTCAAGAGGAACAAGCCCGGCTCCTCTGAAGGCTGCCTTGATATTCTTTTCCGTCATGGTGGCCTGAAATGCGGCGTAGAAGGCCGGAAAGAACTCGGTCTTTGAAACGTGAGTTATAGAGCATCTGATTAGATGCTCTATTTCTTGGCCGTAAGCGTTCTTGAGCACGCTGAAGCACCCGACGTCAAGGGGCTGAAGTATATGAGATGAATGAGGTGGCATACAAAGCCTGATGATCTTATTCTCCTCACAATATCTCTCGAATTCGATGGAGTGGTGACTTTCGTGGCCATCAAGGATTAGAAGACGATAGCGACTATTTGATCGCTTGGCTGTGCACCGGTCAAAGTGCTTTAGCCACTCGAGACCGGTCTCGTTATCGGTCCAGCCATTTTGGGTCATTGCAATAGCCCAATCGCCCGGGAGGTTACTATCCCGGTACCAATTAGCGAGGTGATATTGGCCCGCACCGATGATGAACGGCGAGATCGCTTGGCCATCCGCATTGATCGCCTGAATAACCGTAATCCATTCTCGGTTTCCAGGCTGCACCGATTTTGGCTTTCCACGCTTATCTGTGCCTATGACAACCATTCCGCTCTGTATCATGCCCATCATAAAGCCAGTCTCGTCAACGTTATAGATATCATCTGATCGGATGCCGTACTTCGCGATTGTGTTCGCCACAAGCGTAAACCAGTTACGGATAATGGCTGGATCTTCGCACTTGGCTCTCTGGTAGTCATATTTCCGAAAAAAACGCGTCTTGAGGTCTGGGTGTCGCTTGACGAAGTTTGAAGCCCAACGCGTGCCGACTGGTGGCGCGTCGCGGTCGGCAAGCAATTGATCAGCCATTTCCTTCACACCACGAAGCCGGGGGGGAAATCCTCGCGAATCTAGGTCGAGAATAAAGTGAATAAGGATCTGTTCCTCTAGATCAGATAGTCGGCGTGAATTAGGAATAGTATTGACTCGGGCTTGGATGCCATTATATCGGTCAAAGAGTGTTGAATGCTTGACTTGGTAGAGCTTTGCGGCACCTCTAAGACTTAATTTTGGTGTATTTTGATGGGCTTGAAGTGCAAGAAGGATTCTAGCCTCTTTATTAGACTGTGACATGCTGGGTGGTTGAGAATTAATAGATTAAATAGAGAAGGTGTAGGTTGAGGGATTTTTTGTCCGGTTCGCTTACTGTCCGGCTCGCTATACATGTACGTTATACTATATCGCTAAATGCCTAATCTAATTAACCTTCTTTAACTACTATTTCTCGATAATTCCGCAATTACTTATATATTTATATCTATCTAATTAATTACTTGCCTTACTTAATCTACTATTATTACCCCTCTTTTCTATAATTAGGTCCTTTTTGCCCTATAGCGCCGGCTTAATATCTTATTTATTTACTAAAGGTCTTAGTTTTTAATAATTAATAAGGTAACTTTATATATAATTACTTTTATCCCTTTCTTAAGAGACTTTATAGCCTTAATAATTAACTTAAGAGAGCTATTATAATACCTCCTAATTTATCTTTTAAGGTATTTAGACTAAGACCTAGCCTTAAGTATAGTCTTTAGGGTCTTTAAGACCTAAGGGGTTATAGGGCTAATTACCTCCTCGGTAGGTATTAGAGTCTATAGCTATATATTAAGCTTTAAGACTATACTTTCTAGGTTAAGAGGAATAAGCTTAGCTCCTTTAAAGGCTAACTTAATATTTCTTTCTATTATAATAGCCTAATACGCGGCATAGAAGGCTAAAAAGAACTTAGTCTTAGAAATATAAGTTATAAAGTATCTAATTAAATACTTTATTTCTTAACTATAAGCCTACTTAAGTAAATTAAAATACCTAATATTAAGAGGCTAAAGTAAATAAGATAAATAAGCTAATATATAAAGTATAATAATCTTCTTTTCCTTATAATATCTCTTAAAGTTAATAGAGTAATAACTTTATAGCTATTAAGGATTAAAAGATAATAAGAATTAATTAATTAGTTACTTATATAACGTACATGATAAGCGAGTGTTACAAACAAGCGAGTGTTACAAAAATCCCTCAACCTACAACACGTCCGCTTCGTGGATTGATTCTTAACCACCCAATATGCCTGAGTTTAATAATGAAGCTAATATCATCCTCGCCCTTCGCGCCATTCAAAATGACCGAAAATTATCTCTCCGACGCGCCGCAAAGATCTATAAAGTTGATCCTATGAGATTATGGCGTCGCCACAAGGGCATACAGTCTCGACATGATACTACCCCCAAATCACGGAAACTATCTGATCTAGAGGAACAGACCATAGTTCAGTTCATTCTTGACTTGGATTCGCGAGGATTTCCCCCGCGACTGCGCGGTGTGGAAGAAATGGCCAACCGACTGCTCGCCGACCGGAACGCATCACCCGTCGGCAAGCGCTGGGCTTCCAACTTCGTCAAGCGACACGATGAGCTCAAGACGCGTTTCTTTCGTAGATACGACTACCAGAGGGCCAAATGCGAAGATCCAGCTGCGATTCGAAAATGGTTCAAGCTCGTGGAGAACACAATCGCCAAATACGGTATCGACCTGGCTGATATCTACAACTTTGACGAGGTTGGCTTTATGATGGGCGTTATTGCAAGCGGAATGGTCGTCACAGGCTCCGAAAGACGTGAAAAGCCGAAATCAGTGCAGCCTGGAAACCGGGAATGGATTACCGTCATCCAGGCGATCAATGCGGAAGGCCGAGCGATCCCGCCGTTCATCATTGGTACGGGCCAATATCACCTCGCCAACTGGTACCGGGATAGCAACCTTCCGGATGACTGGGTTATTGCAACATCTCCCAATGGCTGGACCGATAATGAGCTGGGTCTTGAATGGCTGAAGCACTTTGACCGGTGTACAAAGACGCGATCGGTCGGTCGTTATCGTCTTCTGATCCTCGATGGCCACGAAAGTCACCATTCTCTCGAGTTTGAGAAATATTGCCAGGCGAACAAGATTGTTACACTCTGTATGCCGCCTCATTCGTCTCACCTGCTTCAGCCCCTTGATGTCGGGTACTTTAGCCTACTCAAGAAGGCATATGGTCGAGAAATCGAGCATCTGATCCGATGCTCGATAACCCACGTTTCCAAGACCGAGTTCTTTGCCGCCTTTTACGCCGCATTCCAGGCCACTATGACGGAGAAAGCCATCAAGGCGGCTTTTAGAGGGGCCGGACTTGTTCCACTTGACGCGGAAAGCGTGATTTCGAAGCTTGATGTGCAGCTACGGACCCCGACGCCGGTTGAGGAGGAGGCCGGCCCCCCTACCACATGGGTTTCAAAGACGCCAAAGACGGTCCTTGAGGCCGAATCTCAGTCTGAATACCTCGATAGACGAATCAGAAGGCATAAAAGTAGCTCTCCAGAGTCGATCCTAGGAGCTCTCAAGTCACTTGCTAAGGGAACAAAGGCAATGATGCATGAGAATGCCTTATTGAGGGCAGAGAACCGCGACCTTCGACAGGCAAATGACCTGCTAAGTCGACGCCGGAGGGCAAAAAGGACCCGATTACAGAAAGGAGGAGTGATGATAGTAGGAGAAGCAAGGGGAGCAATTGATCAGATTAGTGTAGATGGGCGGGTAGAGGGCGAATCGTCGAGAAGTGGTGGTCAAGGAGGGTCAGCGAGGCCGAGGGAAAGGCGCTGTGGAGGATGCGGAAAGACGGGACATAATGCAAGAACATGTCAAATAGTTGTAGCGATATCTGAAGAAGAGTATAGCGATTAGTTTTGGTTGGTTAGACGATTTGTTGTGTTTTTACGGCTATTCCTATCTTAAAGGTTGGGATTTTTGTAACACTCGCTTGTTTGTAACACTCGCTTATCATGTACGTTACTAATTAAAGTATTTTAGCTACTTAAGACTAATATTATTATCGGTCTAACTATTTTAGCTTATTATAATAGCTTAATCGCCTAGGAGGTTACTTTCTTAATACTAATTAGCAAGGTAATATTAGCCTATACTAATAATAAATAGCTAGATCGCCTAGCCTTTTATATTAATTGCCTAAATAACTATAATCTATTCCTAGTTTCTAGGCTATATTAATTTTAGCTTTCTATGCCTATCTATGCCTATAATAACTATTTTATTTTAAATTATACCTATTATAAAGCTAGTCTTATTAAAGTTCTAGATATTATTTAATTAAATATTATATTTCGCGATTATATTTACTATAAGCCTAAATTAATTATAAATAATAATTTAATCTTTATATTTAGCTCTTTAGTAATTATATTTATAAAAAACATATATCTTAAGCTCTTAATATCGCATAATAAAGTTATAAGCCTAGCGCTTATTAATAGGTAATATATTATAATTAATAAGTAATTAATTAGTTATTTCTTTAATAAAATATAATTACGGGGGAAATCCTTATAAATCTAGGTCGAGAATAAACTAAATTAAGATCTATTCCTCTAGATTAGATAATTAGCATAACTTTAGGATCTAATTATATCGCGATTAAATGCCTTATCTATGATAATATAGCCTTAGCTTAAAGACCTTATAGATCTTTATAGCGTATTAGACGCTTAGCTTTAAGTTATTTTAAAGGGCCTAAAAGGTAGAAAAGGTTCTAGCCTCTATATTTAGGTCTAATATAATTAATAGTTATAGAATTAATTAATTAAGTAGAAGGTTAGGTATAGGAGGGAAAAGTGCGTCGTATACTTAGATGCATTGTATGCTTATTATATATGTTAATAGACTTTCGATATTATTACCTTTAGCTCCTAACTTAGTTAGCTAGTAGCTTGGTTAGTTATTGAGACAGTGCGGAGTATTAGTTAGCTAGGCTATTCTTTTTTTTTTAATTATCTCCTTTTCTTATAATTCATACTTATGCGACTAATAGTAGATTATAAATTAGAGAGACCCAGCGCATTGCGGAATATAATAAACTAGTCTTTTAGGAGAGCTTTTATAAGTCTATCTGCGATTTATTACTCGGTTAAGATATATTAGAGCTTAATATCTCTATCTAAGGCTTATTCTCAAATATAATATTATTAAAGATTAATATACTTAGTCCTAGCATAAAACTATAGATATTTAGCTATTATAATTGCCCCTTAATTATCCCTATAGAGGATAGTTACTTAAAGGTCTCTATATTTATATTAGGCTAGAAGTTCATATAGTAACCCTCGTAGCTAAATCGCTTATTTAGTATATTATATTTGCCTTATATACTCTGCTTTGTAGGATAATAGTGCGACCGCTAGTTATTATTTAGAGCTCTAATTAATAGCGCCTATGCCAACGTTAAAGACATAACCAGCTATTAATCGTCTAATATCGTGGTCGCTAGCCTAGTCTGGGTCGGTATACCTAACTAATAGTCTAAGTGGTCTGCTAAAAACAAGTTCTAAGTTCTTAATGGAATTTATCCTCTGGTTTACCGTACTAGAAAACATTATTAGGGATAACTATTAGCTACTTCCGCGACGACTTGGTGTTTATTGACCGCACTATCGGGGCTTTGTATTCTTTCTAGAGTCCCTAGTTCTATATAGAAGCTTAGCTTATCTTAATTTAGTTAATAGGATTAGTTAGGGGCTAACTATATCTCTCTATCTATTCTAATATTTTTAGTTAGGGGTATAATTAGGAGAGATAATATAAGATCTATCTATTTTATATTAGGTTTATTAGTTAGTTATTTAGATATAATTTATTTTCTTAGTAAAGATTTCTTATTAAATATAATATTATTTATAGAGAATATTTATCTATTATTATTAACTAAGGCATAATTTATACTCCCTTAATAGCTAAGAAGTTAATAAGGGATTATCTTATTATTTATTTTTTTCTATTTAGCTAAAGTTATTTTTATAAAGCCTTAGCTACTGATAATTCAGAGATAAAAGAGATCTAATACTTTTTTATACTATGCTTTATAAGGCGTAATTTAATAACCCGAGGCTAATAAGAGGTTTTATATATATGCTATAGCTTTAAGGATATATAGCTAGAATTTCTTTTTTAGTCTTAAATAGATAAGAGTTATTATAAGTTTCTCGAGTAGGATATAGTTTATTACTTTGGCTACCCTGTTTTATTCGTGCTATTTAGTAGTAGAGAAGATTACCTTAATTATCTTATTTCTTAATAGAGAGTAATTATATTAGCTTGGTTTTCTCCCCCTCGATCGAGGCGAAGGTAATAGCAGCGATGGGTTAGTATCTCGGCTTGTTCTAGAAGTCGTCGAAGGTAGTTGCTAAATTCGGACTTTTGCCTGATTAAGAAGACCTAGGTTATTTTAGTAAAATTATCTATAAAGCAGGCCTAGTATCTATAGCCGTTGATGCCTTTTGTTACGGCTTGGTTACCCGAACAGCGCTATAAGCCCCTATAGGCAGTTAAAGCACCTTCTATAATTGCTACAATAGCGATTATAGCCCAATCTTTTGCCCCGTGGTGCAGCGGCTAAGGTGCCCGCAGCTGTGACTGCCGTCACACCTTTGTCTGGGAAGGGGCTAGTAATATCGCTATGTAGGCTCTCTAGTGGTCTTATTCCTTTTTAAATATATCCGCGGTAAGGCCTTTCCTTTATATGCCCTTTTATATATGCTTTATAGATATTAGAGTTAGATAGAGGAGTAATACCTATGGATATCTTTATGAGTAAATATAAGTTCTATTCTCCCAAATAGCTAAATTAGTTATATTAGATCCGCAATTTAGGGTCGCTAATAGAGTATATAGCTATAGTAGTATATAGTTATTCGTCGTCCTCGTCGATTACGTATAGACTAAATTTCCTAGTAGCGCTAAAGATAACTTTACCGTGGCTTATAATAATAGCTCGTTTTTTTTATAGTAAAATAATTACTTTATCTTCCTCGAGGGCTAAGACTAAGATAAGGTTATAGTAAGCGTCTAGGATATAAAGTGCCTTATAAAGGATCGTCGTTCCTTTAGTATTATTCCGCATGGTTCTGAGGGTGTATATGCCTTGCCCCTCGGGCATAATGGCCGAGCTAGCTATGCCGTTGATGGCAGAGCCGGTAAAGTTCTCGAGTGACGTAAAGTTCTATCGATGGCAGAATATCGCATATTACTACTAGGTTCGTGCGATAAGATATAAAACGCAGCTTATACTTTAGGGTTATATATCTAGTTTTATATCTAATTTATCGCATTAAGGATTCTAATCTTAATAATATAAACTTAAATAACTCTACTTAAATATATAGCTATTTAATTTCTTTTATTTTTTAAATAATTCTTATTAATTAATTAGTGCTATTAATAATCCTTATAGAGCTAGTTATCTAATATAGAACGTATAGAAGGAGGCGCCACTGTCTAATACCTATACTTAGTCCTACTAATTTACTATAACCTTTACTTATACTAAGTCCTATTAAGCGGACTATCCTAGCAACAGTACGACACTATTCTACTCCACTCATTCGGGTCGGCCCCGCACTAATCCGTCATGCCGATTGTGGCACATCCGAAGTCTCTAGTTGCAGTCTAAGACTACATGATAAAGCAGTAAGGTTGTGGGAAGTGATATTAGCATTAGTAATACTAATTCCCCTCTTATTATACTGTGGGATTGGCGGTGGGAAGATGCGGTCTGCTATGTGGAGAACCGATTAACGTTGCAAGGCTAATAGAGCACGTCTCGCAAAGCCAGCCCCTGGGTGGTTGTCGCAACCTCTGGTCAAAGCGTTCAAGCGGTACTTAATATATAAATAAGGCAGGTGTTCCTCAAGACCTATTTTACACGACGTAGTAACTCAAGGGTTATAGTTATTTGCCTCTGGTATTATTCTCTATTATTACCTGTAGCAGATTCTCTTTGCTTTCAATCTTAGCAACCACCCACCTCCTTCACTTAAGCAAATGATCGCAGTCATGTCATTCGGAGGAACGGCAACTCTTAACTCCGGCTATAAGATCCCCAATCTTGGCTACGGCACCTGGCAGGCTACCCCTGGCGACGTCGGCCGAGGTGTCTACGAGGCACTTCGAGTTGGTTACCGGCATCTCGATTTAGCCAAGGCCTATAACAACCAGCGTGAGGTTGGCCAGGGCATCAGGAAGGCTCTCGCCGAGGTTCCCGGCCTAAAACGTGATGATATCTTTATTACGTCTAAGCTATGGAATACGAAGCATCGCCCCGAGGATGTCGAGCCTGCCCTCGACGATACCCTGGCTGAGCTAGGGCTAGACTATCTCGATGTACGTGAGAAAGAGACGACAGCCTAATAAACCGCCGAACAATCGAAATTAGGAGCACATGCTAACAAGGTCTAACATTATAGCTTTATCTTGTCCACTGGCCCATAGCCTTCCGCCCTGGTGACGATTTCATGCCTAAGCGAGCTGAAAACGATCAGGAGATAGACATCTATGATGGCTGCTCACTAACTGATACTTGGAATGGTAAGTCCTAGTATCTTCTGTTGAGAAACAAACGACCCTGACTTTAGCCAAATCGAAGCATTTATTAAGCTTCCAAGGACCAAGGTCCGCTCGATTGGTGTCTCTAACTTCACGATTGACCACGTAAGTTAAAACCAAGACGCCCCGCGGAAACGGCGCCCAGCGCTTACTCTATATGCAGCTTGAGGCTATCATTAAGGACACTGGCATTGTTCCCGCCGTCAACCAGATCGAGCGCCACCCGCGAGTTCCTGACCCGCTACTCATTGAGTATGCTAGGAAAAACAATATCCATATTACTGCCTACTCACCCTTAGGCAACAACTACATCGGCGTCCCCCTTCTAGTTAGCGAACCAGAGGTCCAGGCCATAGCTGAGCGACTATCTAAGGTCCAGGGCAAGGCCATAACATCGGCTCAAGTTATTATCGCCTGGGGCCAGGTCGGCGGCCACAGCGTTGTTCCTAAGTCCTTTACGCCATCGCGGATCGCAGAAAACTTTCAGCAAGTCGAGTTAGATGATGAAGCTATTAGTGCTCTACATAAGTTCGGCCAGAGCCCACAGCGGTTTAGTATCCCCGCGAACTGTAAGTTACAGTTATAGATAATTTGCAGACAAATGCTAACTATAGTTAATACAGTTATACCAAAGTGGAATATTAATGTCTTTGGCTCTGAGGCTGAAAAAGATGCTAAGCACCAGGTTATTTCTAGGGCATAGATGTCCCTAACGCAGATGCTTGTAAATTAGAAAGAATTAGAGCTTAATAGTAGTTTCTACTTATAGAAACTAGGTATTACGTCGACCCTGCGCCCAAAGCGGCTGAGCACTCTCCTATCTTTAATTTTACTACTTTGCGCAGGTGCAGTATGAAGAATTCGCCGGTTGCATTAAAGGTTTAACAATAGTTAATACAGACAGTTCGAGCACTATATAAATCCCTATTCTACACCCCGTGATGTGCCTTGTGTGCGAAGCCATCGGGTCAGTCGAAATTGTCCTTTTGAGTTTCGCGGTCAACCTTAGGGGCAAGCTCATCTCATTAAGCTGTAGGAACTTCAAGATAGTCCAAGTCAATAATTGTAGCATTGCATCTTAATCACTACTATGCCCAAAGTGTGACGGTGCGGTTAGATCCAGGGGATAAACCGGTCGTACTGGGTTTATGCTAGCAGTGGGGATAGTCGCGTAGTCTAAATAAGGTTTTATCACGTCTAGTAATATACTTAAAGGTATTAAGTATAACTAAGTTATATTAATAGCTAAGGTAGCTACTATATAGGAAAGTATAATAAGGGCATTCTATATACTTATGCGAGGGAATGGATTATAATAGATTATGGCTTATAGAGCCTAAGCCATTATAATCTTATTTGATAGATCAGAGGGGATCATAACCTATAGGGCGTGATCCGCCTTAATCCGCTTACGATTAGTAGGATAAGGCAGGTCCTTCTTATCACGTGGCCTAGGGGTTTCCTAGGTCATAATATAATATCTCCCCTCCGTTAGTCTTATCCTTAAGGCCATTTCTATGACCTTTATTTATTTTATATGTATATACTAATCTTTAACCTATAAAAATCTTTGCTAATATATCTAGTTATCCTATCCTCTCTAAGAAGCGGTTAGCTACTATTAGACTAGGCGATACTATTAACCATTTTAGATTTAAAATTATGCCTTACTTGTTTTATCGTTCTTATAGCCTTTGTTATATAGCTTTGCCTAAGAAGTCAAATCGCTATAGAGAGTATGCCTATTATAGTCTTTTATGCGATACTTCGGCGAACATTTCCAGTGCCTATTTGTGTATTTTTATTTGCGGGGGGGGGGGGGCTCTATTACTAATAGTTCCTAGTAAATCGCATCCACTAGGAGTCTGATTACTTAGACTCCGAAGAAGAGTATACTAAAGAGGACTTCTTGCATTTATAGCGGGAAGTATAGGAGGCCTAAGTAAGAGTAAATAAGGTTTTAGCTTATTTAACCTAACTTCGTCGCTAAAAGCGCTAATTATATACTAAAGGTATTAAGATAGCTATCTGCGGGCTTTGTTCCCTAGATGAGCTAGAGGCAACTAAAAAGGCAGAGTTAGAGGCTATAATTACCGCTTAGTCCGTGGGTACTATAGATATTATTAATTAGAGTGCTATTAATCTTAAGTTTATTTCTCCTTCTAATATTATTAATAGAAGTTCTTTAAAAAGCATTATATATTAATAAGATATTCTAGGGGTTCCTATGTATTTTCTAAGTTAAGGTAGTCCTTCTATTTAATAAAATATATTATTTTATCGTTGATTTTATTTATATCGAGGATAACTTTTATAATATATTCTTTTAATCTATTGATTTTAGCTTCTAATTTATTGCCGGTTTTAACTTAGATAATACCTTATGCCGATTTAAGTAATAAAATATAAAAGATTAGATAGAGCTTAACCTTAGGGGATAAGTCTAATTCATAGTTATATTTTAAGATTTTTTATTTAATTTTATATAATCTAATATACTTATAGTTAAGTTTTTTATTTTATCGTTTTATTTTAATATTTTTTACTGCGAGGTAGACTATATCTCCCTCTGAGAAAATTAGTCCCTTAATCCTTTTCTTATTAATATAGGCTATTATTCTATTTTTAATAAATTCGAGTTTTATTTTTATTTCCTCGTATAGATTATATAATTAGTTATTAGTAAGGATTACTTTAGGGTTAATAATAATATTTCGTATTTATTAATAGGCATCTAGGGTAAATCTAAAGTTAGTATATATTAGTATAATCTTCGTGCTTTTATTAGTAGCTATATTATAGGCTAGCTAGGCAGTTAATAGCTTTTTAACCTAATTAGTTTATTCGTAGTTAATATAGCACTAAAGGTATTATTCTAATATCTAATTTATACGTTTAGTTTATCTATTTGTCTCCTTATGGTATATAGTAGAGAGTTTATAGTTAATTCCTAGGTATCCTATAAGGCTTTATTAAAATTTTAAAGCAAATAATAGTCCTCTATCCGTAATAATTTCGAGTAGGATACTATATATCTTAGTAATATGAAAATAGAAAAGGTAAGCGAATTCTTTAGCTGTTATTAATTCCCTATAAGGTATAAAATAGGAGAATTTTATGAGTTTATCTATAATAATAAGAATACTATTATAGAAGTTTCTAATAGCTAGTTCTTCTAATAGGGGTAGTTTAGTAATAAAGTCTATAGTAATCGAGTCCTATAGTTATTATATAACCGGGAGTAGCTATAATTTCCCATATAGCTTATAGCGTCGTGCCTTAGTTTTTGCGTAAAGGTCGTATTAATTAATAATTATTAAAATAATTTTCTTTATATTAGGAAATATATAGGTTATTTTAACTTATTCTAGGGTTTTATTAATCCCTTAGTGCCCATATAGTTAGTAGCTATGGATCTCGCGTATAAGGTCTTATTATAACTCGTCCGGGACTTATTACTTATTTATTTTCTTATTATCTAGGAGTTATTTATTATATTTTAGGATTCTAATAAGGAGTAGATTGCCCTATTCTACTATATAGGATATACCGATAATCTTATAGGGTATTCCTGTGACCCTGCTCTATTCATAGATAATAGGTTTATTAGGCTTATTATAGGTTGCATATTTCCATACTTATTATTTGACTTTTTATTTAAATTAGTAATTATTATAGATTCGGTTTATTTATTTAAATGTTAGTCGGTGGTTTCTATCGTGGGGGAGCTAATTATAGTAATACTCGAAAATTAGTTTAAATACTTCATCGGGGATAATAATTATTCCCTTAAATATTATAATTCTATCTTATCTGCGGTTAAATCCTCGTGCGTAGTCTATAAAATTAATAACTTGTTCTCTATAGTTCCGGATAAGTTAGAGGTATTCTTATAGGGGTGTAAGCCTGTTATCTTATCTAATATTAGTATTGGTTTTCTATTAGAGGTGTCCTTTAGGGGTATATTAGAGGAGTTATCTTTCCTTTTTGACCTTCCCATTGTCTAGGTCGGGTCATCGGCTAATCGCGTCGGCTCTTCTATTCTCCTTTCCCTATATATAGATTATAACATAGTTAAATTCTAAGAGGTATTCGGCGTAATAGAGTTATTATCTACTAAGCTATTATATAGTCGCGAAATATATAATATTCTTATAGTTAGTATATACTTTAATCTAGTATAGGCTTCTAAGTAAGTAATATTAAAATTCTTTAAAAGTATTAATAATTACGAGGAATTCTTTATTATAAATAGGGTAATTAAGTTTTGCCCTATATAGTTTATAGGAGTAGAATATAATTAGGTATAGTTATCCTTTGTTATCTCGTTATCTGATCTAGGCGCCTAGGGCAAAATCTAAGGCATCGGTTTTAAGTTCAATTAGTTAAGATAAATCGAATATCTTAAGTATTAGCTCGCTTAGGATAAATTCCTTAATCTTATTAAAGGCGCTCTTAGCCTTATTCCTAAATATAAAGATTTTATTTTTCTTCGTGAGTTCTATTAATAATATAGCTATCTTCCTAAAGGCTTTAAGGAACTTACGGTAGTAATTAGCAAATCCGAGGAAGGCTTATACTTCCTTAATATTAGTTAGCTCCTTCTAGTCTCTAATTACTAAGACTTTCTTAGGGTCCATATATATCTTATTATAAGAGATAATATATCCGAGGAATTCTACTTCCGAGGCATAGAATTTACTTTTCTTAGGTTTTATTAATAGCTTAGCATTCTATAATATCTATAATACCTTATAGATATATTCTATATATTCTTCTTCTATTTTAGAAAAGATAAGGATATTATCTAGGTAATATATAATAAATATATCTAGGTATTCTTATAATATATTATTAATTATTTATTAAAATATAGCGGGTATATTAGTAAGTCTAAAAGGCATAATAAGGTACTCAAATAGTCTATACTTAGTATAAAAAGCAGTTTTCTATTTATATCCTTCTTTAATCTAAATAAGGTTATAGGCTCCTTTAAGGTTAAGCGCAGTAAAATACTTTATTCTAAAAAGTCAATCCTTTAACTCGCTAATAAGAGGCAGCGATATATAATCCTTAACTATAATAGCATTAAGTATTTAGAAATCGATATAAAGTTAGAGCTTTCTATTCTTCTTTAGAATAAATATAATAGGGTATCTAATAGATAACTTACTTTCCCTAATATATCCCTTTTATATTATATCTTTAATATATTCCTTTAATACTAGAAGTTATACTTTATTAAGTAAGTAAAGTTTATTAAAGCCGGATTATTTCTTATTAATAAACTCGATTTCGAGGTTATAGGCCGTATATTCTAGTAGGCCTATTTTAAGTTCTTTCGCGAAGAGTTATTTATAAATTCGATATTTCTATAGTATATTCTTAAGTTATTCTTCTCTAGGGTTATTCTTCTTTAGTTTCTTAAGTTCTTTTTTAAGTATATAAAACTATTATATAATATATGCGATTATTTATTATTATTATTGTTTCTATCCGTTATAATATTTATATTTTATCCCTATAGGTAAAGAGGTATCTTATATTTACCTCCGCTTAATTTCTCTATTATTAATAAAAATTTAAGATCTCTAACCTAAGTTATTATCTAATATAAAGGATATCTTAGCATCGCAAGAGAATATCTAGCTAATTCTTTAGTCGAAATATAAGTTAAAGTATTATAACTATAGGTACCTAAGC